AATGGAATGCAGAGACAATGGAATGCAGAGACAATGGAATGCAGAGACAATGGAATGTCAGGAATCCATTGCGCCACAGTCGCTGTTGTCCAATCGGTCTTGCAAGACATGGTTGCTCCAAGGTCTCAATGTTGTCGGACGCTTGAACGAGGAGACTGGCGTGCCCATACACACCGGCTATCTCATAAGCACTCTTTTTCTCCCATTTTGAGCTCGTCAATCTTATACCAAAATCAAATCAACCAAGATATCTCCTCAGAAAAACTTGTTCCCTCTCTTATTGAACGTGCGAGACGATGCCTCGCCAAATACCTCATCCCCAGACGCTCTTCCATCTTATCCCCGATACACATTCTCTTATAGCTAAGCAAATACTGCATCACCCGGACAAAGAACCATTCCTATCTGTCTACAAATCCGCCCCAATCACAGTAGAGAATGGATACGGCCTCGAGGTCGGCTACCATATCTCGCGGAGACCTCGGCCGCTGGTAATAGGGGAAGTGGGAAGGAATACTAATCTTATAATATCCGGGTCGAGTATCTCTAAAGTACACTTTTCTTTTAAGGTCTACCCCGAATCCCGTCACATTATATTTATAGACCGGTCCCGACTCCACAGCACTCGAATATCCCTAGAGGGTTTCCGGCTAGACGGGGATTTCCGCCAGGTCGTCTTAGGGCCTGCTCGGCCCAAGCATTTCAAACCGACAAGAAGTAACCGCGTCTTGAACCACTTTAACAGGGATGCGCCCCGCTCGAATTGCGCGCTATTTTCACACCAAAATCCACCTAGGTTCCACATTTTCAAGGGTAGTCCATTATACTCGAGCGTCGCGTAGATATCTGTAAACAGTGCTCTACAGGCTACGTTATCGACAACGTTAACGTCGATATAACGCCGATTACGTCGAATCCATAGTATCTTAAGAGGAATTGCGCTCGTACGCGCTCGTGCGCTATCGCTAACGTCTCCTTGCCGTCTATATCGTTATCCTTATTATTACTAGTACGCCTAGTATTAGCGTACCTAAGAGGGTTTTTTAAAACGCTAATTAGGGCCGAGAAAGGGTATAGAAATAGCTAGCATTTCCTATACAACTGTATATCGGTACTAAGCTTCATAAGGATATATTCGAGGCGCTTACTAGACGGCTTCGACGTAACGGCGCGGTACTAGACTCGAGATCGATCGACGTAGAGGAGCGTCTAGCGATCTTTTTAAATATCTATCGAATAGGCAGTAGTTATCAATAGGCGCGACTTCTATTCGGTCGATCTAGCGATATAATATTAGCGTCCTTTAATAGCGTACTACTCGTACTCTATAAGTTATACGTTAAGGTTGTTAGATAGCCGATAGAGACGTCTCCTATTCCCCGTTAAATTCGCACGAATAGCAAATTTAGCGCTTTCAAGGAGTATATCGGGGTATTCGATGGTACTTACGTATACGCTTATATTCCTATTATCGAGCAATCCTCCTAGCGTAATAGAAAAGAGTTTATTTTATAGAATATCCTTACTATCTACGATTTCGACCTTAGGTTTACCTTTATCTACGTAGGATAGAAAGGCTCCTCGTACGACGTCCGAGTCCTACTAGATATACTTCGAAAGGGTCGATTTAAGCCTCCTTAAGATCGATACTTCCTTACCGACGCGGGCTACTTAAATACTAAGTATTCGTTAATATCTTATCCGCGTACGAGATACTACCTTCGCGAATAGAAAAGAGTAGGGTTAACGCTAGCGAATAAGGAGGAGTTATTCAACTTAAGATACTCTTAACTAAGAACTTCTATCGAGAGAGTATTCGGCGTACTTAAGCGTAAGTTTAAGATACTAAGAAGCGCGCCTAAGTATACTATTTAGAAATAGATATTACTTATACTCGCTTTAACGGCCGTATATAACTTTAATATTAATGCGAGTATCGATCTATTATAGGATATCGATTTTGCCTACCTCTTAGAGATCGACGCCGACGCCTTTTCCGAGCTAATTCCTACTACTCTACTATAGGCTCGCTCGAGAGCGTATAACGTTATAGTAGCGAAAAGAGATACGATAGCGCAGAAGATATAGAACGAGTATATAAGGATTCGAAGTTAAAGAGAATAAGATACCTAGGAATTTATACTAAAAAGAGATAGATCTATCTACTATAAGTAAACCTATCTACCTAGGGTATCAGACAACTCGCGCTCTAGTTACTACTTACGCTTAGGCATACTCTCGAGTCCTATCTAGATTTCGACGTTTACCTTAGACGTAAGTAGTCTAATAGCGGTAATAAAAAGCTCTCTCGAGAGATAGTACTCCTATTGTAACGTCCTTACGGCCCTTATCCTCGCGAACTCTTTTGCTATATTTTCCTGCTATTCTAGCCCCCCTATTAAAGCGAGAGCGATAGTAACCCGCTCGAGCGCATCAATCTAAGCACTTACTATCGACTTACGAGCCGATCTACGTATAGAGAATAAAGCGCTCGCGCTAGAGCGTCTAGCCGAGGTTACGGTAGTAACTATAGCCTATCGACGTTATTAGGTACTCGTTTTTAATACTATTTAAGGTATCTCTTACCTCTATTATAGACTCCTTATCTCTTTTATTACCAGTTAAATACGGCGTCTCGGTAATAGCGCCAAATTATACGTCTTCCACTAAAGTTTAGCTAAGATCGATATCCTCGTCGACCTCCTCGAAAACGTCGAACTCGGAGGTCTACGAGTAGACGCCTCTAGCGTACGTACCTATAAAGATCTCTTCTAATAGATACCGAAACGGTAACGGCGCGAGACGCTAACGTACGTTTTTAGGGTTCTCGGCTATAAGTTTAGCCTACTTATCGTCGCCCGCTTAAATTTGGTCTTGCTCGTCGACGGTAACACCTAATATATCGGCTATACGAGACTAGGACTTAAAATCGTTACGCAACTACGGTTTCACGAGTTAGTAAGCAAAAAGGTGCAGAACGCGCTTAAAAAAAGAGCTCTTTTTATATATAGATTTACGCTTACTCTTCACTTAAGTACTGGAGAGCTTTGGAAGACCCTTCGCCTCGAATACCTCGATAATATCTCGATATATACGCGCCTTAAAGTTGCTATTGGACGTCTGTTCACTACCTTTACGTACGGTAAGGCAATACTCGTTCAATAACGTCTCGATAGTAATAGGCGTCTAAGGATAACGTTAAATCTTCCTAGCGCTAGCAGGAGACGATATAATAGCTATTCGATTAATAGAACTCGACGTTAGAATAAAGGTATAGAAAAAGGGCTTAAAATAGGCGTGAAAACGCGTCTCCTAATATCGAGAAGATCAAAGCGATAGATAAAACTGCGTGTCGGACACGCAGTTTATTCTGTCGGTTCTTGTTGGCGTTTTGACGCCTAAAAAGGCGCTAAAAAACCGTGGCGCGCGCCGTCGAACTCAAAAGTCTCCACACCTCATGTCGCGGTCTCAACTTGTCGGTTTATACGCGTCTTGTTGTTAGTTGGCGGTTTGAAATGCTTGGGCCGAGCAGGGCCTTAATACCTAGTAAGTAATACATAATCTTCGCTAGCGCCGAGAATTCAGACCAATTTATTTTCCACTTATATTCTATCGAAGCTATAGAATACCTATTACCGAAGGTGGAAATAGACTCTTAGATACTAGAAGCACGGGGAGAGAATCCTCGCTAGGCTCGAACTATAGAAGGTGCTTCTAGAGCTCTTTCAGCTTAGTATAGCAAACGGCTCCGTAAGCCTGCCGTCGGCGTCGTGCAGCGAGCGGTGGAAGGAGAAAGGTTGGGAAAGGGTCAATTTGGTGAAGTGTTAAAAGCCGTAGACTGCGACTCGGGATGCTTAATTGCGGTAAAGAAGATCAAGTTGGACCCAAGAACAGAGTCTGCTCTACCGTACAAGAAGCTCTGGTCACTGGCACAACGGGAAGTCGCAATCTTCTCCAAGATTTCTTACATATGTCCCTGCACAACCTGCCTCTTTATATGTATCTAATAAAGCTTACAGAAGAACATTGTTGAATATCTGGGTACCACAGGTTGGGACACGGACACTATTCGCATCTATATAGGCCTGAACGAGGGGAGCTTATACGACTTACTCGTAATAACTCTAAGCTTGAGTACTAACGCGGCAATCCTGACTCGACTATATCACGAGATGCTCCAGGCGCTGGATTATCTCGCGTCCCGACACTTGCTTCATCGCGACGTCAAGCCCGAAAATATTCTTTATACCTTATTGGACGACGGAACCTATCTCTTCCAGTTGGCTGATTTTGGCCTTGCCAATCAATGGGCGCAAGCAAAGACTCCATGTTGTGGCTCTCCCCTTTACATGGCGCCTGAAGTGTGGTCTGTGAAGCCGGAACTTGAACAGTCTCCCAAGGTGGACGTCTGGTCACTCTTTGTCGTCTTTGCTATTGTGACCCAGGAAGGAGGCCTTCACGCAGGGCTGCCCAGGGAGTGCGAGTCTCCGAGTTTTGTTCGAGCTGCGGCCGCTACTAGACTTAGAAGCCTCAGCCCAATGGCAAGAGAGAACCCCCATCTGCGGGCTTCGGCGGCTCAGATGCTCGTGGAACATTTTGATGGCCGTGGGCTGAGCACATCTCGACACCGAGTTGGCCGCATACCGGTACCAGACCAACCACTGCCAAGTGTCCCAGGAGCTTCGCACTTCCCTTGGCCCTGTCGCCCAAACCCGTCAAACCTGCAGTCGGTACTAACCTGAAGCTGAAGCGATTCAACAGCCACCGCATGCGTTGCCCAAACTTCTGGCGACGGGCAAAGTCCCTCGATGTCGCACCACCATGCCCTTCCTGCTGAAATAGAACGCCGAGGCATTTCTCTTTGGATTTGGGGGATTCTCGTGACACCTTCTACTCCAAAGGTTCAATTCGAGCCTCGCTACAGCGTGATCAAGACTGCACCTCTGTGACTCCCGTCTGGATTGAGTCCGAAGGCCTTGGCCCACTCATCCACGAAACCGACCGAGACTCGGACGAGATCTGGAACCATTTTCGAACCCGCTGCTCAATCATGGAATGAGAAACTCACGTCCTGGTATCCGGGGTCCCGTTCACTGGCAGTGCCTTAAGCAACTTACAATCTTGTTATCACCAGGTACCTGAACACCGAAGACTCGGTTTGTGATCACTGTGTACACCCAGGTATGCCGACGAAAACAAACCCCAACTATGTGAGCGTGCCTCGAGAAGGTGAGGCCACAGAGCTCGCCATTTGAGGACGACGACGACAGACCACGCAGGGCGAACAAACTCTCTGGACACTGTGATGGTAATAATGGTGATGACGCCAATTCATTTACAGTAACGATCGTGCAGCTTACTAAGTTAGAGGTATCTTCCAGGGCTCTAAGCGCAACACCACTCCTATTTACGACAGTATATCCCAGTCTATGTGGCCAACTCCTCAGGTATCACATTTTCCCTAGTATTCAAATGGTCGCACTGTTGACTACTGATAATCAGTCTGATAACAACACTGTTTACATCGTCGCGATATCAAAGCTACGGCTCGCTACCTGAATCAATACCACCTCTAAGAGACAAATCAGTTCTCAACTAGAGTCTTGAGTCGAAGGATTTCAAGTATGCAGTCGCTAAGGTAAGGTACTTACTTACTACTAGATAGGCAGCGGGCAGGGAGGGTGTGGACTTGAACATAGTATGGCATTCAGAGGTTATCGTCGTCGTCGTCCTCCCCGGTCAGAGTTCTACGGTCTTCCGGCTTCTTTATTCTTGAATCGTCGCCGAATACAGGCAGACCACGGCATCTCCTGTTACCAGGAGGTCATCTTCGGTTATATTCCTGGTTCATTTCAATGTCACGCGAATCATAATGTGGTGGACCAAGGTTGGTGATCCCGAGATCCTTAAGTTGTACGTGTTAGGTACCTACCTACATACTTGGTATCGTCGGGTAGGAGGAGGTAGGTGATACCTGGGTACCTTGTAGTGCCGCAAAAATCTTAACTTCGCCCCAACCTTGCGTAGTACATAAAAATGGAGCCTGCAGTGAGGTACTAATAAATGGGCATTGCACTGCAATACTAATATTTGGAACTAATAAAGTTCGAGGTTTGATTTCTTTTTTGAATTTGCAATAAATACCATAATATATTACCACATGTCGTCGTCATCGTCGTCGTCCAAATGAGACATCCCATATTGGTGTCCCTGTCGTTGTTGTTGTTGTTGCTGTTGCTGTTGATGGTGGTCACGGTGGAGATGGTGGTGTTTGTTGGTGGTGCTGTGAGAATACTGCTGCTGCTGATTACTATGCCTGCCGCCGCCTGATGCTGCTGCTCCTCCTCCGCCACCACTAACGCCGTACACAACCACATTACTTTCCACAGTAAACTTGCTGCCTCTGGACCCTGGCCTTTGACCATGACCATGACTTGGACTCTGCCCTTCCGCCCCAGTCTGGTATTCATAACCGGAAGATATAATTGTATCACCGCTGCCAGTGTTGGTGCCGTTCGCCCCTTGCTGTGGACTATACGGCTGCTGCTGCTGCTCATCAGAGGATTGCGATTGCTGCTGCAGCTGCTGCTGTGAAACCACCGATCAGCGGACGAAAAAGATGCTCATCCTGCTGTACTACTTACCTGCTGATAACGCTGGTACTGGGCATACTCATCCGTCTCTTGGTCCTTTGGTTGCGTACTAGTAGCAGCTTGACCTTGTGGTTGTGGTTGTTGCTGTTGTCGCTGCTGCTTGGCACTTGTCGGCAAGTTCATCTGGGGATGCATCTGTTGCACCTTGGCCAAGTAACTGTACATGAAGTTGCTCAGCAACACTTGCGAATGCAAGGCTCGCCGGGGATTGGCCAGTTTGATGTGCGCCATGCGGTAGATGGCCCTTTCTTCCAGGATGGAGAACCGAGTCCAGTTGTAATCAATGTCGGGCTTCAGTTCTCGATAAGGCGGCTCCGGTGACAATCCGCGGTCGCGGTGTTTCTTGGAACTGTTTTCCTTCTCGGCTTTGGTCTTCTTCCCACCAAAGATGGATGAAAACAATCCTTCCTTTTCCTTTTTGGACTCGCCACTACTGGACGATTTTCTCTGGCTTTCCTTCTTGCGCTCTTCGTCCAGTTTCAAGCTTTCTCGATCTAACACCAAACTTTCGCGGCCTTTCCCGACACCATCGATAGAGGTTTGAAGCACGTCCAATCTTGTGTTGTCGTGCTGCTGCGGAGGTTTCGAGATTTTGGCCTTGGGTTTCTCAGGCTTCTCTTTGTCACCATCTTCTTTACCCAAAAGCCAACTCCAACTCGACTTCTTGCCATCTTCCTTCTTCTTATTATCTGCTCGCTTATCCACTGTTAGCGTCGGGATAAACGACAGATTGCTGGTGTTCGTGTCATTTCCTGGAAGCGGAGAAGGCTGTTCAAGGCTTTGTGCTGGTCGTGAAGGTGGCGGCATAGCATTGGCAGACGGGGATCGTCCAGTAAGGGATGGCAGTGATTGCTTGGAAGGCATGGGCGGCCTTTGCGGCGAAGCTGTTTTACTTCGGTCATCACGAGAAGACACTCTTTCTGGATGTCTCATGGGAGGTTGCTGGACAGGGGCAACGGGCGACTGCATGGATGAGGATCGTGGAGGCTGCACAGGCTTCTGTGGCTCCTCTGGCGGGGGCACTTCGACGATTTGTGGTACAGATTTCCGCTCGAAAGAAGGTGTCGTGGGCGGTGGGGACTTCGACACAGGTAGCGGTTTGCGCATCTCAGGCATACTAGCAGTGCTTGGTCTCCTGGAAACGTCATCATTACTGAAGACCGACTCGACTGAGGATGGGACAGGAGAAGCCGTATGGACGGACGACGGAGGGGACACGTCCCGGCCGGCAAGTCTGGAGAAGTTGGGAGCTGCAGTTTTTGCGGCCGTGGATGAGCCAGCAGGGTCCTTCAATGTTTGTGCCAGGTTTGACACATCCATGGATGCAAAGTTGGGGAGAGCTGGGATCGCAGGCACGGCTGCTTCCGGTGATTCTGGTCGGCTGCTGGTGGGACTTTCGGCGGCCGCTCTTCTGGCTGCCCGTTGAGCATAAGTCCCTCGGTCTGCTCCTCGCCCTTTGACACTTCCACCTCGTCTGTACGTGGTCCGGGTAGATCTCTTCAGACTAGAACCTGGCACAGAGGGTAAGATAATGTCGCCAGTTTCGTCCTCCATTGGCCTTTCCAAGCTCAAGTTGGAGAGCCCAGTCGTGGTCGCAACCAAGGTTTCCAACTCCTGTAAATTGGGATCTGGCAGGGCGGACTTCGGAGATTGTGACTTCTTCCTTTCCAACCGCTCCGCGCCATCCTGATATCCTACCGAACTATCGATCTGACGCGACAGCATCGATTTCTTCCGTCGCAGACTGCTGGGGCTTACGCCATCGGGGCTGAGCGAAGCAGATTTCGACGAAGAAGGAGACGTGAAGGCGGATAGTTCTCCTGATCTTCTCCGTATTTGTTCCGCCTTACTTTCGAGGAATGTCTTGAACTCCTTGGGTGCTAGTTCGGGATGGAGGCGGGCTGGGACCCAAAAAAGACGAGAGGCATCGTCTTCGCTCGAACTGGATGACGGCGCATTCGGCATGGCAGCGGCGCTGATCTGCGGGAGGTCGGGGTCGTCGGTAGCCCCAACGTTCATGGACATCCTCCTCAAGGCTTGTAGATTGCTCAGCTCTTGTGCCAGCCCAGCGGGGCTAGATTCATAATCGACATTGTTGAGAGGGAATTGCGAGGTGGCCGTATCGGACGGCGAGCGTTCGTGTGAATCGTGGACCGGTGAAGGCGAGCCCCGATGCTGGTCCCAAGGATGAGCCTCTACAGGTGACCCAACGTGACCTCCGTTTGACTCGGCGAATCCATTGTCGCTCGATCCCCTTCTCGGTGGCAATTGTTTCCTCTGAACAGCAGTCCCTCTTGAAGCCGAATCCTCCTCCATCTGTGACCCATTGACCATCACCGGGTGGTGGGAGTTTGCATGTTGGCGTGAGGATATTGAATGTTGTCGCGACTCGTTTTCGTGCTCATCGTCGTAGAGGTAGCCGATCGTCTCGGTGACATGATGGCTCTCGTCGCTGATCGACAACTGTGGAAGGTGCCCCCTCCGGGCTGCGAAGCTCGCGCCCGTGTCTCGACTCCGGATTGAGGTCTATTAAAGTCATTGTGTCAGCACCCACTACTGTAGATATCAACGTCCATCAAGTGGTCCTTGTCCGAGAAGTCCAGTCGTTAAACCTCTCCGTACACCTGAGATCGGTGATGTACGATTCGATAAAGGAGACGCACCTGCATGGAGCGGACAGGGGGCTCGAGATGTCCAGAGTCCGTGTCAAGACTCTATACGATTTCCAGCGCGATCAGTGACAGACGTATGCCTTCCTCCAAGCCTGTCTCCTGCGCACAGTGGCCGACAGGTTGGTGCTCCGGAGGAGACTCCTTTGATCATCGGATTCGGTGCTCAGGCAAAAATCGCAGAACGGGATAGGGACCTCGGACACTCAGGCTCAGGCTAATCGTGGGCGGGAAGACGAGATGACGGAACTTGTAGCAAGGCAGTGGTTAGGGAGTGAGCGTGTGCCTTGTGCAGTGAGCCATACCATGCCACTGCAGTAAGTGAGTGGCTTTCCAGCAGAGACACCCTGGTTCGCGTTAAGGGAGTGCCAGTGCCAGTGCAATGCCAGCTCCAGTCACGGTGGTCACGGTGGTGGGCTAAATCAGGCTCCGGCGCAGGCTCTTTAGGCTTGGACTTGTGGTGATGTGCCAGTGCCGCATGCCAATGGGGGTCAAGCTGCCGTGGTGGTTCGTCGTAGTGGCCGCGCCCCCGTCGTGACCAATGGCGCCAGGGGCTTTTCGGCGCTCATCATCCTTGTCCAGCGCCCCCCAAACCGCAAATGGCCCAACGAGCAACCAGCAGATGGCGCCCGGTTCTGTTGGCGTCGGAACTCCACCCAAGCTGCTGGTCAATGATGTGAAAGGGCAGGTATTCATCCTGGTCGGGTAGCAGTACTACTAGTACTAAAGTTCTACCTAGGTACTTCTCAAGGGGGTCATCGAGGATCGAGGATCGGACAGTCATGTCAAAAAGCTTCTAGGTGTAAGATCCGATCGAGTTCTAGGCCTCATGCTACGTAAAACATTTCATCCCGTACGCCTGTCGTCACGTTTTCTGGCACAAAAAGACAACCAATGCTTCATCCCCAGGGGTTGTCAAATACATCGGGTACAGCACCAAAGCCGTTGCTTGTCCCTTTAGGCGCTGCTGCCGCTGGTGGTGCTGCTGCTGCCGGTCCCGCTGCGGATGTCCAACCTCCAAAGTCTTCATCTGCGGTCACGGTCGGTTGATGGGCAGGCTTACTGCTGGCGGATGAGATAGGCTCGGCCCACCCTCCTGAGATGTCATTGGCCGTAATGTGTTCCGGTGGTCTTCCGAGGTCGACCTTGGGGGCAGCCGGCTTCGCAGGTGCAGGTTCAGGTGCTCCCCAAGGGCTGCTGTCAGTACCCGAACCCCACGGATCAAACAATGCTGAACTGCTCGGAGCAATGGTAGGGGCCTTGAATGGCTGATCCGCTGGCTTGGGCGCGGGTGCTGGCTGTGCGGACAAGTTGAACGGGGAACTAATAGGTGCTGTGGCAGATGCTGAGGATGTGACCTTGGGCGATGCTGGCTTAGGCGGCGAAGTCGGGACCGAGCTTGCAAAGCCACCAAACTCCTCAGCTGCAAACAAGTCGGCCGGAATCGATGAGGGTGCCGGTTTGGGTGCTGCGGCTGGAGCTGGTGGAGGAGACGTGACCTTCTGCGTGAAGGAAAAATCCAAACCATTTGATGGTAGAGGCGAGGTTACGTTCGGTTTAGGTGCTGGCGGCTTTGACGGTACAGTATCGAAGAAACTACCACCACTCAGAGGAGGTGGAGAAGTGATTTGTGGTGCCGCAGGTGTAGCCTTTGAAGGAACCGAGCTGGGGAGACTGCTGAAGGCTGAGAACGTCGATGACGGTCGCGCTGACGAGGCGGGTGCGGGTGCTGGTGCCGTTGCATTGCCACTGCTGAAATTCAATCCGCCAAAAGCGTCGGCCAGTCCACCGAAAGCGTCTTGTTTCGCTGGAGGGGACGTCATGCCACCAAACGACGGTTCTCGGTTATGCTGAGGTTGTGCAGCCGGCTGAGGTTTTGGTGCACTGGCATATAACGACAGGATCGAGCTCTTGAGATCTCCACGTGAGTTGGTCGACTGTGTAGGGTTGGATGCTGCACTTGAAGGACGACCGATCCCGGCCGACGGGGTGTTGCCAAAGAAATCAAGTCCAAGCAGCGAGTCCTGCGGCTTTGAAGCAGCTTTGGGTGCCGCTGCTGGTGCAGGCGCTGGCGGGCCAGTCTGCGTAGGTCTCTGAGTCGGAATGTCTGTAGTACTTGGCCGGACTGGCGGGGTTGGGGCGAAATCGTCAAAGAGGTCCACGTTTGCAGGTGCTGCTTGACGAGGCCGTGGTGGTGGCTGGGCTGCCGTTTGTCGTTGTGACTGTGAAGCTGATCTCTCAATCTTGGCCTTCTCCTGAACAAGGTTGAGAGGCATATCATCGTCTCCGTGTTCATCCAGGGTGGAGGGATCAGGCATCGGACCATCCATTACCCATCTCTTGGATTCATACTTGGTCCGGATGAAGTTCTCGATCTTTGCCTCAGACGGCACATGGCCTGGTGCCAGTTTTGCTTCCCAGTACTTGTTCGCCCGAGAATTGCCCCATTTCAGTATACTTTGCAACTGTTCGTCGGTCCAAGCATCAAGGTCGACAGACTTGACGCGGCTGATGTGGGTGCCCATCCCTCGGTGAATGCCGGAGCATCGTATGCAGATAAAGACTCCAAGATTCCAACTCGCCCATCGTGGATGTTTGTTTCTTTTGCAGTCTGCACAAACCTTGTTTCCTTCGAGTTTGACCAAGGCCTTCAGTGTTTGTGCATTCTGCGCCGCCCTTTCGGGAGGGGGCCGTTGTGACATGAGGCAAGACAAGCGCGGTGTGTAGGGGCGTAAATTGTTTGACTGTGTCCTGATAGAGCAGCTTGCAGAGGGTCGTGGAGTTCTGAGGTGTGTCGAGGATGTGCACAAGGGTAGAAACAGATGGTCGGTTGGTGTGAGGATGGTTTGTTTGGAACACGGTATTCACAGACGTCAGTCAATTTCACGGTGCCTGTGGTGCCGTGCCGTGCAACTCGAAGTCGCCAGCGGAGGCGTCAACTCGGACCTGAGGCCGGCGTGGCTTGGCACGGTCAGAGCGGACTTGAATCGCCTCGGAATCGGAGTTGGCCACAGCCCATGGAAGTCCTTGCCTCGACCAGTTTCTACAACACACTGAATCGGATCTGTAAGAACAAAAGACAATCTAGCTCTACTAGTACTTCTCAAAGCCCTCTTTATACCACGGGGATTACGCTGGATTATGGTAAAGGTTGACCGTATCCTCCAATAGCATGTTGGGCAGGTCTATGGATGGCCTCCTTGGCCAGCCTCGCAGTGCTCGTCCTGCTCGACAAAATGGCGCCAACATCAAGTACTGTACCTCACTCAGTCCGGTATGCATATCATATTCATCTTACAACTTGTTTACACAACCTCAACTTACTACGAAGCGAGAACCTGAAGGGACTTCTCATCAATGAAATCCCATCATATGATCACTTCGTGGCTCGAGGCTTTGACGCGGTCTTCCAGACCTGTTCTGCCAGTGTTCCAGACTTCCCATCCCACCGCAGTACACTTCCTCCTTCTTTTTATTTTATTTCGCCTCCCCATTTCCCGCCCCATTTGCACCATTCGTTGTTCCCGCCGCCTCATCCTCCTTTTCATGAAACTTCAAACTCACACTATTCACACAATGTCTCTCATCCGTCGGCGTAGGATACCCCTCCCCCTTGAACACATGTCCTAAATGACCACCACAATTCGCACAAACAATCTCAGTCCTTTCCATGCCAAAGCTGGTGTCCGTATGTCTCTTGACCGCACCCGGAATGCTGTCAAAGTACGCTGGCCACCCGCACCCGGACTTGAACTTGTGGTTGGCCTTGTAGAGCGGCGCGTTGCACGCCGCGCACGTGTAGACGCCCTGAGAAGGGTAATGTTTGTCGTATTCGCCGGTGAAGGGGGCTTCGGTGCCTTTTTCGCGTAGAATGCGGAATTGTTCTAGAAACACACAAGAAACACGGTTATCGCCAATCCCTCTCGAACATAACAAGGAAAAGGTAGTCGCCCATAGCCCACAAAACATAAACAAAAGGTCATGACCCACCCCTCTCAAAAAGCGTTCAAAGGGTTCGCTCAAACGTACCTTTATTCAACACCGCCCGCCATTCATCGTCGGAGCGGGAATCTGGATACGACATCTTGTCTCCTTGTGTTCTAGTAGATGTGCCGAAAAATGAGCCTAGGAAGGGAATCGAGGGCATGGATTTTAAGATGATGGCGCGATGGTGGATGTGGACCGGGGCGCCGCCGAGTCTGCTGATACCCCGCGGCAGGGCTTGGAGGCGGAATTGGTGGGCTGTGGAGTTGCTGAAGGCGTAGAGTGTGCGGACGAGGTTTGTGAATGATGGGAAACGCATCAAGGACTAGGATTGAGAAGAGAGGTCGTCGATAGATGATTAATAGGAGATGGACGACAATCCAGCAGGAGAGATAGGTAGTAGGTATACAATGTATGCCTACCTAGGGACGCCTTCGACTAAATAATAAATGGTGATGATGACATACACATCAGCGTGAATAATCCCCGAGTTGCTGATGCTCGGAGAACCTCATACACTGCCAAATGTGGGGAAAAGGCTTCTTGATCACGTATTCAGACGTAGCCTCTATACAGAAGACAACGCTGCAGCTTAAGTATGGCAAGGGAACACTTCAAATTCAATCAGACCATTAATGAGGACTCCCTAGTCTAATCAAAACCCCGTCAACTGCTTACATCAATCGTACATCCATCCATTCATACAGCTTGTAGATCATCCCGGTCGAGGAGACAGACACCTCCACCTTCGCATCATCGCCGTGTCTTCCCCTTCACGACCAACTCTCCATGTCCAATCTCTACCTTCCAGCCCTCCCGAATGAGCATCCTACTGACCGCGGGCCCGATCCGGGGAGCATGGTTCTTGCTGTGACTGCCTACTCCTGTGACAATTCTGAGCCCAGCTCTTACAGGACCACCTCCGCCAGGAGCATATTTTGCCTCTCCCAGATTATCCCACCACTCCTGCGTCTTGGAGGCCGCAATGCGGACTGCGTCCTGAACTGTCACGCCGTGCAAATCAAGAACCGTCGACGTAGACTGGCTGGCGACAAGGGCGTCCGCTTCTGCTGCTTGGAGCGCCTTGGCCGCCATGGCGCGCTCGCGGCCAACCTCGGAATGATATGCTGCCACGCCTCCATAAAGCCGGTCAGATTTGCTTCTTCGATATGCAGCAGACGCTTGATCGAAGCACTGGTTCGCTGCACGTCGGAAGGTCGCAGCGGTTGCCCGACCAGTCCCATACTGGGCAGTCGTCCAAGATGACGAACCTGATGACGGTTCATTCTCATTCTCCTTTTCCTTCAAATCTGGTGGCGCATATTGAGCAGTCATTTGCAGCGCTTCTGGAGAGCGTGTCCCTGTAGGTGCCGTCATGGCTTTCAGAAGTTCATGGGCCGCAGATGGGATGTTGCGAGCCAGAGTCAACAGGCCGTAGATCTGAGATTTGGGCACTTGGTCAAATTCGTCCTGAAATTCCGCGATCTGGAGTTCAATGACCGGATCGATGTCTTCTAGGCTGTCATACGTCGATGCCTCCTTCTTGGCCAGTGCGCGAATAGTTGCTCCAAGCCGGGCGCCATTCGCATGGTATGTAGATCTTACCACCTGGGGCTGGAGTGTTGTCCTCGAACAGATGAAGTCAACATCCTCAGACATCGTAGACCATATGTTCGTGGGTTTATGCTCGCCTTGGTGCGTAGCAGAGCCAATGGAGCTGGTCCGCGAAGACTCGTTGGTCCGCGTCTTTCTCCTCTTTCTGCTCTTGCGTTTGCTTTGTACCTCTTCGGCGAAAGCATCGATACCTTTGAAAACCGGCGCATCTTCTGCCGTTTGTCCGTCATCTTCTTCTCTCAGGAACGAAAGGTTCAGCAGTTCGTCGGTAGCCTTGTCTAGGGATCCGTTATGGCTATCCAGCACGTCGGCGAGCTCCCGCTTCGGTATGTCGGGGAACAACCGTTGTAGCCATGATGTCTTCTGTTCAGAGGTAGATCCATCAAGATCTTGACCTAGGCCCTCTGAGTTTTGCCATTTCAGTTCTGACAAGCCAGTAGTTATGCTTGTGACCCCATTGGACACTGTATCTTCAGGACTTGATCTCGTCGTTTCCGTTGTATCTCTGACGTGGCCATGACCTCCAGTCCCCGACGGATCGAAGTCTGCATTTTCTTGTTCTATTGCACTGGCCTTCAAACTTTCGAGCACTTCGATCAAGGCATCCCGATCGCGAGGGAGATCGTAGTCCGAAGCAATAACATAGAAGAGGGCATCGTCCAGGGGAGGGCAATAATTCACTTGCAGTGCCTAGTCACCAGTCAGTATGAAACAAACCAGCAAGGAAAAGACGAGCATGACCTCAAGATCTGATGTGCAAGTGTCCATGTCATAAATCTAGAATTCCGACTCCCCTTTGATGTGGTCATGTTTGGTTCGCAAAGATTGTGAAGTATAGAGGAGAAAACAAATTGAAACTGCGATTACGCATAGACAGAGTTGAAATACCTCGCATAGTGAAGGAGAGTTCTTTGAGTTGAAAGGGTTCAAATTGTTAATGTAAGAATCATTATGGAGTCCCGCGGTTGCGGTGTCATTTGTACCACTTGCACGACAACAAAATGCGTCACCGCCCAAAATGCAGCCTGTGCGGCTACAATAATGTCACTTAGGGACCCGGCCCCTGAATATCCAGCCTTGAATCCAGCCTTGAGATCTACCCGGCTGCCCTTGTTCACAATGGAAACACAATGAGCCTATGGATGCAACTTTTGTTTTACAGGGCACTCAGTGCAGGCTGCCCTCGGTGCGGTCTCCTCTAGATTGCATTTCGAACGGACTGCTGTATTTACGGAAGAGGAGCATTTCAGAACCTGGAAGTATCATAGGTGTTCTAGTAGCTACCTAGGTATATGCAAGTATGTACAAGCGCTGTTTTGTCGCCAGACATCTGTGGCCATAGCTCGGCGGCTTTGTTGAACAAGGTTCGGTGCGAGTCGTCAAGAGTGTCGTGAGTGGAGAATGAAGATAAAATCTTCTTAGAGCCCGCCATGTAACAGTACGCCTTGTCAGACCATGCCCAGGTACTGGGAGATAGCCGTTGCAGCAGGCGTCCGCCAGATCGGTTTAAGCCGGCGCCTTGCTCATCTCCAGGATGGCCGTCGTCAATCCCAGCGTATCCGTATACACCTGGTAGTACTCAGCTTGGAGCTCTCCTTCCCCGTTGTCCGCGAAAACTATCCAGCTGGCGAAGTCTGCATCAACTCTTCGCCCATTCTTCAGCTCATACCAGACTGATCCATTGACGATGATCTCCTGGCGGCCACTGTTGCTACCGCCTGCAACGGCAAAACATTTTCCAAGTGTATGCTGAAGTTTCACAACCGGGCCATTAGCTGGATGGACCATGGATGTCTTCATTGCACGAATCGCATCATGCCCGGTAGCTGGCGTTGAGCCGAAGATGAGTTTCCCATTGGGAGCGAAAAGCCTCAGGTACTCGTCCTTTTCCGGCCGTTCATCGTCCCAGGCCTTGAAAAAGGCCGTGAGTTTGGGGCCCAGGTTGGCGGGGATCGACGACTGATTTTCGAAAGTGTAGTTGTCTCGTGAAGACATGATGGGTATCTGGACAAACAACAGAAGTGCAAGAAACTATTGATGACTCAAAGAGGACACGGAAGGACCGGAAGCCTCACTTCAAGACGTACGGTGAAGGAAACAAATGCGGCTTTGGCCGCTAAAGTGAGGGGTACCATGGGGGTCGTTCTGGATATGCAATTACCTCTCTGAAAACGCCGTCGCTCCAAAGATCAGTCTTTCAGTGAAGCGAACCAATGGGTGTGATTATACGCTCCAGGAGTGCGGTGCATCGCAAGTTCGTCGCTTCGTGGATTGCACTCGCGGGTGGTGCTGTCTAGCAGTCGAGTTATAGAGACCAAAAACCCTCCAAAGTTATACCCGTAATGATGTTGCGATATCGGAATAACAAATCCTCTCCTTCACCAGTTATACCTCTCGCCATGTGTAGCCTTTTCTGCCCAATGTTTCAGGGTCAGGTGTTTTCATGGCGTTTGTATCGGCGAAAGGGTCATCCGGATCATCATCGTCCACATCACTGTCGCTTTCACTATCGCTCTCAGCCTGCTTCGCCTTCCAGTCAGAAGTCGGCCGTGGTGGAGGCATGGAAATATGCCCGGGGGCTGGTCGGGGAGGCTTCGGTGGGCTTGAGATGCTCAACCCAGCAACCATTCTCTCCGCATCACGGGCTGCAGACTGTTCGCTTTTGGCTGCTATTCTGCTGAGATGCTGAGCTTCTTCTAGCTCGCTGTCTGAGTCGTCGTCCACGGATTTGTCCAGAACCTCAAAAGCCATTAGAGCATTAACCAGCTCTTCATTGGCATGGATCAGCCCACCAAGAAACTCTTCTGACTCCACAAATTGGATATAGCGTAGGATTTGTCGCCGCAATTGCTTGCAGGTCTCAAACCTTTTCATAACTTCGGGGTTGTCGGAGACTCGTTCCGATTCCCGGTTGACCAGCCGCAAAGCGTTCGTCAGGCCGGTGGAGGCGACCGACGAAGCAGCTATCGACTGCAGTATGGCAGGTTTTTCACGTTCGAGATCAAATCCTTTCACCTTGCCTTTTTTGTCCTTCTTCACCTTTTTGGGCGCGAAGGACGAGGATTGGCCAAGAGTTATGGGCGAGCTCTGTTTCCTTAGCACTGTAGGGCTGGAAGGCTCCCCAGCTCTTTGTAAACTATCCGATCTGTGTCTTGCCATCTCTCTTTCTTGTTCCCGCTGTACGTCTTCTTCCGTCTCCCGGAGTACTCTGCTTTGTTCCCGCCTTTGCTGGACGGGCTTGTGGGTTTTCGGTAACTGGTTATAAAGAGACTTGGCACCTTCGAGGCCCGGGTTGTGTTCTGAACTTGATACCCATTGACCAAAAAGGACTTTGCATTTGGCTCGGACATCGGGATCTGATGTAGGGTCCGCAGCAGCGATTCGGAGTCGCTCTAGGAGGGGTCCATCGGACAGAAGGCCACGCTGGAGCCTAGTTCCACCATTTTGTAGGAGCCCATCAAGTATTGTAAGTGCCCTAAGTTGACGATGCACGTTACCATACTTCAGCTTTTTCCTCAGTGCACGAGCCACCTCCTGTGAGCCGGTCGCTTGTAACTTGACGACCTCGAGAAGATCGGGAACACCAGAAAGATCGTCTTCGTCGTAGGTTTCGGAGGTCAATTGTTCTACGTGGACCGAGATCGCGGAGAAGGGTTTCTTCTGTTTGTGGTAACGATAACGAGTCAACAGCTGGTATCTCCTGGCCGAACGAGCACAACATGCGAAATGTAGTAAGACAGCAACGAGAAGTTTGCATCCCCGTAACTGGGGAGGTGGTGGCCGTCGCAAAATAACAGAGGGAGGATGATGCGGAGGCCGGGCCTCAAAGGACCTTAGGCGCCTTTTCCGACCACAGCAGTCGCACTCCTCCGACCGCTGAGAGTGTAGTATTGATTCCAGTTCATATTCGTCGATGGCGTCCCTGTGCAGAGAGTCCAGCCGAGGGAGGTCCACGAAGCCGGCATCAGGAGCACAGGTTGCGGAGTGCACGAAGAATACAGACATGGCGGGCTTCATGGCGGCATGATGTGGTGGGGTAGATGGATCAGGGTTTCGGGTGGACGAATGCGGTCTGCGAAGGGAATATCGGACGAGGAGATGGAAGGGAAGGACTTACTGAGGCGGAAAACATGGCGGTCGGGCACCTATGTATTGCAAAGCTACCAGGTATTGTCGGTGATCTGGGATGTAGTGCCAGAGCATTGAGATGAGCGGGTGTAAACTGCGGTTGTAGTTCACACTGCAGTCCATGGAGGTTGCGGACAAGCAAGCACCGTCACCGGCTCTGAAGGGTTAGGCCCGGTTCGCTGCGCCGTAGCAGTGCTACTGACCAGTAGTAGTACAGTATTACAGTATACAGTAACTGGAGGACCCAGCCAACGGCCGAGGGGCCCTAGGCTACACCTCCGACTCGGAGCACTGCAGTTAGACCGCAGTCCAACCAACCGCAGCCGACAACATCACCCGTCAAAGCTCAAGCCTCCAGCTCGCCGCGTTACGAGACGCATCTCTCTCAGCGATTGTCAAACCCACCACGTCTAGAAGCTGAGGTTCAAGATACTCCGAGGCTACAGGATGGCTCGCAATTGAGTTCTGCTGAATGTGTCCTGATCACGTCAATGGTCGAGACAAGGCAGAACCTCATAGATCGTCGGTCCGGCTAGCATTCTTCGCACCTCAGATCCGCCTCCTTCTCGCCTGGCACTGGCAAGTCAATCCTGGCCAGCTTGCATGCGGATTCTGCCCCTTCTTGGACGGACTGGAAACGGCTCGATTCACAAATCATCCGCTCGGCGATGGGGCTCTTAAGCTTTCTTTTGTACCTTCCGAGTTGCGAGAAGCTATTTCTATGCCACGGGCTATTACGGTTGCGTGGGACAGTAATAGGATCTCTGCCTGAGGTTGCTGCTGTGGCCCCGCGGGTGTCGACATGCAAGCTCATAAGACGGGACTACTCTTTCGAGAGCGGAACCTGTATCGATATATCTGACTGAGAGTATACAGTGTAGGCTCTGTGATCCCGCTGCCAGTACACAGCCCCGAGACTGTAAGACCTGAAAGCAAAGACTGCGATCCCAATGAAGACGTGAAGAACATTCGGCTAAGAAGCGAGGCACGCTGGGTTGGATCACATCACGGTCTCCCGCCTCCGTTCCACTTCTGTCTGAACCATGACCAAGCCTGTGCAGCTATCCCATTTTTGCTGGAGAAAACATTCAAGTGCCAGCGGGGTCGTATACCAGGACTATGAGGTCGACTCTAGCCTCACACAATATCTGCGCATACCCATCTTCTGCAGCGGGCGGTGACACGGGGAACGGCGTCACGCATGAACAGCGAGAACCTGGGTGATCCTGGCACAGGTCCCCTTACAGGGTCAGCTACACTGGCATTCCATCACACATTGCAGCCCAAGGTTCCTGGAAAAAGGCACAAGCTAAAATCTCATCTTGGTCTTTTAATAGATAACAATGCCGGGGACATCAGTCCTGCCCACCAGTGGCATGGCTTGCTGTAGTAAAACGTTGTCCAAAGCAGCACTTCTCGCTGGCCTACCTAGTAGGCTGTGGGTGCTGCTCAGGCCACAACGATTCAGGAAAGGCTGAGGCTGCATGGTCACACTGCGTGGTCAGACCTTAGCTGCTCTTTGCCGAACTGAATGTAGAGCTTTGGTGAACTGTGGCCGATCGCAAAGGCCGGGGTTCTTTCTGGCTCGCTCGGTCTGCCAGTGGAGGGTGTCAACACAATTCTAGAGGTCATGCTCTATCACACAGCTTCCGGATACAGCGCGGAAATACAGGTATGCTTGAGCCCACTGTTTGGAAACTTAGACTCTGTCTTCTGTACACTGCAGTTGCCTCGCACAAAGGACGATACTAGTTGCGGGCTCAACTTGAATGGAATACAATCAGATTGCACAGGGTTCGGCACGAGATTAGGTCCAAGCTTGGCGAACGGGACCCTGATAGCGCCCGGACTCGGCGGGCAAAGCTGCATCATGTCCAACCTGAAGGCGCCTGCTCCGGATTAGCAAACAATCAAGTCCACCACCCTGGGCCCTCTATCTATGAAAATAACTCTGCTCAATCGTAATAGGCTTAACCGGAGGAACAGTCCTGGGCTCATCATTGTTGTTTGCACGGTAGCAGTCGCGATCATCGCCATCATCCTGGCACCTCTTCGCCGCGCGTCGTTGTCGCTGGCTCTGTCCCGAGTGGCTGCTCTGACCTCACAGGTAAACTTCCACCCCACCAGCATCATCCCCGGGCTTGGCATCAGATCTCGAGCAGACGCGGCAGAAGCAAGGACAACCTGTTCACAGAGCGGCAGCAAAGACATTACGCAGAAGTCAAATACTAGTTCAAGTTCTACAATGGCGTATGAGAAAGAACTCAAAGTCGCCCAGCTGGCAGTCGCCCGCGCGGCGATCCTCACGAAATCGGTGTTCCACCAAAAGGCGAAAGGCACTGTATCAAAAGACGACAAATCACCCGTGACCATTGGCGACTTTGGAGCACAAGCACTCATCATTTCCGCAATCAAGCACAACTTCCCGTCGGACGAAGTGGTGGGTGAAGAAGAAGCATCGTCGCTCCGAGAGCAAAAAGACCTTTCCTCGACGATCTGGGAGCTGGTCAAGGACGTGAAACTGGACGACGCCGAAAGCGATGCATTGCTCGGCGGACCGATCAAGTCTGAGGCGGCCATGCTGGACACCATCGACATGGGCAACAGCGCCGGCGGCAACAAAGGCCGCATCTGGGCGCTCGACCCCATCGACGGCACCAAGGGATTCCTCCGTGGTGGGCAGTACGCCGTGTGTCTGGCGCTCATTGTCGACGGAGACGTCAAGGTCGGCGTGCTAGGCTGTCCGAATCTGCCGGTCGACGACCGCGCCCCGTTGACCGAAGACATTGGCTCCGCGGCCACCGATGAAGAAGGCAAAGGCGTTTTGTTCGCCGCCGTGTCAGGCCAGGGCGCGACCTCACAGCCGCTCACGCGTGGCGCCGTGTCTCAGGGCCAGCCTATCCATGTCAGCAAGATTTCAGATGTCAGCCAGGCTGTCATGTGCGAATCCGTTGAGCCCGGCCATAGCTCGAAGGGGGACAATGCCTTGATTGCCCAGAAGCTCGGTATCACTGCCAAACCTGTCCAGATGGACAGCCAGGCCAAGTATGGTTCCGTCGCCCGCGGCGCTGGTGACTTGTATCTTCGTCTTCCGGTGCGCAAGGACTATATCGAGAAGATCTGGGACCATGCCGCTGGCGATCTGATCGTCCGTGAGGCAGGTGGGCACGTCACCGATGTCCAGGGCAAGAGACTCAACTTTGGCCTGGGAAGGACGCTTACGGAGAATAAAGGTGTCGTTGCGGCTCCGAAGAATGTTCATGGTCAAGTCCTCCAGGCTGTTCAGGAGGTGTTGAGCAGCAAATGATTCGGTCGGATGGACAGTTGTTCGGGACTAACGGTGGATTAATTAATACAATCCCCGGGTGTTTGATTGACCCCAGACTAAAAGTTATACCAAACCAGAGATACATGATAGAGCACGAGAAAGTAAAACTACAATCCAATGGTTGATAGATGCCCAACGCAGTGCGGGACTCAAGGCGACGCTCACCCTGTTCACGCGTGGATTTGATGGAGAATACATCACACGCCAACAATATACGTTGAGCTTGTTGAGCCATAAGACTTGCCACTGCTCCATCAACCTTCTCATCTATTTGATCTTCTTGGCCTTCAACCGTATCGTCTCGTCGTCGATGAAAATGCCCTTGCCCTTGTACGGCTCTGGTTTCCGCCACGTCCGAATCTCGGCTGCAAACTGCTTAATGGCTTGCTTGTCACATCCCTCAAGCAAGATCCGCGTCGGCTGCGGCACGCTTGCCTTGACGCCCTTGGGCACCGGCATCTCGACGGGATGTGCATACCCCAGCTTCAGATTCACAAACTTCTGACCTGGGTATTCAGGTTTCTTGGTGATGGCCGAGTCCTCCACTGTCGCACGGTATCCCACACCCACAAGTCGCAAGATGCAGAGGTGTCCTTCTGAGACGCCCGAGACGGAGTTTTGTACAAGAGCGCGCATTGTGCCTGAAAGAAGAAGGGAAAGACATGTCAGTTACAGATCATTATACTTGTGCTGTCTTCCCCTAAGCAGTAGCGTTCGACTCACCCCACATTGAGCGCTGGTGTTTCTCCGCCGCATCGCTCACGCTGATACTGAGTTTGTTGGAGACCTCATCGTGCTCGGCTTTCAAGTAGGGCGGTAGTGGGACGGTCATTTTGCCTGCTCATATTAGCCGGTGGCTTTTCCAACCTTTCTCTCCCGTAAATTATTCCATACCCAGCGGTCCCGTCACCTCCAACGCAGCACTAGGGGTGTCTGGATTTCTACTCCGCGCATTGGATTTGGGGAGATCGTAGAACCGCAACGAGACCTCGGGCGGGATGGTGATTGGCGTCCGGCCGATCCGCGATTGAGGGATGTGCTCTTGAAGCGTCGAATTGTGTCGGCATGTCCAGGGTTGGGTGAGAGCTGGGACGAGGAAGGATGGGACTTCTCGCGAGCGGCCTGCATCGCGCACCAGATGGCGGAGGGAGGATTGGAGGCCGGCGCAGGCCATGTTGAGAAGCGGTAGGGTGTGTGTTCTGGTCGCGGCCGTGGGGTGTTTGGGTATCACTAGGAGCCTCACTCCTTGTCTTTGTCGAGTGTTCACTCACTCGGTTCTCCGGCCGCGAAGATCAAGATTGTGGCATCTTTGGAGTATTGGTCTCTATCCTAAAGTCAATGCCCATCGGGAGCAGACAATAATTTGTGCAGTTCCCTACACAGCTTCTGATTGGACATTGGTCAAGTTGGTCACGTGGACATGGCTGCACTTCAACAACCCGGCGCAGTTTCTTCACTTGCAGCCTGAGGTCAAGGAAACTTGAAGTCTCCCTTCTTGAAGTTGGTCGTCAGCGACTTGAACTTCAAGTTGAACCCCATACTTTCGCAGGATTTGTGGAGGATAGGTTTGCTGTGAATGCTCAGGCTGTAGAGACATTTGGGGATTGTGGGAGATGCTCATGGCAGGCCCACTGCAGTGCTCCGTGTCTTTTCCTCGTTAAAAGAGTGCTTGTTCACACTTCGTGGAAGGCTTCCATTCCAGTGAGCTTCTGCTGGTTGTCCATGTAACATGATCTTCATCAGGCTGCCCTTCACCCGCAGCTTATACTACCTGGTAGCATGGAGAGTGACGGAGGGACAATAGTTGCCGTCAAGGTCCAGTGCTGCAGTGGTCTCCGGTCATGCTGAAGCTTTCAAGTTCCGGACTCTTGTATTCAACCGACACCATTCTCCGGATCATGATTTCCTTCTTTCTTTGCCATGCTCTATCCGTCACTCCCCGTTCAGTGTCGAGCAACTTCATGCTCTTTCCTCAGCTGCAAGCACCTTTGCACTACAATCTTTGATTTTCCGCTGAGTTTCGGGCAAGAGTGAGGCCTCGTCACAGAGAGACCCGTCGACACTAACTCTTCACCTTCTTCAAGGTTATCTACAAGCTCCTCCTAAAAGAGCTGCTTGTCTCTTTCCTATAAACACGGGCTGAGTCAATCTTTCTTCTTTCTTTCTCTCCAGCTTACTTATCTCTACTCCTTTGCTCTCATTCATATCGGCCCACTTTTAAACCTCTTGCTTCTTTGTCTTTGATCTGCTATCCTCAAACTCGATCGTCCAGCCGCCCGAGATCGACACCATGGGTCTCAAGGAACGGTATCGATTCCCGCTTTATATTCGGTTCCTCATCATTACCAGCTTTTTCCTTGCTCACATTTCTCCAGCCAAGTCACTTTTCAACGGTAAGCGTTTAGGGAGAGGGGTGGTGGTGAGCGGGGTCTAACTGCATCAGCCGATTTGAAATGGCCTGTTATACGCCCATCACACAATGAGCTTCAGCCGAGTCTCACCGATCTTCTCACGTACAGAGAGCCGGATCAAGATGCGGTCCTCGAGAAAGCTATGCACGTTATCGAAACCCTGGCAACCCAGTCAACGTGTCATCAGGGTGCCGCCGCTCAGTTGTTGATCACTTGCAACACAGTCGGAAAAGAAGAGCAAGGCAAGCATGAGCTTTTGGAACGAGCCAAGTCGGTCTACGCAGTGAGGGTGGCGGTCTGCGAAACTAGAGAAGGCCGAGCAGCTGTCCCCACCGCATGCAAACCTGTTCTGGACATGCCAGAACGATCCGGCAGAGAGATCGACGTGGTCAACGGCAAGTTGCTGTCCTCTTGCTTGGAGGCTCTGATCGGCGAACACTATTACTGGACGAGCTACAGCAACAGCAGACAAGATGCCAACACTCTATGTCAGGCCAGATCTCTCGAAGCTACAAGATTGGAAGCGCTTCAGTCATGTCAGAAACTTGCCGAGCTTATCCCCGATTTCCGTGAAGCTTTAATGTCGACCCAGTCTAGGTGGCGAGATTTCATGAAACAGCAGGAAGAAAACGCTCTCAAGGTCAACAAGCTACAGCAGACAAACACAGCTGAGCTCAAGGAATTTCACAAGATGGAGCTTGGGGCGTTGCGCCGGGTAATGAGCGTTGCTAAGGAAGGCTTCGAAGACATCTCTCGAGGGTTTCAACAGTCTATTGTCAAAACAGGCTCGGACGTTGAGGAAACGCGCGAGGTGAGCTTGTACGCTATCTTGTGCAGGGACCGAACGTACTAATGAAAATAGGCACTTGGACATGTGATGACCGACTTTATGGCCCTCAGAAACCTCCTGGCCGATGCTATCCAGGCTACCACGAAGAACAATGCTGAGGTTGCTGCGGCGCAAGCGAGTGACTTGCATACTGTCCATGAACTGGCTTTGGCCACGACCGAGACATTGAAAGAGCTACAAGCGAACGAGGCAGTTCAGGTAGGCCAGAGGCAAAATTGATGCGAGCTGTGCTTACAATTTCTAGCACGTCAACGCATTATTCCAGAGTGTCACGCTCCAGCTGGACAAAGTTGTTGCCGCCCAAGCCTTGCAGTTGAAGGGAGCAGAAACCCACCTGAAACTGAGCAACAAACTCTCCGAGGCCCAGAAAGCCACTTTGTCCCTGGAAGAGCAGATGAGAGATTCGTCCGCAATATTAGCATCGGAATTGGACAGCGCCACTCTTGTTGCTGGTCGAGTCTCGTCCAAACTTGACAAAGTCAATCAAGCCTTGAATCAAGTTGAAAAGGCGTCTTCAGTGCTGAGCACCCTTTCCACCTTTCTATCCATACCGTCTCATTTCGCAGAACATCTCCACCTGAGACTTTTCCTACTCCTGGCGACACCTTCCACGCTCCTTTACTTTTGGAAGCCTCGCAAATATTCTTACAGCCTGATGGCCGTATATGGTAAGCAGGGCGGTATCTGTTTCGGTCAGCTAACTAACAATGTCCAGTCTTCCTCGAAGCAATTATATCACTGGTCGCAGAATATCACGACAAGATTACAAGTACAGTCGGTGAAGCAGGCAGTCTCTTTACGGCTTTATGCGCAACAGGACTCAACTTCGTTGGCCGCCATATGTTCGCTATGGTGTTTATTGTCGCTGCTCTAGGCTGCTTCCTCGCGTTCACATCCAGTACAGATCCCACGCCCAAGCCTTCTCTAAAACGCGAGTCGATTTTGCTGGACAAAGACCTCATGCCGACAGAGAAATACTACATGCAATATCGCTTGCGCAACGGCAGACTTCCACGATCCGAACTGGACCGTTTTCGACGGGCGGCCACTGTCTGCTAGATCGCCAATGTGCTTAGACCCAGTGCCATGATTTACAGCTCTTCAACCGACATTTGCTAGTCGCCTACATTATGGTACGGAAAACTAGGCGATTTGTTCTCATTTTCACCGGTCTTTCGTGTTTTCGGCGTGGATGCGAAAAAGCGAGACAGTACACGGGATTGGCGACGGCAAGTTTACGGTGCTCGCGGCCTTGTGAGCAGGTGAAAAGCTTATGATCTTGCAAATGAGACGTCATAATTTATTTCTGCTGGCTGACCTGGAAAGGACTGCTCAGCGATCGGCCAGGACGTATCGTTATTTTCGCATTACATATCAAGCTCTCGTTGCCACGAACCTGGGGTGTGCTCTGAATTGGCGAGCCTGCAGTCCCCAGGCGAGGAGGTTGTATTGGTTAAGCCTATTGCAACGAGATCTTCTCAATATGATATTTCTTGGAGCATTGGTCCTCATCCACAGCCGTTATTCGTTACCTTGACTTACTCTGCTACACAACAACAGGGCACTAATGATAATTGGCTATCCTTGGGTTTGTCTCAGATGCATACATTCTATCTACAAGCTGCATTGCTATCTTACAGTACGGGCTGGCCACACAGTGCTTTTCCATTGATGCGTTTGCACCGCTCTTCCGCTAATCTGACAGAAACGAACTCAGCCTCTAGCGACTCCCTGCTCTTCAGACTTGCGAGGATCCTCAGGTGTCACGACTATCTGCGGTCACGGATTCATCGACGAATAGGCGTCATGGTCAAGCGTTGCATTTTCACAAGGCGTTCTTTGCTATTGCCCAGAAGCTTCCGTGCTCATGCACTGTTCTACCCGCATCGCTACCCTGCCGTGTCCTGAAAATACTAACATGAGGGGGCCAAGAAGTCTGCTACAAGCTCGATGATCTTATTGGCAAGCTAAATTCTCCCACTGCCGTAGAAGCGGCTGAAAAGAAGATTCAGCCCCCAAAACGTCGGTGACTCTGGCGAACGGTGGGCCTGAGAGATCTCAACCGGGGTCAACCATGACGGACCTTGATCTCTTATGAACCAATCCCTCGGTAAGTCCGGGGTCATCCTGGCCCCTGTCATGATTTGCCCGAGCACTGCAGATCATCAAACGGTCTGAGGCACCGGTTTGATGAGGGGCGTATCCCTGTATTGGCCGCCTTACACCGCCGTGACCGCCCCAAGGTACATTCTGCATGCACATGGCCACGCGTTGCGAACCGGCCAATGTCTTCAACATAATGCACAGATTGGACCATGACCTGCGTATAGGGCCATGCACGTCGACGCAACCTCGGTGAAGGAGTCTGCTCAAGTTGGGGGTTTTTCGCTGACGTCTCAATTCAGACCGGTCGACCACTTTGTCCACGATTAGCAGTCAGCTCCAAGTCCCTGCGATGCTGCGCAGAATACCACACGAATCGTTGCAGGGCGGCCCGCGAGTTGTCTACATCCGGTCATGTCGAGATGATCACTTTGGGCCCGTTCAGTACAGTCGGACGAGAAGTAAACTATAAATCCTGTTGAAACATAAAGGTTGCCAGCTACATATTTTCTCTTTCACCACTCCATATACACCATAAAATCCATTGCTACCGGTGGTTTACAGGAAGACCACAGGCGGACCACAGATTCGATGACGATGGGCTTCTCAAGGCTCTTGACGGCAGTTGCCGCATTTTTGGTCTTGTCCACATTCGTTGCAGCCAAAGATGTCCGCAACTTCTCTCAACAAGCTGTACCTAACACAATGGCCGACGACAATGTCGATATGAGCAAAGTGCAAAAATTCAAAGCCATTTTCAGCGAGCACTCACAGGCCGGTGCTGCTGGTACCAATGCCTACATCGGCGGATGGGGAAACACCTTCAACCACGCATTTAAATGGACCGACCTACTTGACGCCACCACTGCTGCTACACACGCACTCTGCTCAGACAGATGCCTCACGTGTGCTCCAGGCTGCGACCCTGTCTGCTGTACAGCAGGAACGCTGGATGTGTCCAACGGTCAAGCCTCTCGAACAGACAGCGCAGACAAGGGCCAGTCCGAGCCTCCTGTCCCCGAGACAGATGCAAGGCGATCACCCGTTCCCGGATTCAGGATACCCGCACGTCTCGGATGTCCATGTCACTGCGAAGCCGGCTGCCCGCCAAACGTCCAAGCTATATGCTGCGTGACTCCTGGGTCTGGAGTGATGCCCCCAGGAGGCAACAGCAACTCCAACGATGATCAACAGGCAACAAGTCCAGACACAAACGGGGTCGTCGACGGCCACAACAATGGCGGTGCTGGCGCTGGTGCAGCGCAACAAAAGCCAATCGCCACACACATCAATGCCCGCCAGCGCCCCTCCCTCCCTCTCGCCTGTCCCTGCGGCTGCGAAGCCAGTTGCCCAGCCTACATTCAAGCGATCTGCTGCGTGACTGCTGGATCTGGAGCTGTTGCCGATAATACTGCTGGTACCGGTACAAGTGACGACAATGATAGCACCAGCAACAACGCGAATGGCACTTCTGCTGGGAACACAACGAAAATAAACAACAAGTCTCAAATTTTGAGTTCAAACGACGTCAATGGCAATGTCATCGCCCTGGTCACCCAAACCGCCCACGGTGACCCCGTTTCCGTCCTCGCATCTACCAATCTATCCGTGTTCGACAGCTTCGTCACCATGGATTTGGTTAACGGACTCGAGAGGGCCAGTGACATCGGGTTTAATAATGATCTCAAGAGTTTTGAGATTGTTTTAACCACGGCTGTGGTGCCTGGTGGTACTGGTACTGGTAGTGGTGGTGTGAACAGCGGGGAAAGTCAAGGAGACAACATCATTTCCTTCCGACATACTTTCCGCGTGATTGATGGCTCAAAACTCTGGGAACGTGAACAGATTATGCTTGGTTTGGGGTTTTTGTCGAGGATTCCCGGGGCCGCGGTTGTCGATAGGGAGTTTTTGGATAGGAATAATGATCTTGGGGAGGTGGGGGTTCCTGTTCTAACGGGGACAAGACGGGTGTGAAATAGATACAGTAAAAGGGGTCTCAAACGGGCGGCTGCTGGGCGGCTGCTGGGCGGCTGCTGGGGGAGATATGGGGGCGTGCCATATTGGAAGGCAGTTGGATCATGGCGGAGGTGAATATGTTGGAGATGGTGGATATGGTCATGGAGATGGATATCGGAAATATGATATAAATAGGTTGGGCAAAAAGCAATAGTCTGGAATCAATATTCAGGTATATTGTATTGTATTGGAGTGACTGGGCTCAGCTCTACTCTTTTTTCTCTCCTTTTATTTTGTTTTTCCGAATCCTTGCTCCTTATGTCCGGGCAAGGATGGTGCCTACGCCGGCGTTGGCACCCACCACTGTGAGGTGAGAATCATAATACTACCTCAGCCTTTTCAAACGAGACTTTCTCTCTCCGTCTTCTTCGGGCATCGTCTGGCGTACTGGTTCTAGAGAGTAGGATGCAAGGTAGGCATGCACACTGTCTCGCGAGGCAGATCTAAGATTTTCTGCTCTCCTTTTCCTTCTCCTTCTCTATCAAACAGAAAACTCATTTTGTCTGACTAGCAGACTTTGACTTGGTCCGGTGGCCGTTGTTCACTCCAGACAAGCCTGAGAGGACGTATTGACCAGTCCACCGAGGAAAGGTCGAGAGCAACCAGACTGACTGTAAGATGCTGACGCTCTTGAGTCGGAAGCCAAGCAACTCCACATCAGACCAAACTCTTCAACACATACCCCGACCTCGGCCCACCCTCAACAGCGACCCGCATAGTCTCCGTCTTGACATTAGTTTCATCAAACAGACGATGTCCAGCATCATCGACCGCCCAAGCCGACTGATCCGTGACGGGATCGCGAAACGCATGCAGACCCAGGGCAGGAAGACCGAACTGAAACGCAAGGTCGCGGACATCGACACGGCTGAGAGCGCGATAGGCGAATACGGCAGTAACAATACCAAACAGGACATAAGCCAGACAACAAGACGCCAGAATGGCAAGTGGGGCCTTTGGGACTTTGGCCACGAGCAACGAGGTGCGAGTCTGTTCGGCAGTGTTGTCGCGAGTGGACAGGAACGGGCCGATGACGCTCATGACTCGGGCGGAATAGCTTGTCGCAAAACTGGCCGCCAACTCTGTAGGGTCTGAGGCCAGCGCGGCTTGAAGGATCATGTCTTGCAAATCACTGTCGAAGGCACTGACACTGCCGACGAGATCATAGCCGTGGTATATCTCTGCCAATGTGCCGTTAGGGGATGGTGTAAGCTTGTTGATCCGTGCTGTCGAGTTCACCCAGCTGTAGTCGACGAGATAGGTTGTGTATTGGCATTGGAGCACGAAATCAATGTTCGAGGTTGGCCCTTTGTGCACACCCTGGTCACTGGACATGTTGACTCCCGCCCGTTGAGATGTCGAAGCAAAGCGTGATGCGATGCCCAGGTACACAGGGTTGATGAGCTGGGCGTCCGTCATGAAGGGTCCGAAGTTGCCCGTGCTGTCGTATTGTTGGGTCAGCTGTTTGTCCATGTAGAATCCGTACTGGAGCCCAGCACCTGGCTTGAACCCTAGTGGAGGCACATCTGGATCACTGACGACAGTGCCCGCGTTGCTTACGTTGGCGGCTTTGCCGAGGACGCCGTAGAACTCGTCGCTGCAGTTGAACTGGCTGTAGAGATCTAGGTGGCCCCATGACTTCCATTGGCATTCTGAGCTGATGGGTGTGCAGGTGGTGACGACGCCGGTGGTTTCGGCGCGATAGTCACGAAACGGCGAGAGATTGTCGCTCTGAGGAAGCAAAAGGGCAACCTTCTCGTTGGCCAAGTTTGGGTGGTCAACGAGTCGGATTTCCGAGATATTCGATGTCCCGTGTTGCAGGAAGAAAATCTCGTTCTGACCTGCCACGTAGGTGTCATAATCTGCTTCTGCAACGGCCCCGTTGCGTGAGCACGGCAGACCGAAGTTATCGGAACGGTTGAGCGTCAAACAGTCGGACGAGAGTCCACGGCCATAGCTGTGCACGGTGGCGGAAATGGATACCTGGTCGAAGTTGATCGTGCTGGTCGTGTAATGAAGGGCCGTATCAGTTGCGAACACGACGCATGCCAGAAAGAGTGACAAGGCCAGCATGCGAGCGGCTCGACGGAGAATGGGCGGGACAATGACTCCGTGGGTTTTCGAGTAGGAGAAATACCTCCTCAACCTTCCTGTCGAAGCTAAGCATAGTCCAACGAGAAGACTGTATTGATATGGCGTGGGGAGATCGTGTTGGGCCTCCGAAGCACAGGACGACCGGTACATGGCCAGAGCCAGATGGAAGCTGGACAGGCTCATGATGAAACCGGATAGTAGGGGTGCCAGCGTCGACGCCCATGACGCTACAAAGACAATCCGGGTAGCTGAGTAGTTGACCAGCACTACGGCATGATCTCGCAAGGCTGCCGCGTTGGACACTTCCTCAAACAGACTGTCGTCGGACTTGACTCGGTAGCCAAAAATCAAGGCGAGCAGTCCGGCCACCAGAGCGGCCATGGGGAAGATGATGGCTGCCGTCGGGAGCAGAATCGTCTTCCACAAGATAGGTGGTGGGCATTGCAACTCTTGGCCATCGTTGGACAAGGGAGTATACTTCTCGTTCTGAGGAAAATCACGGCATGATGCCGAGTGCAGATCGTCCAGACAGGTTACCTTTGCACCTTGGGACTTGTCGAAGACGAAAGATGCCTGGGACCAGTCCACACTCTCGGTGGGAGTGTGGACATAGCTGGGGATAGTTCCTTCTCTTGAAGATCCCCGCGTGTGGTCGCTGATGGCCAGACGGTCTTGAAGACGCTCGGCGAAAGTCATCCTTGTGTTGGTGGGTTGGTGCAACGAGCTCCAGTGTTGGTTCTCTGCAGACATGGCTTCGAAAGACAGGCAAGCTGTCTTCACTTTGATGGTCTACTCTTCAGAGTCCCGCCTGAGGTATATTAACCATACTCACCGGCGGATCGTCGTAGAGGTAGAAATGGACCATGATTGCACCCGCCATGACGATGACTCGGATATCGAGTCTGCACATACAAGGGACTGTTCAGTCTCTTGGGACAGAGATGCACGATAAGAAGGTATCATTGCACGAGAGGGGAGGTGTGGCCGCTGGCAAGAGGACGGGCTGAAGCCAGGCTCCCTCGCCTAGGGTAGCCCTTGGTCGCCTTATGCATGGTGAGGACTAATCGGTGAGAGGTGAGACGGGCAGCGGGAAGAAGCCGTTGAAGACACATGCAAGATTGTATTGGCCCAGGATCCAGGCCCAGATCCTGCTCAGCCGCAGGGATATAGACATCGTAGTCGAGCTGCAAACAACGATGGAAAAGCAGATGATACGAGGGAAGTTTGAAGTTCTTTTGCTGATTGTTTTGTCCAGCCCCCAAGAACACGCCAGCTACGACAGACACGACTACGCACCCACTACCACCTGTACTGATACAACAACCACCACCACCACCACCACGACCTGACTGTCGATGCCAGTCAAGGCCGAAGTCCGCCCACCGACTCAGGCGTCCAGCTACAACAGGGATCTGTATTACGACTGCATTAGAGATACATCCCTGTGTTCCCAGCCGTCCGGTCAGGGCGTCTCACAGCCATGAATCCTCATCTAGACTCTGCCTGTGGCACTATCATGGCTTCAGCTACTCGCCCGCTTCGTCAGCTGTCATATTCATATCCGTCGTAAATGCAGTCCTCCCGCCTTCTCAACGGGCGGCTGCTTCAATTTCCACAAACTCGCCAATCTCGCCCACCACGCTCTTGAGGATATCAGGCACAATCTTTGCTGCGTCTCCTTCAAAGAACCAATCCCGCTTTGTCAGTTCCCTGGCGTCCCCGGGGTCCATATTGACGACGGCCACCCGGGCGCCCTTCGCTCGCGCCAACTGCGTGTAACCCGCCGCAGGATACACCTTTGAGCTTGTGCCAATCACCAACATGAGATCAATCTTTTCTGGCTGCTGAAACCAGTGGCTGACGTCTCTCATGACATCTTCAGGCAACGACTCTCCGAACCAGACCACTCCAGGCCGGAGGAGGTTTACCTTACACTGTGGACAATGAGCTAGATCTTCCTGCTTTATGGTTGGAAGCGCGACATTGACATCTGAAATGTCGGCTCCACGAACCAATGCATGTTTCTTCTTCTCAATGGCCTCCCTCAACAGGGAATCGGCAGGAAGCCCTTCGCCCTCCGCTGGCAGGGCCAACGCTGGCACAATGGGGTCCGTGAAATCATTTTTACGTACGTAGCCGCAACGGTCCTCGTCCCAGCATTTCACGTCGAACAAGGACCCGTGCAGAAGCTTGAGTTGCTCTGGGGGATGACCTGCCCTTGGACTCAGGCCATCAACGTTCTGACTGAGTGTAAGGAAGTTCGGATTTCGCCGAGCCAATTCGGCCAAAGCAAGATGTGCTCGATTGGGCTTCGTGTTGAGTGCCATATGGCGTCTGTACGAGTAGAACTGCCATACAAGAGCCGGGTCCTGCTCAAAGGCTTCGGGAGTGGCCAGCATCGTAGCGTCGTACTTTCGCCAGAAACCTCCAGCCCCGCGAAACGTAGGGAGACCACTCGAGGCCGAGATGCCTGCCCCTACGAGTGCGACAATGCGTCTGGAGGATTGCAAATGTTGCACAAATGAAGCAACATCGGTTGAAAACATTTCGTTGGTTTTCGGGCTCATATCGAGGGAATGTTCTCTATCCTGGCACAGACTCACATCAGTTTGACGGCAGAAGTGAGAGCGATATTGCCAGCAGTTTTGTAGCGACTGGGATAATAACCCTTTTTGCGATATTAGAAGTACTCAGTAGATCTACCAGTTAGGCACCAAACATAGGCACCAAACCTAGGTACCATTTGTTGTTAAGTACAATACTGCAACGTTGTGCAAGGCCGTGGAACACGAGCAAGAAGCCTATGACGAAGAGGCTGAAGCGAGCGCGTCTTGATGTTGGACGGAGAACAAATCGGAGGACGAAGCGCCGAACAAGGCCAGTGTTGGATCGCCACATGTCGGATTCATCGATGGTGGGTGGAAACATCTGAGGGTTTGACAGGAGACGATTCTGACTCTCGTGACGGCGACATTGTCCCAATCCGACCGCCATTATTCGAGTTTATTCAGATAACAACGACAAGACACCACGACCACCAACCTCATGGTAACCACATCAACTACATTTCCTGTCTGTCCATTTCAACAAACCCAAGAGTTCTTTCATTATTCCCGCCTGAAACCGCCCGCGTCGCCCGTCACACCACCCGCTGCAGTCCTCGAAAAAAGACAGCGCAGTCCTCCGCACCGCATCCCCCAAATCCTCCCAACTGACAAGCACGACGACTTTTTCGCCACCCATGTCCCACCACCGAACATCGCTTGTTCTGAGCAGGCCTTAAAAGAAGGAGAACTTTTCAACAGTAGCGGGAGTGCCGAACAAAAACAACCCCCGACACAGGCATACATACGCACGCGGAGGCAAAACCCGGCCACGATGGAGGCTACAACCCGACCGCCGCGTTTCACACGCCGACGGGTCAACGTGCTGATATTCGTGACGGAGAAGATTGGGCCTGAAGTACTACCCTATCTACTACAGAACCCGGACCTGAACCTCCGAGTATTATCAGACATTTCCCGGGCCGAGTTCCAGCAATACATGGAGCCCCGAATCCGACTGGACGAGGTGCAATGGTACGAAAACCACCCGCAAGACCCATACCGCAACCAGACGATGATGCAGGGCCACCGACTGGCACGGTGGGCAGACATGATGTTCATCGTAATGGATGCGGGGATGATATCGCTGATGCTGAGCGGCTTCACGACGGACGTGGTACTGCACGTCCTGCGGTGCTGGGACGTGTCGAAGCGTATCGCCCTGCTACCCGAGTTGAGCGTGGATCAATGGAAACACCCGACGTGGAAGCGGCAGCTGTCCAAACTCCAGCGAAAATGGGACTGGGTGCACGTCCTGTCGCCCGCCCTCTGGGACTACGCGAGCGACCCTCAAGATCTCACACAGCCAGGGCCCGGTCCGCAGGGGTCGCAAGAAGACACTGATCCCGAGATCGAATGGCAATGGGACGGACCTAACGAGATGATAGAAGTGGTCGACGGCGAATCGCAGATCATTCTCCGTCTGACCCGTTCACAAACATACGTCTCATCACAACATTATTATCATCAGCTACCCGCTCCGAACTCGGCAGACTCTCCTGAAGCGTGCCAGAAACCCCGACTACCCATGGAAATATGGACCATGATCATGGACCATCTGGGCGACTGGGAGCTAGCGACAGCGCTAGGAATCTACACACACATCCCGACACCTCACGAATGGAAGCCATTGATCCCATCGTCGAACAACAGCGGCAAAATCAAATCCCAATCGTTGGAATACACGATCCTGACACAACCAATGTCCCAAATCAAGACATGGTTCACCAACAACACCTCCTCCCAACCACCAACCACGTTATCCCCCATCGCCACACGGCTCATCTTCCGCTTCAGCATGACAGATCTCCTGACATACTTGGCCCTACACCAAAAAGACATATTCTGGACCTCTTTCGGCCTAGCATTGCTGCCGCACAAGGCATCACTAATCTACAACTCTCCCACCATCTTACAATGGTGGCTCGACTGTCCCGCCGTCATCAAAAAGGAATACGGCCCCGAAGCCATGGACGGAGCCTCTAGAGCGGGTTTCGTCGAAGTATTAGACTGGTGGCTCGAATCCGGTCTAAAACTAACATATACCGAACGGGCGCTCGAGTCCGCCTCGGCTAAGGGGCACGTCCACGTGTTAGAATGGTGGCGCGTCAACTCGCTCAAACTCGCAGGCACGCCGCGCGAAATGCCCTTGAAAGTCGGCAAGTCGATCTTGTTGGCTGCCCAGTCCGGCCGCACAAATAGTATCGAGTGGTGGGAGAACAGTGGTATCCCTTATTCGCATGAAGATGGCGTTGCACGCCTCGCTTCCCAGCACGGCCATGTCCCTGTTTTGGAGTTGTGGCATCATCTCAAGGGATCCAAGATGATTTTTGATAATCAGGTCCTTGTCGGCGCGACTAAAAATGGCCATGCTGGCGTCCTGCAGTGGTGGAAGGATGTTAGTCGCAAACACGGTCTGCGCGTCGAGTACAAGACTTGCGATATCGAGGAGGCCATGGAGGATGCCGTCGGCGGCGGCGGCGAGGGCGAGGTCAGAGAGTGGTGGGGGCGCAATGGTTTGAATCTGGGTGTTGGGACTGGTGAATGGATGAGGGTCAAGACGCTGTGATGCGGGAGTGTATGTGACACTGTGGAAAATGCATTAGCGACGGAAAAGGACTGCGGGAATGCACCGATGTAGTCCGGATCGTCTTGTCTTTCGACATAATTTATATCATATTTAACATGAGTGGATCGTGTCCATCCTTCACTGACACTGTTCAAGTTCGGATGAATGAATAAGTGCACCCAAGTCTTGCCACGGCACCCCCGTCCCGTTTCCCATCTAACAGAGTGAAATTCATTAGTGCTTGCTCTGCCGTTGTTTGTACACGTACACCTACCTACGCTCGGGGTAATGCCTACGCTATAAACCGTCTACTACTTAGTACCTCCTATCTCAAAGAAATAGAGCACCTACACACCTAGGTACGTAGCAAAAAGGTGTGAATCTACAGAATGGACCGATCACCTGGTCCTTTACTTGCTTTGGCATTGATTGTACACAGGTAACGTACACTCGGCGTAATGCCTGCCCCATAAAATCGACTACCTACTTACTACTAGTCCCTACTATCTAAAAAGAAACAGAGCACCTTCATACAGTACCTCAGGCAGGCAAACCGTGTTAATCTTGCCTATTGTCTACACGTCCGTTGCAATGGTCGACTTCTTACAGATCTGGATCTGAAAAGTTGATCGACCATGGCGGTAACATGCAGTGGTAAAGCATTCCCACCCATCCAATATATACGGGTAGCCATTAAATCAAGCATGATCGATTGTATCTATCCCTTGACTCCGTCTCTTTGGACCCATGGACCCGGTCTTGACAACTTTCAGTTTCCATCTGAATGAACTCCGGTTGATTAGCATCGTCCACTGCACAGCGTGATCCATAATCTCCATAACGGCGTTGCATATACTGTATCAATCAATGGACAGCACCAAGGCCCTCCCTTGTACGTTTAATTAAAAACAACAATCAACCTATCCATCGTCTTCTCCACTGCCAAAATGAATCAAACGACCAAGTACAAGATTCACGCTTCACGAAACACCAAAATTAATCTGACATGCTTCAATTACTAGTAGTAGTCGAGTGCTAAAGAATCTATCCATTCCATTGCACTGCTTCGTGGCGGGACTTTTCTCGTCCTTTTTCGTCTCGGTAATCATTCAGTCGTATCAGCAAAGCGCCCCCGTTTCGGTCAGTTCGGCCACTGCACAGCGCCATTTGAACCACATCGTCGCCAATCCAACAACAAACACATCCCCCCTGCCTCTACAAGCAGGTCACCATTCGCCAGTGCTAACCCAGCCCTGTCGTGGTCTGGTCGTCCATGCCGCCGACGGCCAATAAAAAGAAGAGGAAACAAAAGTACGCCGAAAAGGAAAAACGCCTGTGTCTCTGCATTGCGCCTCGTCGTCCATGCACGTCGTCTGTCCGTCATATCATTGTCGATATTAGTTTGTGTTCTCCATGTCCCAAACTGAATCATCCGCCAACGCCGTGTTTCCATGCTCAAGAAGGAATCCCATTTGCTTCCCCATGCACGCAACGAAACCTGATGCAAGACTTTCCCCAGAACCCAAAGTCTTCAAGCGGGCCCTTGTGACCAGACCACGCTCCCTACATTCATGGACTGCCGACATCCTCATAGTCATCCCCACTGAGTTCGGCCATTTCGCTGCTGTTGTCCTGCCAGTCTGCAGAACTCAACGTTTCCATGGCAGTCTCTGCCTTGACTCTTAAAGCGGCCAATGTGACTTGTATCTCGCTCGCTCTCTCCTCCTGGTTTGCGTCTTCCAGGTCAAACATGTCCAAACAATGTTCGACCACGTCCAAGAATTGATTGGCCTGACCAGGCTGCAGCGTTGAACACTCCCGGGTTCGAGGATTGAGAAAGGTCAGTTGAGCAGTAGTGTGGGCAGCCGATGCAAGATCCCGACAGATCATCCGAAGAACTCGATTGGTCCGCGGGTCTTGATGCTCAGAGGCTCGTAGAGGCCCGAACAAAAGTTGTTTGAGCAAATCCACTGTGTCGCTTCGAATGTTGCCATGGCTATCGGTGGGTGCAAGAAGAAAAATCGGCGCCCAGTGTGGAATCATTTGCCGAACCAGATTTTCAGTAAAACCAGCACCGGCACCAATGTTCTCGTTTTCGACCTTCAGCAAGGCGTCGACAAAAGTGAAATATTCCCTAGCATAGTCCAGGGTGATGGAATTGATACTGTCCAGCGCCGGTTGCACAAGATCGATAATCTGGTTCTCCGATTGACAATTCTCGCAGAAGGTCAGGACTGGTCGAAGAAAGGCGACAGCATTGTTGATCATCTGGTCGTTCAGCCCCTTGAGTAGAATCTCGGCAACACTGCCAGCAAGTCTTCGGTCCCGAGCCAGATACTCCACGAGACTGTTGGCCGCCTCGGGATGGTGACGACCCGCAATGAGACGTCGGAGCCATTCCATGTTGAAAGGAACCTGGGCCAGACCCAGAAGGTCAAACTCACGTAGAGTCAGGCCGATCTCCTTGTCGTTAACGCGATAATCACCTTCTGGCATGTGATGTAGGTCCATTCGTAGCAACATGTTCACCAGGAACAGAATAAGAGCTCCATGGTTGAACGGTCGATGCCTCTCACGAGCCATAAGGTACGCGGCGTACCGCGACCTAAGTCTTCTAGACACCGGATAGTCCGTGGGGTTGTTGATATGTATCATGATGATGTCGATGCATTTCTCCAGATAGTCCTCTTCAAGAACGACCACCGCCTCCTCATCCCCCAAGCTCAGTATGTTGTTCAGGAGGCCGAAGTATTCGCCCCAGCACCGACCGCTTCTTGACACCAGGTCCCATGAATCGGCCAGATGAGTGACACAAGCAATGAGTGATCTGCCGTAGTCTGCCGTCAACTGAGCACAGTCTTCATCGGTGGCATTCATGTCTTCCTTCGCCAAGCGAAGACGATTGAATACGCTGGAGAAGAGTTGGACAAAAGACTTTCGGACGAAAGGGTACGGGTTTCGGACAATGACGTCCTCGAGCACTCGGTTAACAGCAAACCACTGTGCAATGGTGGTGGCACAATCCACACACTTTTCAGAGTTCGCATGGAGGATTTTCATGGTCTCTTCAAGAGCGGGACATTCCTTCCAACGACTCGAAACCTGCCGAATATACTCCAAGGCCATTTCGATCGTACTGGACTCGAGAGTATGATCTTCACTACAGGCCTCAGCCCCCACCCGCATTCGCTCCAACAATCGGGCGATGAATTGTGCGTGCGAGCCATCCTGGGCGCAATAGGACCTCAGAAATAACTCGTTGCGCTGGGCAATGTATTGCTCCATGTCCAGTGACAAAGGGATGCGCACAGGGTTGAGAAGATCATGTTGAGGGTACTTCTCCTCAACACGCCGGATGCTCGAGGATCGCTGGTAAAATAGCATATATGCGCTGTTGAGCTTCTGCGACTGATAGTAGGGGATATCCGTAGATCCACCAAAACATGTCTCCCGCAGCTGACTCGGGTCAAAGAGACCAACGTCATGATCATTGAACTGCACCCAAGAGTCCCGGACCGGCTTGGGGGATGGTCGTTGGCGGATGAAAGAATAGTAATGCCCCGAATCTGCGGTACCCGAATGGACGATGACACCCGTGAGATGGAATTGATCCGACTCGCCAGGCGTGTCGGGATGCATAAGTCTTGTCAGCGTGTACGGAGCAATGTCGAGAGTTTCAGGAAACTGGAATTCGTCGTTGATCTTGGCTCGGTTTCCGCTCATGATATCGTAGTCAAAGCGTTTGAGGTTGAAGATGAGATTGTCTGGGACATCTTTGAGACAAGCTCGCTTGACTGCATCCACATGGCGTCCACAAGAAGTGCAGGAGTATTTGTTCTCGCCTTGTAGGACCTCCCCCTCAACATATGCACGAAGGCTATCTTCCAGCCGTGCTTTGCCTTTGATCTCCACTTGAACCGCCGAAAACGGCTCCAGTCTTTCTGAGATGTGCTCGCACTCCTTGGATTTGATTTGCTGAACCAACTGCCCACCATATATGGATTTGAAGACATTTCTGGCCTCAGGGCTAATCTGCCCCTCTAAGCGGTCAAACAGTAGGTTGAAGAACTCGTCCACATCCATTTGCACCATAACATCGATGTGTTCCCCGTCGTAGGTTGTGATCGCATCCACGGCCCCAGATGGATCAATGCTTCTCTCGTACGAGTTTTGCATATGAGCAAACACCTTTGCAAGTTCCACGACCAACTTGTGCTTGGTACCAGACGATTGGGCACCATTCAGGAGAAAATCGCGAAACTCGACATTCATGAAAAGTTGCGAAAAGAGAGAATTGAGGTAGCACGTGTTGGCAAGATTTCGGAGACCGGCGTATCCGACTTCTGAACGGAGGCACTGTCGCTCATTTCCAAAATTTGGGTCGAAGAAGTCGCGGGGCAGTAGATCATCGCTCAATCTGGTGACCACCGTTGCAATGTCTTGAGGTGCCTGAGAGAGTGTGAGCACGAGGCTGTACAAACTTTCCCTCACAGTGATGTCTAGGACCGGAACTTTGATAGTGCTTTCGGTTGCCGACATGTCCTCCGATAGTGGGGGGAAGAGAAATCGAGAGATAACATCATCGATGATGTCGCTACTCGCCGGCAGTGCATTCGCGGTTTTCAAGTACCTTGAGCACTCAAGCAGAAGTTTGGTAAGACTTGCCACGACGTGATCCAGCAGTGGCTGGCCTACAACCTCCACATGATTGTGCTTGACCATGATTGAACTCCACTGATCGAAGTATCGTCGTAGGTTTGGCACGGAGAAAGACTTGCCGATCCTCCTCAAGATGGAAAGCATCGTCTCACATATGTCTGAGCATTGCTGAGGTTGCTGGCAAGCATCTGGTAGAATACCAACTAGCACTTCCCAGATATGAGACAGACATCCTTCGATGACCTCTGGCGGAAATCGCGATCTTGGTGCTCTCGGGTTGTTTATTTTGAGCTGCAATTTGGAGCCAGCACCTCCAGTCAAGCCTATGACAACCTCTAGAAGCGAGTGTCGTACTGCAGAACGGGCATCGTTGACGAATGCATCCAATACCAAGTGGCGGAAGTTAGTCTCGGCAGCTTCGAGGTGGGTCCAGAGGCGGTCATCGTGGAGGCATGCATCGATCAAGGTCTCCATTACCAGCTTCACCATGGCCGCAGGGGATAGTTCTTCACCGAGATTAGTTGAGTTCTTCAAGGAGAAGCGCAGCAGCCTCAACATTTGGACTGCGAACTCTCCGTGGTTCTCAATGTATCCACGTGAGACCTCCTGTGAAACCTTGGCTCGCAACGCCAAAGAGAGTGCTTCGACCAATCCGTGGGCAATTGACATCTGCAGCCCATCGTTGGCATCGTTCAGGTCGAGTTCCGATAGAACAGCCACAATGGTCCGGACGCTGTAAGTAAGAAACTGGGTATCTGGGCTTGGACTGTAGGATTCATCCTCGATGCAGGATCTCATCGCTGTAGCGCAATACAGAAGCTTGAAAGGTCTGTTGGGTGGCAAGAGATCTTTAGGTGACTTCTCCTGTGATCGGACGATGCGCACTACTTCATTTTGTGCCGAAAAAAGGGTCAGAAAGCCATAGACTTCCCGAGAGAGGCGTTCGTCTGCGTCAAGAAGGTCGTAAAGATCATCGAAATGGCGCATGATTTTGTTGTCAACAGGTGAGGTTGCACGAACTGAGCGCCTAGGCACGGTTTCCATACTATCGGCGGCTTTCTTGATTAACATAAGTCCCGTCGAAAGCTGCAACTCAGATAGAGTCGAGGTCTGGCCAGCCAGAGGAACCCCATGTCCATAGTGATAAACGGTAAACTGTGTGAAGCCACTAGCGTCAGAGAGATACTTGAAGAGCTCGTCTCCAGTGTTCTCGGCTCCCACAGTTATCTTGTGCACAGCCTCAGTAACATATTTGCTCCCATGGATCTGGGCTGTGAGGTCCATCTTGTCGCCCTTTCGGTCCGGAAAGTCTGGAAGTGTGGTCTGAATTTGCCTCACAAGCGGACTGTAACGTGGTCTTGACTTGATGCCCTCGAGGAACTTCCTTAGGAACAGAAGCGACCGGTCGAACCTCAATTCTTCAGCATGAATTTCTTGCTCAGATGCAATGATCGACATTGGCTCATCCTCACCACCATTACTGCCGCCACAGTATGACTTCAGCTTCGATGCAGATGCTATCACCTGTTGGACGCAACGATCAACGAGGGAGGAATGCGTTGCATTAATCGCCGTCTTGGAGCGTCCCGTAATTAGGGGATGGTCGAGATATTGTTTAATGATGAAGCCCGTGGCGTTATCCTCGACGGTATTGGGAGGTGCTTCGAGCATGATCTTCCATAGTCTTTCAATTCCCGGTATGACGATGACATCGTCCGACTCCGGAGAGGCTTGAGGGAAACGTTGACAGGTATAGTCAACAGACGATTTGAAGAAAGCCAGCACTCTTTCGCTGTAGTCTTGCGGTGCCAGGCTCTGCAGATGTTTATCAATGATGATGTCGAGAAATGGATTATTCGGGCCACCATGAGCGTATTGAATGGACCGGTTCAGAGTCTCCCAGGCCCTCTCGCGGATGGAAACCGGAAGTTCTTTGGCTGTGAAAAGAGAGGACCACAGGGATCCGATCAAGTCCTCATTGAACGACTCCGGAGCCATGCCGATGAAAAACTGCAAACAGGTACATCGGATATCGTACATCACCTCAAAGGATGACAGCGATTCATTTCGCGCCCTCGCAGCACAATACCGCTCGTACAAGTGGGCGAAATCTTCGACCAGGAGGGTAGACAGTTGGAAATCCTCCGCTAATCTTGCAACTGCGGGATTGGCGTAGGCTTGCAACAGGCAGGTCAGGACTTGTATGTCGCCAGTAGATTCGGCATTGTGAGCCCGGATATTGGTTGCAGCTTGACCGATGATATCGCTCAATTCATCTTCGTCAATGGTGATATTCGGGATATCGTTTCTACCCAACGACAAATGGATCAGCACCTGTGCAGGAAACTCTGCTCGTATGCGGGCCGCGTGTTCAGCTAGGATATTCTCATCTCTTGATGCGTCTCGTAGGAGTCGAATACACAAGCGACGGCTAACAGGGTTGGTGGCGACCGTCGACCCATTCGCTGGTGCCACAGGAGCACTGGCTTTGATGTGGTCAAGAAGCGAGATGGTGAAATCAAGAGCGTGACGATCGAAGCGCTGAAATGGGTAGTCCAGGAGCTTATGGCAGATGTACAGGAGGGCCTGTGGGTCATAGACGTGGAAACACTGCTGTAAAAGACCGAACACTTCGTGCACAGTCCCAGGATCTTCACTACCAGTGATTGTTTTCCAGATTATGTCGGTGTGCTCGTCACTGTATGTTTTTGAGACAGAAAGAAACCCGACGATGTTAGCAGCCCGGCGAATGATTTGTGGATGCGAGTCCACACCGACAATGTAGTTGACAAGCTGGTTTTCCTGGATGAATTTGACCGCGAACTGTACTAGCGGAAGCGACGTGTAGGGAGGCGGCGTTGAGAAAATATAATCTCTGTAGATCTGCACGAGATCGTTCGCCATGCCATCCACACCAAACACACGAAGTTCCATCCGCCCATTGATGATCAACTTTCTCAACGTCTTGAATTTCCAAGCATAAGGCATCGTGACTGGGAGATCGGTAAGATCGGAATCAACGAAGCCAACGCCAGCCGACGAGATGATATCCTGGCCGATTGCTGGAACTTCGACAGCTATGCTTGCCACCAGCGGATTCAGCAGCTCGAGGATCTTGCGGGCGTTTTCGAGGTTCAGCCAAGGAGCCTGCTTTACAATGACGTGCTGAAGAAGATTGTCGGCCTTCAACACAAGCTCTGCGGCATCATTGCGGATGGCATCGAGATGTGAAAATGCGGAGTACACATAGCCTTGGTCTCCGTGGACAGTCCTAGTCAGAGGGCCCATGAGATTCGATGTCAATGCCAATAGGGATGCAAGATGTTTGAACCAGTCAGGTCGTTTAGATAGCATTGTGACCAGTTCGGGTAGGAGCTCTGTTATTGACGGCAATATTGGCTTTTCTGAAGGGTCTCCAAGCCGATCAATCACGCGTGTGAGAAACTGTGATACCTGAAAGTTGAGCGTTGTTTTGAGGGCCTCATAAAAGGGCGCTTTGTCCAATTGAGAAAGTGCAATTAGTGGACCCAGGTATTTTCCACAAGCCAAGGTCAGACTCTTGAGCTGTCGCAAGTCTGCATCTTCGGGGAACGCCCGCAAGTTACGAGTGTCGTAGTCGATCAGTAGTTTCGTGATTTGGCCATATGCGACAAAGAAATCGACCAGATCTTCGAGTTGCGCCTGCGCCGGTGGTCCCGCTTCACGTTGTAGCAAAAAGTCGACGAGTTCCGGAAGTCGAAGCCAGAATTCTCGTTCTTCTTCCAGAAGTCGCGCCGGGAATTCATCGCATCTGGAGCAAAAATCGACCATCCAATTCTTGACCTGGCGAAATATGTCTCCGTCCTGCGGTCCGGCAGTCCGGAACCGCTCCGCCATTCTGCTGATCAAACGGTGGGCCCCACTTGGGGCGACCTCTTGCGCAAAAGGAAATGTGCGAAACACATGTCCAGGCTGGATGGTTCCGATCGTCGACGCTTGAGAATTACCCCCAACCCTACCAGTCCATCTCGTCTGTGCAGGATCCTGATCGAAATCTTCGACCTCGGCAATCTCGATTTCAGGGCTCTTGCTTCCTGACGAAGGGATGGAGATCGTTTCTCGGGGATCGGACGTCTCAACCGCAGTGGATTTGAGGCCCTGATCTTCCGCGACGGGTGAAGTTGAGACCATGTTTCCTGCACCAGCCGGTGTGGGAGACTGAGCAGATAGTGGACGAGTATTAATCGTCACTTTGCTAGTCGGTGACAGTGTAACAGCAGGAGTGACTGGTTGGACTCCTTCCTCGGTATCAGTCTTCGGGACCGGTATGGAAGGCGCAGGATGGGTGTCAATGTGTTGTAGATCTGACATGACATGTGTCTCATCGGGATCCGTATCACTCAGCCTGGGACGCTTGTGCTCATGCTCGGGCAACTCAGATCCTCCACTTGAGTCACTGCGGTTGCGTGTCGATGAGTCGGTCATGGAGGACGACATTTTAGAGCATCGGCATCTGGACTGCTCGCGTTGATCAAGGCAAGGGCAAAATACCACGTCAACAAGACTGAGTAGTCAGTGAATTCAGGTGGTGAGAGTTCTTGGCACGGCTGTAAGTAGAAGGCCACCACAAGGCAAACCGCCCAGATGGTTAATGCGGATACCGTCTAAAATGGAAACAGACTGTGTTCTGGGCGATCAACACATTCAGAGAATGAATTGTGGTTTGTAGAATAGGAGTGAAATGTAGGCGCTCTCCATTTCACTGCCAACTGAGGAAATGGTGAGAGGTGATGATGAGGGCGGGGCAACAACAGGTTGGATGTTTGCTGCGGACCCAGGGGTGAGTTCCAGGTGATAATAGAAAGGCCTTTTCTTTGTCAATATCAAGAGTTGTTGGATATGTCTGATGAGAACAAACCGATCTCTGCCTGAGGGATGGATGATGAATGTATTGGTTTGACCAGGCTACACTTTTAGATGGGTTTGTATGGGGGGCGCGGGATAAAAAGTTGCAGTTCTGTTTGGGTACGTTCAGAAGCCAGCCAGTAGTCACTCGCCTGCGCCAGTCACAGTGCAGTGCGCGCAGGCCGCAGACGCCGCAGACAGACGCGTTGGGCGCGACTAGAGCCGGCCAATCACAGCACAGGCAAAAAAGAAGCTATTCTATTCCTGGCTGTCGCACGTCATGCGTCACTGCATCCGCATCCGCTGCCTGCGACTTTATGCATGTCGAAAAAAGCGGCATGTAGTGTTGACATCCGGTGCATCTACGCAGTACGATATTTGCATCGCGTCAACAACAATGAACAAACAAAAGAAACCCGTGCATGCTTTGTCGCTGCCATATCCCGACCCAGAATGGTATGTATGTACGTAGCCACTATGAAGAAACTGCAGCTGACATGGTGGCCAGGCCTGCAATTACTCCCGACCAAGAACAAGCGATCCTAAGCCTACTACTTCCTCTGCTCCAACCGATCGGTGCATTCAAGCAAGACAATGTCCCTCGTTCAAAGGGTCAAGGAAGAGCTGGAAAAACACAAACAAAAGGGAATGAGACGATACCGGAATTGTACGAGCATCTGACCATTGGGTTCAACAGTACAGTTCGCAGACTAGAGGGTCTGGCTCGTGGTCAGAAGCCTGAGGTGTTTCCAGCTGTGACTACCCTCCCACCGCCACCAGATCAGATCTCAAATCTTTCACTGGTGCTTGTATGTCGCCGTAACCTCCCAGACATCATGACATCTTCATTGCCGCTGCTGGTGGCTACTTCCGCCCCGTTAGCGAACCGCGCCAGATTGATCGAAGTGTCCCCCCAGGCAGAATCCAAAGTTGCGCAGGCGCTACAACAACCACGGGTTGGGGTGCTAGGGGTCGAAGCGGGTGCCCCTGGTACAGAAACACTATCGCGATTCGTGACTGATACCATTCCCACAGTCGAGGTCCCCTGGCTCGATCGACCGCATAATCCCACTTACTTTCCAGTCAAGGTCAAGACCACCAATGGCTGAGAAAAACAACACCTCATTGAATGAATGGAATTCGAACTGGCGTACGTTTGCGGTAATCGATATAGTCCTGGCCGAAGAAGGAGACCAAATGCCGTTCTTCATCTGTCAGAAATGTCAGCAGGAGCAAAAACAGGGCATATCGTCTTCACTCACGCATGATTCGGCGATTGAAGAATTTCCAAAGAACCACCGCATATGCCACAAAACAGATTTTGTTGCCGAGCAAAATCTGCGTTCCCAGGCCCCACCAGAAGAACCCAAAGTACGACGGATGTCTCGAGAAGGCATACACCCCGTCCGTCACCAAGACATGGTCTGCCTTCTTGGTCCATTGAACGACATGGTTGAAGTTCGTCTTGGCCTTGACCATGGCAGCACTTCTAAGGAGCTGGCCGAAACAGATACAAAACAGACCTAGCCCAACTGATACCGACGATGGCACGGTTGGTAATAGACTAGGGATGTGGAAGGGCAGATGCAGCCATTCTGGCTTGTAGTCTGAACACAGCCAGTACCTGAGCAATAGCTCCAGCATCGCCGCAGTATGCGCGGCCGCATAGGCGATCCCGTTAGACAACAGTAGGAAGGATGAGATGGACGCGTCCGGTGGGTTATACCGCGCCGTCATGTAGAACTCGAAATAATGAAACAATGCCAGGACCGCAACGAAGCATGGAGCCCTCCATAACCCGTAACCCAGATATGCCAGTTCAATGGTCAGGAGCACAGAGACGCCCAAGGCGATGCCGAGGCCGAAAGCTCTGCTGGCCACTCCGGAGAGCGATCTCCTCCCTCCCGGGAGATATTGTGGCGGGATATATACCGTTGAAAGAGGGGGTTGTGGAGCACCTCCATTCTGGTGCTGATGTTGATGCTGATGCTGATGCTGCTCGATTCGGTCTCTTGGGAACTCGTGGATGATCCCTGGCGAGGCCGGTGCTGAGGAATCGGACATGTTTGAGGAAGAATCAACAGGCTAAACGCATAATGATTAAAAACGAAACGCCCGTCATACGAGGCTGAGACTCGACTGTAAATTCGAGACGCGTATCTGAGAGAAGTGATGGTCAAGGGATACCTCGAATTTCATCCCCGTCGCTTTCATGGAAGAGCGCGTCATGCTACTCCTGAAGCACTCTATTAGTCGTGCTCCACTGACCGTTACTAGTATCATGGCATCTGGTACCACTTAGCGGAAGATGCCTATAATTCTCCTCCTTGTCCTCCGCTGCATGTCTACAGTGGTACACTGTAAGCTGGTAGTGCATAGTTTTGACTCCTCAGCTTCGTCAACTTGAATAGAATGTCAAACGACGCAATCGAAGCATGATACTGTCCCAACCATATATACCCGAAATACGCACTTGCACGACTTCTTCCCCTTTACAAATGTTTGATTCCAGTCCGTTGCGCCGGAGTGTGCACCCGTTGTAGATCGAAAGAACAACAAGACCAAGAGAACATGGTACATTCATTCTACGACAGAAATCTCCATTCCGGTTGTTCTAATACCATCCATTCATCATTTCTGATTCGAAAGCACCAGCTCCACCTCGTCATCAGCCGCCTCGAGAATATGGTGAGGCGGATACCGCGGTTTCCAACCAATCTGCTCACCATGTTTCGCAGTGAAGGTACACCTAGACACGAAAGATCAATACTTCATCAGGCAAAAAATCCCAAGAACGATGAGCACTTACAATCCTCCCACAGACAAAGGCACAAGGTCCTTTGGATGTCCTATAGCGGCACCCATTTTTTCCAGCGCCTCATCATCGGCACGTTCGACCGCCACATCATCCACCAGGCCACGCTTCGCCAGACTGGTAGCAATTGCGGCATAGACGTCCATCCAGGCAACACTGCCGGATGCGGCGAGGTAGTACCCGTGCTTGCCACTTCCGGGAAGAGTATTGTCGTCTCTGCCTGTCAAGATCGCCCGTAGGAGATCGAGATACAATGCCGTGTTGTCTTCGATGTGGCAGACTGGCCATGTCTAGACAGACAAAATCAGTCGTCGACGGAGGAAACGAGAAGACCAGTAGGAGTGATTGATAGGTACGTACCGGTCGGCCCTCATCGACGCTGTAGACGCGCCGCGCACTGATTCCAGCCTTGATAATGGCCACTGTCTGAATGGATAATTTGTTCCCGAACCCTTCGCCTTTGCCGTCTACAAACGCAATTAGGCTCTGGTCAATTGATGCTGGGAACAATCGTGGGGTTGGTGGAGTGGATGTGGAATAGCAGTCTCGTCCAGACTTAACACTTACACACTATGCAAGGGGTAAAAATATATGTTCGCACACCGTAGCGTTCGCCTTGTTCGATGACCGTGTTGTTGGCGTCGATTGCCTATGTCGTTCAAGTTTGTCAGTCGGCATGGGTTAGACCCATACTTGGTCATGTTTGGACTCTGTTTGTTTAGGTACTTACCGGTCTCAAAATCGGCACAATTGGCTTCTGCGCCTTTTGGATGTCGTACAGATTAGGGTCGGTGTCCAGAAGCGGTCTGTCGGTAGGTGCGCCGGCGTGGCTGGAGAAGATCTTTGCTCCGGTGGTCTTGAAGAAGAGCGGGATTAGCTAGAGTGTACTAGTAAGAGCTTACCTATTGGCATGAAGTGGTGCCTCAACAGATCATGAATACGAACATGAAGCAAAGCAGAAGAATATGGTTATCGGTTGGCAGGTCCTCGTACATACATGTAAGAAATGCACTTCCAGCCCCGTCTGCTTCTTCACCTCAGCCAGGGCCTTGATGAAATGGCCCTGCATCTCACCCGATAACGCATCGATGAGAAAATACACGATCGTAATCCGGTGGCTGACAATGGCTTCCCGGACCGCGTCTTCGCTTTTAGGGTTGAACTGGATCGGCTCAATAGACTTGGAGCGGTAGTTTTGTTTGATAGCATTGGCTTGCTCGTCTGTCCGGACGAGAGCGTATACTTTGTCGTATGCTGGGAAGTTGCTGTCGGCGCTCGACGGCCACCGTGCTAGCAGGGAGCCGCCTAGGTATCCGGATCCGCCGGTGATTAAGATTCTGTGCGCCATGATACGGAGAGAGAGGGCTGTTGCTATGGATGGCGGGCAGCAACAAGACGTGTCACCTGTAGATGGGATAGGGGTTCAGAGGGAAAGTCCTTGTGTACGCTGCTGCTGCAATGGGTAGACCGAAGTAGAAAGATACTGTGTGCTGTAGTAGTAGTTGATTTATAATCTGCCCTTGAAGCTCCATAGGGGACGACTGGTACAAGCAGCAGTGGTGTAGTCGAAAGCGGTAGATCATGTCCCACTTCATTGGGGTTGATGACAAAGCCGGACTGGTGGGTGGAGTACGTCAAAGTTTAAGGGGGCCCCAGCCTCGCCGGCCTTGTTGCGGCACACTCGGCTGGAATGAACCTTTGGGGGTCAAGGCGCATCAGATTTCGAGGGGAGCTGTTGTGAAAGGCCATGAGCATGAGCTGACTGGGAACTTCCTAGTACCCGAAGCATAGAGAGGTAAACCTCCGCCCGGATCAACGTCCACTCGGGCCATCTGCCGAGGGTCGGAGGGATGGAGAATCTCACTGACCGGTGTGACTTCCTTTAAGGTGGACCAAAAGACGCTCCTAAGGCTATAGTCATGTCATGTGGGTGGAGCTGCGTCCCTGGCCATGCGCCCTGCATGGCCAGGGTCACTTTGCTTGCCTTGCTCAAGACCATGTCACATGTATACAAGGGCCAGCTTTGGAATGGTCACAGATGCGGAGCTACCATCAACTGTACCAAGATCTAACAACTTGCATCACATTCAGACTTCTTTCTATACTATATCGTCCCCAATCTATAGCCGTGCTTTCGGGCCATCCGTCGTCTTCTTCGCAGGCTCCTCCAACAACTCCAACCCAGTTATCTGTTCCAACTCCTTAACCGCGTCCTTCGTTCTCCCGAGAATGACTCTGATCGTCCTCAACCCCAGACTCCGAGCCATCTTGAGGTTCTCACCAATATCATCCAGGAACACAATATCCTGGGGCTTGATATCCTGGCCCCATCGGTCACGGATCGCCTTCAACGCATACTCGTAGATATCACGATTCGGCTTCCTCATGCCTACATGGGCACTGCTCACAAAGATCTCAAAGATATGCCGCACATCGTCCGGCCCAATCACATTATATTCGTGGCCCTCGGGGAAAATCGTCGTGTTTGACAGCGCCGCCAGTTTATATTTGCCCGACGCCTTCAGCCGCTTCAGCGCCGGATACATGTATGGATCTGGTTCGCGCGACGTGCTCATCATGGTCCAGTAGAGCGTTTCGGCGTCAATGTTGGGAACAGGAGGCACTTTTGATGCGTCGGTGATGTTCAGTTTCTCCCGGTGGAACTTGAGCCATATCTCGCGCCGTTCGAGGTCCGATTTGAAGTTGCGCATGAAATTGGCGTCATTGGGGATCTCCCCGCGCTCCAGTTTGTGCCATGCCCCGTTGGGTGTTAGCTCTCGGATCGCATAGTTGATGTAGCCTTTTGGAATGCCGTTTTGGATCTCGTAGTCCAAGATCGCTTGGAAAGGTGAGACGACCTGATGGTGGGAGTGTTAGGTTTGGCTTATTCTTCGTGACATATGTGTAACTTGAAGCATTGCGCGGAATGCTATTGTTCTTGGGAGAGAGAAAAGACAGGGCCTTTAGAGACCAGCAGGAGTCTCAGGTTATATGGATCCTCAAGTATAAGAGTCATTGTCTCCCTCGAGGCTATTCTTTCCAGAGTATGGGGTTCAAGTGGACTTGCAAGAAAGGCAAATCAACGGGGACAAACGTACACAGACTCCGCCAATATCGAACATCAGCACTTTGGGACGAGGTTGTGATTGAGGTCGCGAAGCCATGCTAGGCGGACCAAAATGGCTAGGACAATAATGTTCTATCGGCGAAGCACCAACGGCCTCTGTCGCGGGCCGGATATAGTAGTATGGAGACTGCGAAGACTTGAAGCCGGAACTCGAGTCAGAACTGGGGTTTATCCTGCGTATACTTTTTCGGTATAATAGTCAACCGCAATGGCGAGCTCCTCTAATGCAATAGCTTTTGATACTGGGAGGGAAATAGTAGATTTGTATGTGTCTGATCCAAACCGAGAGGTTGTTCCTTCAAGTTGTGTTCCGCGTCCCTGGCTTTTGAGCCGAGGCGATCGATTCAAGCCGACTCCGATTGGAGATTCACAGCCGAAAGGGACGCTTTTTCCGGCGGCTGAACAGCCGTCTATCTTATCTTGTCTTATCTTATCTCCAGGAATTCCGCCTGATCAATTGAAACGCGTCGCTACCGCGTCGGAGCACATGCAACAGCCGGTTCTGACAGCAAGGCTGTATACAAACTTGAGTACACACTACACACTGCAGGGCATGGGACATAGGTTTCAAGTCTCAGAACAACAGTCATGGACGAGCCCGGTCAGTCCATCACCGCGATCAAAGCAGCCTTCATCCGCTCTCAAGTTCGCCAGCTCTGTGCACCCCTCGAAGCCTCGCCCGACTGGAATGGGAGCAATAGAGTACAAACGGCCAAGGGTGACCACGGACGTCCAGGCCACTTGAGTGACAAGGCTGTACAAGATATTGTGGCGAAAGGTGTGTATCGAAACCACTTCAGGCAAGAAGCGTAGCTCCCCGTACGTCTGTCAAACCTAACCACTTCCCTCTCTGTCCGCAGTCAATGACGAAATCCGCAAACACAACCGGATGGTCTACTCCGCGCAATCGCAGCGGCACGTGGCCGAGCAGATCGAAACGCTGTACTGGAACATCATTTCCGCCGAGTGCGACGACGCCGATACAAACACAAATGCCACTACAGTCGTGGCCCCCCGAGACGCCGACTTGACAGAGTCACACACCACCATCAAAAGTCTGCTACCTGAACAGTATACCGATCTCCATCTCCATCCTCAACACGACCCGCATTCCGGTCATGGTCATGAAGCAGAGGCATACACCACACTACGGGAAGATTTGATAGAAATGGCTCGGAAACGGGACGCGCTGAGACAGAACCTGGCGCGGTATCGACATTTACAATCGCTGTTGGAACCGCTCGACGATCCGCAGACGAACATCCAGCCGAATCTGGTGACCAGGGATGGCGAATTGGGTAAAGAGTTGGATCGGATGAGGATCTTGCTCGCCAGAGTTACGGGGCGAGTTGGAGAAATGAAGAACCTGAATGCGACAACATTAGACAGGAGAGACACTACTGCAACTGGAACAGACACGAATCTGTCGCAATCAATAACGCCAACGACAACCGCACAAACAGATCAGCAGAAACTGGCACTGCTGATGGACTTGACTTGAACCGTTTCCCCGGGGTGTGCACACACACACAGACAGACATCTATTTTGTTTTCGATTGGACGGCAACACCGCCATATGTTGGTACAGTTCTGATTGCTCAGAAAGAGCAGCTATAGTACTTCATACTCGGACACCATCTCGCATCATGCCAACCGACACAACTCAATCAGTCCTCATTGACCTCCTCGACGGTCGGCGCGGCATGACGTTTGGCAGGAGTCGATTGGACAGCAGGTTCGACTGAAGAACTCACAACGGCTCCGTTGGTCGGGGCGGCGGCCGTTACAGCTTCATGGACGGTGGTGGTGGAGTCACCCGATGCGGCGGCAGCTCGCTTCTGGGCCTTTCTAGCTTTCTTCTCCTTCTTCTTCCGCTTGATGTCCTCCTTGGTCTCGTGCCAGCCCCAGACTGGGCGGAAACTGTCGAAGAACCCCACATCTTCAAACAGATTCGGGTACAGCCAAAGACCAGGTGGGACAAGGAAGAAAGTGAAGATGAATAGAATGAGGCGGAAAATGGCCATGGCGAAAAACAGTCCGATCAACCCCATTGCGCCAACCGACAGGTACCAGACGCCTTGTCTCAGAACAAGAGGCCACAGAGGGAAAAGAACCGCAGCGAAGACACCAAGCATAACCAGGCCAGCCCAGATCTTGGTCTTCCATTGAGGTCCCTCGTACAGCCAGACATAATGCATCATAGGATCGAAATCCTGCTGTTGTTCAATCTTGACTTCCCAGAGGCCCTTTACCCGCTTCTCTTTCTTCGGTTTGGCATGGTTGTGACCTTCGTGAGGGTCTTTCTTAGTTACTCGCAGCGCTAGCATGGATAGTGGGAGCAGTTGAAGAGCACCGCGGGCTTCCATGTCGTTTTCGACTTTGGGAAGTAGCGGGTTCTTCTTTTGGGCTTTCTTGTAGGCGTCCGAGTTAAGAGCGCGGAATGCTCGTTTTACTAAGTACATCATGTCAGCAGAGTAGATTACCAAACTCAACGACATCTGACTTACCTTTGAACATTTCCTTCCTCTGTCCGTTAAATATGCATGTTCTTGTCTTCAGGTCTTGGGATCGTAGAAACTTTGCGACTGCCAGGGCGGCCGGGGTAGGTTCGACGTTGGAATTGACGGGAATATGTTGGACTTGGGTTGTGCTTTGTGGAGATCGCTGTTGGCCTTGAGGCTGACCCTGACCCTGACCCTGACCTTGGGCTTGCTGCTGCTGCTGCTGCTGTTGTTGGGCTGCTTGTTGCTGTTGCATATACACTCGTCGGGCCTCCTCTTGTTTCGCCTGAATGAATTGCTGAGGGGTCATGCCGGCTTTGGCTGCTTCCTGCTCGATCTGTTGACGTTGGAATGCCTGGAACTGGGGGATCGTCATGCCGCGTTTCTGGGCTTCCATGGCTATCATCTGCTGGATCTGTTGCTGCGTAAAGGGTTGCGCACCCGGGGGCGGGCCGGGGGATGCCATAGCGTCGCTTGGTGAAGCGGGAAACGGAGAACAGGAGTTAGACGACTCAAGGAGGAATGCCGCTCGCGCTCAGCTCAATTAAAAGGTGGTTGCGAACAAAAACGCCGGAGGTAATGCAGTGCTGATTGTATGGAGAAGACACGTTTGGCTTGCGACGAGACGCCGAAAATGTGCCAGTGAATTGCGTGGAGTGAGAATGTGGCGCCCTTCAGCCTCATACGAGTGTTATCACGTGCAATAAACTGTGGCGGTGCAATATCCAACGTCCCTCGCGCAGAGTTGCCAGCTGCAACAACCTGGAACCATCAACTATTGTGTCACTCATCCCGGACTGTTGCATATCAGGACTGCCTGCATCGAAACAAGTCATCACCGTCACAGCCTGGCTCTGCTCAAGTCTGCTGAAGTAACCCGTTGTCCTAGTCTGACACGATTCCCGAAATGACCGGGAGGCATCCGCCGGCACATGTCGCTTAAATACAATCCCGATCCTGAAGCCGTGCCGGACAAGCATTGGGATACAGTGTTTCTTGTAAGTATGATTAACACGTTGCGTGCCATGCTAATCTGTAACAGTCTCTCCGCGATGCTGCTGCGCGGATTCCCATTAACTTCATAACAAGCCCTGGAGTGCATCTGACCAAGGCATGTTTCTCCGATGGGGTCTATGATGATATCCCGGCTCAGACATGCATTTCCGACTTGCTGGCGAGTCAGTTTCGACGTCTGATCGTGGACCTGTATTGGGACAACATCAATCGACAGTTCAACTTTTGCCCTGTCCAACTGCCACCCTTGGCTGGTAATGCCACGGGCGGTTACAGTGTTGATGTCTCCGCTCTATCCGCCATCACGGCCACAAGCACACCTTCATCCAAAGTCGAGACCCATGATTTGCTAGCAAACCCTCAATTCATCAAACGACAGTCTTCGGACAATGCTACTTCCTCGACAACAGAAACCGCTGCTAGTTCGTCTTCGGACGGTGCTACTTCATCAACAACAGAATCCGCTGCTCGTTCGTCTTCGGACGCTGCTACTTCATTAACAGCAGAACCCACTACTAGCTCGTCCTCGGTATCAACCTCGAGCAGTACTACCACGACGGCCGCTCCGGTCAGTACAACGACAGGTGTTTCCGGAACCACGTTGCTCGAGCTAGGCCCATACAAGTGCAGCCTTGAGCTGAACCTGGACTCAATATTGTCCTTATACGACGACTATTTCGACCAGACGTCTACCACAATTTCCGCACGGTTACATTATTTGATAATCAATATCCATGCCGCCGCACCGTTCACTGCACCTCTCGATCCCGCGCAGAATCCTATGCAATCGCGTCTTCCACGAACAGAAGAATTGATTGGGTCGCAGTTCAAGTCCAAATTTCCTGATGCTCTCTTCACGCCTCGTCTTTTAGAGGAAGACCGACATGATCTGAATAGGTCGTGGTTGCGTGGTGACTTTGCCAGCATGACAGACACGAGTTACTTCAGTACTTCCACGGAAGGGGACGGCTCCATCACTCAAAACGGATGGCCGGGGGAAGAATGGATTCTTCTTACAGACGGCAGGCGAATACTCGTAAGTTGGGGCGATGTTGACCCACAAATGGATGGCTACAACTTTAGCTCGGACTCGCAAAATGTCTTTGATGCATGGTCCATCGAGACAAAAGAGGGAAATGGCACGGGAAATTCGACAGCAAACTGTCTCTACCAGCCAGGAGAGACCACGGTGTCACAGGTAAACTCGTCCTGGGCCACCACGACCATCAATGGGACAAATATTGATACATTGACAAACCTGGCCCAGAACTTGACCTTTTGTGGCATATCGCCGATCCTGAATGCCACAGTAGGCGATTCAGCGGTTCAGCATAACTTGGATCTATATCAGAAGTTTGCTCAGTCTGCCACATTTGGGTGGGCATCAGGGGAACCGTTGAACGTTTCCAAGCCGAGTGTCAACATCAGCGGTTCCGCCGATAATTACCGATGTGCGGTGATCGATTCAACCAGTGGGTATCTGGGACGATGGCGGGTAGAGGATTGTTCGAAGAAGCGCCGCGTTGCATGCCGTATAGCTAGCGAGCCTTATGCCTGGCGACTATCTACATTCACTGTGCCCTTTAGTGCAGCATCCGATGCTTGTCCGGAGCACACAACGTTCGGCCTCCCGCGCACGGGTCTTGAGAACACCTACCTGTATCGACATATCCTAAATGTTACCAGCACCGGTGATGACGACGCGGACTCCATCCTGTCGGGCACGTGGATCAATTTCAACTCTCTAGATCAAGTTAACTGCTGGACGGCAGATGGCCCGAATGCGACTTGTCCATATGCTGGTCACGAGGAACAGGACCAACAGCGACAAGTCCTCATCCCGACTATTGCGGCGTTGATCGTCCTGGTGCTGACAGTGTTGACGTTGCTCGTGAAATGCAATCAACACCGAAGAAGCAGCCGGGCGCGAAGACGTGGTGATGATGGATGGGAGTATGAGGGCGTGCCGTCTTGATTAAAATTAAACATCAGTCCTCCACCCGGCCTCCCTTTGATTGTATTCGACTACACGCATGTCAGCATATCAAAACGCACATCATATTCCCTGGTCACAAAATCTGTGATTAGCAATTCACTTTTTGTTACAACAATGAGTGGTGTAGTGACTTGGATGGTGTCAGGGCCCCTAATCTTCGCTTCGACCCCTCTTACCTGGTTCGTCGATTTTGTGCTGGCGGAAAGTCACTGTCTGCGGATTTGTCAGTTCGTGTGCCGAATCCACGACTCCACCACTCCCGAGTTCACGATCCGAGTGCCCCAAGTTCCGCGTTCTGACTAATCAAAGTCAACTCCATCACATCGATCTCTCCGGAGCCTTGCGGGCATAACCCTATCACTCAGAAGAGGCAAGGATCGAGGCACGCAATCAACAGTTGTCACTGGTGGAGGCCGTTGCAGAATCCTAATCCTCGTTTTGACTTCGATCGAAATGGGCATAGCAAAGGGTGTTGCAAGGATGGCGACATCTGCGTCGGTCAATGTTGCAATCGAGCCGAATCATGCATTCCACCAAAGGTAGCAACCTATATGCTTCTGTCCTCGTTCTGTCAACCAGCTATAAAGGCGATAGCTTCCATGAGACCAATCTCATCCACAACTCCAAGTCTGCTTTGCACCCCCAAGTCCACTACCAGTTCCTCAACCTGCCTCGTGGCCCCACATCCACCACATTACAACTACATTACATTGACCTCGTCTACAACCTACTCCCTTTCCAACAACTTCCAGCCCTCTTCACAAACAACCGTCCTAGCCGTGATCTTCAGGAACAGAGACCTTATCTAGTCATGGCAACTACCAAAGTAGCCATCGCCGGCGCCACCGGCAACCTCGGCCTCCCCATCCTCAACAAAGTCCTCTCCGCCGGCTACCCAGTAACCGTCCTCACACGGAAAGGCAGTTCCAACACATCCAAACTCCCTCAAAACTCCGCCATCACCATCCGAGAAGTCGACTACTCGGACGTGGCATCTTTGACCTCAGCACTCCAAGGAATAAACGTAGTCGTCTCCGTCCTAGCCACAGCCGTCGTCGGTGGACAAACACCACTCATCGAGGCCGCCGTTGCCGCCGGCGTGAGCAGATTCATCCCATCCGAATTCGGCAGCAACACCGTCAACCCAAACGCGGCCCAACTGCCCGTGTTCAAGGGCAAAGTGGAGACATTGGGCGTTTTGAAATCAAAGGTCCAAAGCAACCCAGGTTCTTTCAGTTATACTCAGATCATCAACGGCCCCTTTTTCGACTGGGGTCTCGAGCACGGGTTCATCATCAACCCGGCCAAACACACCGCGGACATCTATAACGGTGGAGACGTGTATTTTTCCACCACGACTCTCGACACTATCGGTGACGCTGTGGTGGGAGTCATTCGCAACCTTGACAAAACTGCAAACAGGCCCCTATATATCCAGGATGCACGCGTCACTCAGAATCAATTGATCCAATATGCTAAGGAAAAGGACGGCAAGGAATGGTCCATCACGCATAAGGATACTAACAAGGTCAGAGAGGAGAGTTTTAACGAATTGAAAAAAGGTTCAGATGGTAATATTGGTGCCGCTATGGTCGGGTTCATTCTTTCTGCCATTTTCGATCCTGAGTATGGTTCCGATTTTGAGGGGAGTTTGGACAATGACCTGCTGGGGATTAAGGGGTACAGTGATGATGAGGTCAGGAAGTTGGTGGAGAGGTTCTTGTAGGCAAATTGAAGAATGAGATGAGAGGTCTTTTGGTAGAACAATTTTCTTGTGATGAGGAATTGTGAAGCCCAAAGATGAGTAAGTTTGAATATGTGAACTGCTTCAAGTAGTGGACTACACGGTAGAAATGTGAGACTCCCTCAGCAACTGGTTCATTGACCCGGAAGAGGACATGGGGCCTGTTATAAGCCACCACTGGTAAACCGTCGTCTCATATCAAGTCATTCTATCGTAGGTAGTAGGCGGATATATACATACGCATATACATACGTAGAGCCTCCAATCTGCACCATGCTGATCTGCGCCCGTCCGGTGACTAACGCATTTAGCAATTTCCGTTCCACTCGGCCACATCAAATAATGATTCAGAGTCAGGATCAAATCCAACTCCGTCCATACCTGTCTAGTACCGTAACTGGGACCATCTTGCGCGCTGGAGCATCGTCTGTCCCGGGCACTGGAGCAGGCACATTCATATGCACAGCCATAGATCTGCCAACATGTTCTGCCTCCGCTGAAGGTTCAATCCCAGCCTCCGTCGCAACCTCACTCGCTGACCTCGCCGAGGGCGTAAGAGTACAGGCATAGGCGACTGTCCCATCACTGTATCGGCCCTCGTCGTTATGATTGCCGTTGTTCATGGTTCCATTCCTCGGTCTGCCTCGTGAGACTGGTTTGCCGCCGCCATGAGATGAAACAGAAAGTGCAGGTGTAGGTGTAGGTGTAGGTGTAGGTGTAGGTATTTCCTGTACCTTTGACGACGACGCCGATGATAACCACGATGCCGATGCCGACGCGCAATGTGACGACGACCCACGAGTCGGAGCACCGGATCTACCTCCCTCTGACTCTGGAGTTTTCGGTTCCAAGACCGTATCCGAGGCAGAGACATAATCCGAAGCAGAAGCATCATTGCGATTCTGTGCGACCTGCTTCCTTTTGGGACGTGCGTGGGCGTTGTTAGACAGAGCCAGTGGTGGACGATACCGCAGGGACAGGGGATAAGGGTCTGGCGCACTTGCACCTGCATTCGTCGCAGTCTGGAGGCACTGATCTCGAACCGGGGCGGTGGGCAAGGCTTGTCTTTCAATATTCTCAGTCCCAGTGTGCCGAGAAGAACTGGTGTCGAGGACACCGTCTTGTTTGATGTCCTGTAGTTGTGGCTGATGATGTTCATTTCTCTTATCTCGTCGCACGGTTTTAGGTTGAGGCTCGGGATCGGATTTGAGAATCTGATTCTGATTCTTGTTCTGGTTCTGCTGCTTCTGATGACTGTGATTATACCGATCATCATGCTCATGGTGGGTCAGCGGTAGATACATGTCTAGAATGTCGTCGATATCGGTGACGAGGTGATGTTTGTCATCATCACCACCTCCACCAACGGCTTCATGATTGTTAGAAGCCAAACTTGCGGCAGCTCCATGGCCATGGCTGTGGTTGTTGTGGTGGTATTTGAGGGGTTCGATTCGACCATGACTGCTTCCAGCAGGACAGTCGACGTCCCGCGGTTGGCTTTGACAATAATCACTGCGAAACTCTTCAATAACACGCCTGGCGTCGTTGGAACCGACGGCGGCAGCCGGCTCTGTAAGTTGGTGGCATTCCGGGGAGGAAGCACGAAGGCGAGTATCGTCGAAGTCAAGATTTCGCCCGTCTTTCGTCGCAGCCCTGACATACCGCCTGGTGCTGCTGCTACGCTGATCTGGACGTCTTCCGCCGTCAGAATCACTCGGTAACAAGACAGGGGGCCACGAGGACTGTGACGAATGTGATGATTGCGCGCAAGTAACAAGCGAAGACACCCTTGGCTGTGGATAATAAGGTGCCTCACGCTTTGCTTCGCGCCTTGAAGCATCAAAGTGCACATGCACCTGTGATGGTCTTTGCAAGGCTTCTTTCGCGATTTCATCACGGCTCGAGGTATATGAAGACCTCGTGACCTGATGATAGACAGGAGAAAGACGCGGCACGTTCTCCTCTGTCTTGCCTGATGGTCTCTTTTCTGCGTTTGTTGCAATTGGTTGGCGTTTGATTCTCAGAGGAGGCGGAATGAGTGGTTCTTGAGTATGTCGAGGGTAGTGGGTGTGCTCGAGTCCACGCTGATCTTGCTTATTGATGCTGCCGACATATCCTGCGGTTCCTTCCACGGACTGATATGGGTTATGTTTCCAACTCGCACCACCCTGAGTATCATGCTCCGCAGGGATGACTCGATTGACCCTTGTAGAGCGCCCACATGCTTCAAATTCTCGGGAGTCTCCCTTTCCCCTATCTGCTCTGGCACGAGTAGTCGGTACAGCCTTCCGCCGGAAAGGATTGCGTGCAGATTTGCGCAAAGGCTCGAGCCTCGTCCCATCATGCCTCGCTGAGATCGTCCCATTTGGTTTCGAGTCTTTTTCAAGCAACTCCAAGTCATTCAGTCTCCCGGGTCCGGCGTCGTCAGACCTGGTGTTGCTGTCGCTGTCCTTCGAAAGCTGTCTCTGCCATCTTATATGACTCGCATCCCGTCTGCCCTCTTCCTCCCCATTATCCTGACTATACACACTCCTCGTCAGTTCCGTGTCCTTACTGTCATCATCACTGAATTCTTCTTCAACCCATTCTTTCGGCAAGACCCTAGTCCATCCACATCGATGGATCCTTTCAAATTCGTTTCCTCGTTTATCTGCATCGAGATCCGCAAGCTCAGGAGAGGACCTTGCCACTTCAAGTTCAGCAGTGTCGTCAACGATGTTCTTCTTAGAAGTGTCATTGTGGCTTTGTCCTGTTTCAGTTTCACTAAAATCAAGCAGCGGATGGTCCAATAATAACGGTTCCGGTCTCTCAGGTATGATGGGTATAGGAGGGCTGACTTTCAACCTTGTTTTTGTCGGCGAGGGATATGCGGACTTCGATGACGACGGATGTTGCTTTCTGTCCACACCCACACCGGTCAAGGTTCGTTTGCTGTCACTGAGTTTGGTTTTCAAGAGCGACCATGATAATTTTGAGCTGGATTGGGTTCGGCTCAAGACAGCAGACGAGGACCCCTCTGGTCGGTCATGCTTGGGGGATCCTGTCACGGAATGGCTGGATTTTGGTGAGTTATATTCAGTTCCTGATGTGCTTGCCGGACTGTGCCGGGTTGTCGATGAAGACTTCCATGAATGAGAAGGTGTACGAGTGGTGGCCTCCGACGACGTCCAGCTGAACTTGCTGGGATTTTGTTGGATCGTGAAAAGATTCATTGACACCACGCCTCTGGTCTAGAGTCTGTGGAATATACCAAGGCTGAAAGGGTTAGCATCTATAGAACTGTTATTTAACCGGTGTACCAAGTTGGCGGACTATCGAGGTCAGACAAAGGTTGGTGGTTGCCACAGTTCCAACGTCTGTTCTGGAATATCTCGAACATCTCGAAAACAGTCATGATAGGCTTGATCGTGACATAGCACTCAAAGTGACCGGCCCCTCCAGTCTGTTGAACTTATGACACAGTAGTCCCTCTGTGAAAGTGAAATTGGGACATGCCGCGTGACAGGGGAGAAGTGAAGACCCTCCAAAGGCTGTCATGAGACAGAGAGATCAGAGCAAGACCTCGAGTTTGACATCTCACGGAAACCGGTGTATGAGTCTAAAGCATGCATTTTGTTCCATGTAGTTAGCAAGTTCAATCACTGACCGTCAGTCGCCACAAAGGGGCGTGGGTATTCACGCGGGAATTTCGAAAGTAAGAATAATGTGGAATCTGTGAATTCATCATGAATCATTTCAAGTGAACTGCCCTCCAGAAAATGAAAAAATCACAGTTTGGCCTTCATCCACGACTTGATCGCTTTCCCCTGTTCGGTTTCAGTAGTATCGCCGAATCTCAAGTTGAAAATAGGGGCAATATGCCCTTCGTGTGCTCCGACGACATACGTTGTGGTGTCGGGATTGACAGACTATATTGCGGACAACGTGTGAGTGTGTGTTACCGCAATAGTCTTGATCTGACTGTCCGAACGTACCTTGAATTTGTCCACCCACTGATTGATAGGATCAATCAATATCTCGTCCGCTCCTGCAACGACAAGTAACTGTTCGACTTTCGAGTCCTTCCACCAATCGGCTGGAGCGAGAAGTGCTTCGGCAAAAGGGCTCGTCTCTTTACCACCAAGATAATCCCGGGACCACTTCCGCCCGCCATACTCACACACGATATCTTTGGGTTCGTTGCGTTTCACGCTCGGCCAGTCAGTCCTGAAGGAGACCCATGGTGCAACAAGGACAAGGCCTTTGAGTTTATCTCCATCGGCGAGTTGGACTTCCGGAAGCTGGGACGAGGGATGCATGATCTGTGATAGGACCGCAAGACACATGTTTCCGCCTGCTGAGTCTCCAGCAAGAAGAATCTCAGATGCTGGTCGTTTGAGCTCCGTGGTAACATAGTTGACCGCTTCGATGGCCTCAATGATCTGGGTGGGATATGTGGCATGCGGTACAAGGCTGTACTCGAGAAATAAAAAGGCCACAGGAATGTTGTTGTCTTGAAGGTCTTTTTGGACTGAATGCCAAAACCTGAAATGGGTATCATCGCCGTCGAGCGAGAAGCCACCACCTGTGCGTTAAATTTAGTATATCACCACCGAAATGAGCTAGAATGGAACTATACCATGATAGTATACCACAATATATTTGGCAGTTTTGTGGTCGCCCATCCAGAAGGCTTTACGTCCCGAGTTCAGAGTGACAATATCGGGTTTGCCTCCTTGGCTCCTATACCATTTCTCGTAGACCTTGGAAAAAGGCTCTCCGACGTACCTGTGTTGTCAGCGTCTCGGCCAGACAGGGTTTCCTGAGTAGCTTACTGGAGTTGGTGGGTGTCCAGTCTCGTAACCATCTTCGCTTGTCAGTACATGCGGTGCAGCATTCTCGATCTTTGTGACGTACCTTTCGGACCATGGCATGAGTGACATGCTGTTTGAAAGTGTATGCTCCGGCCTCTCCTCGAAAGGGGGCTGTGACTGCAGCATAGATGGCGGTGCCCACTTTGAAATGTCAGTTCAGTCGGGACGTATCACAACCGTCGAGAAGAGCGTACAAATCGAGAGAAGACCGGGAATGAGATCTAACTTGTCTATCCATGAGATTTGATGGATGCTGGTCGATGCCGCTTGGCCGGGAGTAGGAGGAGTGGTCATTCTGATGCCGCTGAATGGGAAACCCGATGAAGTCGCAAAGTGAGGACAAGGTTATCGCACGTTTTGAGGGCGACGTAGTAACCGTGAGCAGATACCAGCGGCTCACTGGTATATATGTCGAGAGCAATCGGTCAAACCAGCTGCTGTCAGCGGTCAGCAACTGTGTCCAGGATTCGGCAATTGTCCTAGGGCGGTTGTAGTGATATAGTATCGTAGGAGTGTAGAAGGGGAAGGTCGCAAATGATGCCCCCTCTATCTGAAGCCTGGGGATGCATGGCTCAGCCGCCCACATCAGGTCGACTTGCGGGTCAAGGCTGGGGGAGTGGACCAGACCACTATTGTTGATGGACACGCCTTCAAGCCGAGGCACAGGCCTGTGGAAGGAATGCTTGCATTGTGTGGATGCCATCGATTTCCTCCCATGCATCTTCACAGTATTATTTATCCGCATTCACCGACACCCAGGGTTGCTTATCCCCTCCCAATCCATCTTACCGTATCCCCCTTGTTACAGTTAACAAGGTTACGGTCAGTACGGTTCGCTTCACATCACACAAGATCGTCCCTGATTGGCGGCTTTGCCAACAAGACGAGCACCAGAGCCCGGCATAGTGCGCTGCTGAATAAAGTGGTAGGCCTCGATTTTGATCCAATATAGATCAGCGAGGACTTTTGCAAAATACTCTCCATTTTCCTTTTGCTGGACGAGCGGAAGTGCTGGGATCTGGCATAATCATGCGGCAGGAAGGCCTTTTCAATAATAATTGTTGGCGATGCGTGGAAACCAGACAAGGAGGCTTGTCCAGGCAGGGACTTGTTTGCAACGTGAAATACTCTTTTTCATGAATGTAAGTAGGTCTGTGACGACTTCAGCATCCGTTCCCTTCAACCAGTTCTGCACTCATTTCCTCGTAGGAAGGACACTCTGCTTCATCGGTCGTACGAGGATAGAAATTGGTATACTAATTTTTGGGTCTCCAGCACAGTGATACTTTATCCTTTGATTTGTCCCAGTAATCAACAACCTTGATGACGGGAATAGGATGCCGCCCATGTTGAATTGGGCACTTTTTCTTGAAGGACATTGAAATACAGATCACCAAACACGAGGCGAATACGAGGCTCGACCCATCAAGTTCGCTAAGATTTCTACTGCCTGCGCCTGTTTCCCGTATGGAATAACTACAGCAAGACCTACTAGTAGTTCAGCACCATATTTCGATTTTTATCTTAACATAGTGCTCTGTTTTAAATATACAGCTTGAGCCATGAACTCTGTCTCCGATACGGACCGCTTCAATCCTTTCTCTACACAGGGCTTGCGGCTACTCGGCGACGCAATCCCTGGCAAGACTCGCCTATTTTGGGATATTTCGAGGCATCGGCTTGCAAGCTCGTTTTGAGGGCGACAGTGCGTGGGCTGTGCTCTTGTTCAGTTCGAAAGGCAATTGAATTCTATATCGCCTGGAGGCTTCGTAGTCTACACTCCAAGCCACCAACTGCCCAGAGTCCCTTTCGTCGCCGCTTAGCGTATACCATTCATCGTGCCCTCGCCATGCGTCAATCATAAGAAATATCAATCATGTTGGTTGCTCATTTGTAAAATGCTCGATAGCCAAAAATGGGTATGTCTTCATGGAATAGACTCCGTGTCACTTTCCGGCAGTCGATGGGATATCAATAAGTTTCTCCCAACCCCAGCTTACTCAGAGACGCGGGAGAACGGATCTCCCTTGGCGAAAAGCCACGAAGCATGGATTTTGCAAGAACCGATGCATCTCGTAGTTTTTCTACCAGTGGCATGGTTTGAAAGCCAGAAGCACACCAGATGCCTCCCCTGCGATCGTCCAATGGAAGTGGAGCCAATTGTCGAGCATCGTCAGGATACCTATTGAACAGCTTGACCATTGATAGCTTGAGCTTCTTCGACCGATAATGCTTTGCTCTCCAAATCATTGTCCTGGTTGTCGATGTTGTGGTAGTCAAGAATTTCCGAGTACATCATGATCTTCCAGGTGTCGACCGGCAAATCGGCATCGTTGAAAGACCAATCGAACTTTTCTTCGGCTACCGGCTCGTCGGTTGGATCATGGTATGGGGCGAGGTATTCGTGCTCCAATCCTTCAGCAGCAGACACTCGCTTTCGTGGATCAAAGACCAGCATCTTCTCCAGCAGATCAATCGCGGCAGGGTCGGCATTCTTGAATTTGGAGCTCAGTGGTTGTCGTTCCCGTTTGGGGAGAGATTGAACAAATCTCAGAGTATTCTCACTGCAGATTGTCTCGATCACGTCTTGGGGCGGTGTTCCCAGTAATTCGGTGATGATTGAGAACTGATTGACGTGATCCTTGCCGGGAAACAGTGGCTTTCCTTCCAACATCTCGGCAAAGATACAACCGGCACTCCAGATGTCCACCTCCACGTCGTATTTTTGCCACGTGAGCATGATTTCCGGGGCTCGATAGTACCGTGTGGAGACGTAACCGGTCATCTGAGGGTCCTGAATTCGAGCGAGACCAAAATCGCAGATTTTCAGATCGCAGTTCTCGTTGACCAGAATATTGCTAGGTTTCAGATCTCGATGGACCACGCCGGCTGAGTGAACGTATTTTAATCCTCTCTGCACGCAACAGTTAGCGGCAATCCAGCGGTCAAAGGTAGTTTGAGACAAACCAGAATCTGGTAGAGGAAGTATTGGATGAACTGCTTCTCCAATGGTCTGGAGGTCAGAAGGCGGTGGAGATCTGTTCCCAACAGCTCGGTGACAAAGTAACTATCTCAATGTTAGTAACAGAGTCTAGTGGTCGAGGCCACAGGAGTGCGCACATGTCTTCCAAGGGGGAAATAAAGATGTCGCTGAGCGAGATGACCTGAACCGGACAGTCAGTCTATTATCATAACACTGTTCCCATAGTGGCTCACGTTTTCATGTCGAAGATGCTTCAGGAGCTTCAGTTCTCGGTAGGTGCGCTTCGCAAGGACAGGTGTAGAGAATGGCTTCATGATTTTCTTGACGGCAACGGATTGACCCGTGAGTTGATCCTTTGCAGAGCTGGACGCCTTGTCAGCGACTATATACCCCTTTCGAGGTCCATTCCTTACCAGACCAGCCCAAACGCTCCCATGCCTACAGGTTGCAGGTCGGTGTACCTTGTTCAAAATCAGTCCCAGCTCTTTTTTTTTTTCAAGTAGTGTATGCGCATACCTGCTGGTGATTTCAAAGGTCGTCCCAAAGATCTGGGCTCGAACGAACTCTGCCATCTTGATGAAGAAACAATTGGATTCTGGGACACTGAGTTACGCGGCGCAGCTGAGCGATGTGATATCGCAGGAAGGGGCAGGTCGAAAGACAGGCAACGTGGAGTCGGCCGAGTCGATAAATGATGGACGCTGGTCAGGGAAGGATGGAAAGATGGCCCCAAAGAGACGACGGGAGCAGAGTTGGTCGTGCAGAGGCCGTTTCAGGTGTCCTGAATCGTGGCAACGTAAGAGAGGTGACAGGTCGACAGCAGAGGCAGAGGCGCAAACTTGTCGAGTGGGCGCGGTCAAGTTTTCCGGTCGGTGGGCAGGGGTAGCGATTAGGAGTATCAGGAGCTGGAGGGATTGACTTTGAGGTACTGCCCAGTGTAGTAGCAGATGGGAATAGATTTTGTTAACAGGTTTTCCCTCAGCCGTCGGCGTGGGGCAGGGATACTGCAATGTACCTTTCCCTGTTCCTTGGTTACTAAGATGGAGATTCACGTTTGGCCAAACTGGTTTGATCTAGCACACGTTGCTCCCGGGCCCCAGAAGTACGATCGCGAAGGCGGATGCTGTGATCACGGAACAAAGTAGCGAGCGCTGCTTGGGGAGCGAGCATCGACACCGGGCGGCACTGGCAGTAGTACAGTGCCACTGTTTGCCCCTCGATCAGCATGCACTTTTACCGTTGTTCCGCCACAGATGCGCTGATGGGACTTCAATCGTAGGGTGATCGGGGGTGGTCAAAGTCACTGCAGTGCAGCATTATTAGTTACTGGTTACCGCTGAAGGCGAAAGCCACACTGGGGCTTCTTTTGCCCAGAGCCTCCAGGGCCCCGTAACCGCCCCGTCCATCGAGCTCCGTTTTTCGATGTTTTCGGCCTCATCATGCGCAGGGCCGCGCCTGATAATTGTACAACTTCACGATGGGCCGGAGTTGTCTTCCGAGTCTCCAAGCACCAGTCCTGGCAGCAATCAATGAGGAGAGGCATTAAAAATTGTACCCAGGTATGCAAGCTAGGCGGTACATATACAATCTGGGTTCTGCAGCTTCAGTACCAACATACTTTCCTGAATCACAGGCTTTCTCTGATTCCTGCAGAATACGTATCCTTCTGTTGATGGCTCGAAAGTCCAAAAGATGACCTCACCGTGGCCGAGGTACCTACACACAAGACTCGCCCACACCGTACTACTACAGCGTACTAGTACTAGAGGTAGCGGTAGTGCTTATCACTAGCGGTACCCGGCTACCCTCGGGGAGATGTCTGGAAGCTGCCCAATTTTGAGCATGCCTGAGGATGGTCCCGACAATAAAAAATGTGCAGGCTTATGGCAAAGTTGGAATCGCCGCCGCTGCTAGTAATCGTCTTGATGACAAAGACTTGTCGGGGTCAATTGGTGGCATCATATCTTCGCAGGGTGAGATCACAACGGATAACAACGGTCAGAGCAACAATATCTTGACCGAATCGATTTATTGAAGTCTCCAGCTACGAGGTCACCGATACTAGTAGGATTGTAGGCCTAGGATGCAGCGAAACAGCCTTGCCGACCAGGTGTGTTTCTGCGGAGATACCTCTCCATACACCGCCTCAGATACCACGTCCGACTCTATACGGCATATCGGAAAGAATGTCCCGCGGCACAGCCTACTGGTCCATCTGGCCTTGCTGTTCTCTTGAACACAGCTACTGTCCACCCATATCTTATTCTGCAGGGACAAAAAGCACTGTTCACAAGTTCAGAATGTCCCCTGACATCTGGCAAGATTGCAAGGTGAGACAATCAGCTCAGAGATTCCGAAACAAGAGACGATGATAGACGCGTTCTTGCGGGGAGAGCCGGACACAAACGCATGTCGACTAACGGCACAATCTTGTGTTGGCCTAGACTTTATATACAAGAACTTGAGGTGAACGGTCCTCGCCTGGATGGATCCATTGCTTGTCAGACCAACTATGGCCGTATATATCTTATATTGCTCTATATTTACGTTCGTCAAAATCAACTGTGAAGCAACGATCCCAGTATCAAGACGCTTGCTGACCTGCAGTGACAAATCTCCTGTTGCTGCGTGCTGTATGTCGGCGGGCTATTTTGTCGAGCGATGAGGCTGAACTGGGTGCCTATCAGCAACACCGCCACGCTTACCTCGCGGTCCCGGTTTTTGTAGTGACCGAGACATGTTTGTATGATCCTTGTGTAGGAATCAAAGCGTCTCTGGACCGTGGGACAATTGAACGCCTAGATCAAGGTAGGCAGGTTAGGTAGGCAGTTGACCTGGGTTGGTGCCTTAGGGCGCCAAGGGTTTGCGAGCAGTAATAACGTGGATTGAAACGAGCAAAGCCGCACATTTCAAGGGCTCGAGGACGCGTATTGACAGGGTAAGGACGAGCTATTTGACTGACCAGCAGGCATGGGGAGCAAGCACTACCACTATAGGTACCAGGGCTACTACTAGTAGCACTCTGCACGGTGCCTCCCAGCGCTGCATTCACGCTTCTCGGCTACTCTGCTCCACCCACTAACTGCCACTCCACGATCGTCTGTCGAGGTCAGCTACGACTATCATCGACTACCCAACTAAGGTAAAGCAACTCTGCAACAACTCGACTCGTCGTGCCTGCTTGTCTGTGTCTCCGTCATCTACTAACATTACGCGCCCGACACCGCAGTACTATCAGCTATATACGTCTCTCGCTTTCAACCTCTTCCGCCATCACCGCCTTGATCCAGCAGCTCGCAGCGGCTCTCGACCCTCCGCGCCCGACCTAGCTCCACTGCATCCTGGCGTTCGGCCGTTGACCGTTGCCCGTTGACCGTCGACTTCTATGTGAGCCAGCGGTCTACATCCGCCATTATCCAAGAAAAGGCTTCCCCAGATCATCCGAATCCCTCACAGGACGCTGCGCTATATTTTCCATCCCTTCCTAGCCGCATTGTTCGACCTCCTAGACCTCGGGGCTGCGCATCGCAGGAGGATATCCGTGCAGCTTCCTTTGCAGCTGCAGCCGCACTTTGCGCTGCATCTGCAGCGCCGTTGCTGCCTTACAGCTAGCATCAGTCCTCCGCTATGGGTGCTTGTGGAAGTAAAGAGTCGTCGGCCGAGGACTCCGAGCAGAAGAAGAGGAGCCAGGCCATAGACAAGAAACTCGAGGAAGACTCGCGGAGATTACGACGAGAATGCAAGATCTTGTTGCTCGGTAGGTGTAACGTCAGTGGCTGCACGCGCCCCAGAACTGATTTGATGATTGCAGGATCCGGAGAGAGTGGGAAGTCGACAATCGTGAAGCAGATGAAGATCATCCATCAAAATGGCTACACGCAAGAAGAGAGGGCTCTATATCGTCTTACAATCTACAAGAACTTGATTGACTGTATGAAGGCCCTCATAGGCGGCATGCAGCAATTCGAAATTGAACCAGAAGACCCAACGGTGAAGGATTATGTCGAATTCATCATGGAATATAATGTGGACCCGGATCCGGACAAACCCCTGGACCCGAAGGTGGCCGACGCAGTCGAAGCCATTTGGAAGGATGAATCAGCTTCGAAGACAATGGAACGCCAAAGTGAATTCTACCTGATGGATTCGGCGCCATAGTATGATTTCTATGCTGTCCTACACACACCAGTCCTTTGCGCTAACACATGTCAGCTTTTTCGAAGAAGTCAGGCGCATCGCTGCCCCTGACTACATACCGAATGAGGCGGATGTATTACGCGCACGTACAAAGACTACCGGCATCTACGAAACGAGGTTCACCATGGGCCAATTAAGCATACAGTTAGTAACCGACGGAATGCCAACACAGAGTGGATCGCTAACAAGCGGGCAGTATGTTCGACGTGGGCGGCCAACGGAGTGAACGAAAAAAATGGATTCATTGTTTCGAGAACGTGACATCCATCATCTTTTGCGTAGCTCTGAGCGAGTATGACCAAGTCTTGTTGGAAGAGTCAAATCAGGTACGATATGTCTGCCTGAAGCCTGAGAAAGTGTCCCGTTAACTGGTTGGTAGAATCGAATGATGGAAAGCCTGGTACTTTTCGACTCGGTGGTGAACTCCAGATGGTTCATGAGGACAAGTATTATTCTCTTCCTCAACAAGGTGGACTTGTTCAAAGAGAAGCTGGGCCGGTCGCCGTTGGGAAATTATTTCCCTGATTACTCTGGCGGCAATGATGTCAACAGGGCCGCCAAATATCTGCTTTGGCGGTTCAACCAAGTCAACCGCGCACAGCTGAACCTTTATCCTCAGTACGTGTTCTGTGTGTCGTGTTTGGTGGCCTGGCATTTACTGACGTGCTCGCAGTCTTACTCAGGCGACAGACACGACGAATATTCGGTTGGTCTTTGCCGCGGTCAAAGAAACCATCCTTCAAAATGCTCTGAAGGATTCGGGGATTTTATGAGAGCCACGACAAGTCATTCATTTCTCTTGTGCTCTGCATTTTTCGGGCGTCTAGCGTTGGCATGCGATGACGGGCGTCCATGGTGGATTTGGGAGGAATTCTTACCTATGTTGACTTTCGCGTTCGACAGCGGCGTTCAGCACGTTTTGTCGCCAGGTTATCTGAGGTTCGTCGTTGCCGCAAAAGTTTTTCACCCTTTAAGTCGCCTTTTCGTGTTGCTGGATCAAGAAAGGGGGACTACAGTGACGAAGGATATCCTTGAATTATGGCATGATGCGGACGGAATATCGGGGGGCTCTTTCTGTTACAGGCTTGGTTGGTTAAGGAGTATACAGGATCGACTCGTCGGAGGCCTGTCATTGGAAGACCAATTCTCCCGGGCGACTGTTGTTTGAATTGTTCTCTGGATTACTGGAGGCCACCAGGCCAGTAGGCCGGCTTGCGTCGGCCCGTCGAGTACGAGAGGCATATGGAGGATGGATGGGAGGGCACAGACACAACATCTAAGCGAGCAAAGCATCGCCGTGTACTCATAATAGCATATTACTTTGATTATGGATGGTATTCACCATGCCGCTACAAACACTGCACCACTTGAAATCAGAGGGAGTGTGGATTGCATGTGAGATGATTCGTATCACGGTGTCGACACTCAATCCGCATTCCTGGGTGGCCCCCTTTGGTCGCTGCATAGAAATTGAAGGTACCATAGGTAGATAGGTAGTGGCCGGTGCCGGTGAAATTGGCGGTGTGTTTTTGGCAATGGTGGTCTGGAGGCACAAAACTTGGTCTAGAGTGAATGGGCGGGACAGAATAATGGAGACAACAGGAACCGAAGGGCGACTATCACTACTAACGCCAGTGGACTATCAACGTGCAACAACTGCGTGGTGTTTGTATGGCTTCTGGAGCCGACCACGTTGGCCCCGGTAGATTTGGACATAATTATCTACTAGTAGTCGCACACTTTGGATATTGTGCAACAATAATGTTAGGAGGCACCTTAGGCGGGAGGGGCGGAGTAGTAGGAGGAGCAATAGGTACCTACAACAGGTATGGATGCTAGGTACAGTCCCTCTCTGCCACGATAGCAGAGGCTAATAAATAAGGAGGCCGGGCTACAAGAGCCACCGGGGCAGGGATCCATTATTTTAAGATGCTTCTGCATCTCCCCAGCTGCTACCGAGCAACCAACGAGTCTGATGAGCCTGAGCCTGCACACGCATTGTTGATGGCGCCCCTCTACCACCCTTCGCTCCATCATTGCATGTGCCAGTGTCCTCCAGTAGTGGCCCTGGCTTTCACCTGCTGTCCTCTGTTTCCTCTACCCCGCCATTTTCTGGGTTTGCTGCCCACCCTTTCGCACTGTAGCGTTTCCCATCTTGACAGGCATCATGCGTTCCGAATGCTCGTCTCGAACAGCAGATCTGCGTTCGGTTGTCTACATCCATGACTGCGGTGCTCCTGTTCCTGTGTCCGCTTCCTCTTGTATCCGAATTCGAAGGTGCCTTGTGTTGGGTTCTGGGAAACGCAGGTCTTGGAAAGGCGGGGCATTATTGGGCCTGGCGGAGCAGGGAGCACGAAGCAATGGTTGCCGGATCTGCAACAAACACACACTATACTGCAGTCCAATGCTAGCAGCCGCTCTGTCTTCACGGTCTAGAGCTCGTGTTCACGGCTGTGGTGGTGAAAACTCTAGCAACAGAGATTGAAGAGGAGGAGGACACCGAGGTCACAGTACATCTCGGAGGGCTCGAGTTACTGGTACTGTCCAAGTAGCATTTCCAGCGAGCCTTCGTTGCACAATAGCAACAATGCTTGTAAGAATGATAGTCTGTAAGCGGCCCGCTGCTCGTAAATACTTGTGCAAATGCCTTTTTGCGTTGTGATAGCGTGCAAAGACGTGCTGAATGATGGAACCAGCATGCCACCGTGAACCGAACTACTGGCTGGCAACGACTGCGGAAAGTGTGCAAGTGGGCTGCTGGGGGTCAATCGACACATGTCATGCCAGTATCATGTCATGCTCTCTCGCTCCCGCTCCCGGGCGCTGCATTCCACTTACTGGCAGAGCTCAACAAAGCTCCAGCTGTTCACTACTTCCGCCTTGACCGATATCTCAATTGATACCCTACTACGACGGCGATCGCACCGCCTATAGTGTTTCCTTGACCGCCTACTCTCTTCCCCTCCAACCCTCTTTTCCTCTCTCTCGCCGTCCCTCCCTTCATTCTTACTATTGTTTTTGTCTGTTGCAGTTCCTCAAGTGGCATCGTAACCACAATGTCTGCTGGAACCCCCACATCCGCTCCGAGGGAGCGCAAGCTCTCTACCGGGGCACCCATATCGACCCTGCAAGGTCCAGTCGGTCCTGGCTTCTCCCGGCCCAAGCACAAGCGGACAGCCACCGGATTTGCCGCGCAGGACATCAAGGCCGTCGAGTCCAGCATTCCGGAGCACATGCGAGAAGCGTAAGTCGTTGTTGTTGCTGTTGAAGCGGGAATTCCGAGCATGAACTGACAGTATCCAACAGATGGAGAAAACACGTATGCAACCCTGAACCCTGACGACCACAACATTCTGACACGATTGAATAGTCTCCCCAGGGCTTCAAGACAAAAGATGAATTCGAGGTGCGTGCTCACAACAAGCTAGGAATTTAGCATACATGTGGTTGACCGTTCAATAACAGGCCGAATGTGTCCGGCACGTCGAGACGACGTTGGCAAGATCCTTGTACAATTGCGATGAGCTGTAGGTCGGCCCAGGTTTGACTGGTGCAGTATACTCATTGTGCAATAGTGCCGCATATTCCGGAACCGCATTGGCTTTCCGAGACCGCCTGATCATCGATTGGAACAAGACCCAACAGAGACAAACCTTTGCAGACCAGAAGAGAATTTACTGTATGTGCATTGCGAATAAGACGGAACGACTTGGGAAGCTGACAAGACTGCAGACTTGTCTCTGGAATTCTTGATGGGCCGAACCTTGGACAATGCAATGCTCAATGTCGGTCTGAAGAATGTGGCCAAAGGTGTGTACACCCCAAGATTAGAAGGTCGATGTACTGACAACAGCAACAGAGGGTCTCGAAGAGCTGGGTTTCCGCATTGAGGACGTTATCAACCAAGAGCATGATGCTGCCCTGGGGAACGGCGGTCTCGGTCGATTGGCGGCATGCTTCCTTGACAGTTTGGCTTCGTTGAACTACCCCGCCTGGGGCTACGGTCTCCGATACAGATACGGTATCTTCAAGCAAGAGATTGAGAACGGATACCAGGTTGAAATTCCGGATTATTGGTTGGACTTCAACCCCTGGGAGTTCGCTCGTCACGATGTCACCGTTGACGTCCAGTTTTATGGTTGGGTCAACAAATACACCAATGACGAGGGCAAGCAGGTGGTGGCCTGGCAGGACGGCGAGATTGTCAAGGCGGTGGCCTATGATGTTCCGATCCCTGGTTATGGTACATCGACCGTCAACAACCTGCGTCTCTGGTCTAGCAAGGCTTCCAGTGGTGAATTTGACTTCTCCAAGTTCAACTCGGGCGACTACGAAAGCGCCGTGGCTGACCAACAGCGTGCTGAGACCATCTCGGCAGTGCTGTACCCCAACGACAACCTCGAGCGAGGCAAGGAACTGCGTCTGAAGCAGCAGTATTTCTGGTGTGCTGCTTCTCTCCACGACATAGTGCGTCGATTCAAGAAGACTCAACGCAAATGGTCTGAGTTCCCCGATCAAGTCGCCATTCAGTTGAACGATACTCACCCAACTCTTGCCATCGTCGAGCTGCAACGAATTCTGGTCGACAAAGAGGGCCTGGAATGGGACGTGGCATGGGACATTGTCACCAAGACCTTTGGCTACACCAACCACACGGTTCTGCCCGAAGCTTTGGAGAAATGGTCGGTGCCGTTGCTTCAAAACCTCCTCCCCCGTCATCTTAGTGTAAGTAGTGATTTCCTTTTCTTGTTTGGGTTCCTTGAGTAGCTGCGTCGTCGAGAGGACGCGACTACCCTCTCTCTTCTAATCGACCGGGTCGATCATGCCGAATATTTACTAACATGCGAGTTACTATCAAACAGATCATCTACGACATCAACCTATTCTTCCTTCAAAGCGTCGAGCGTCGCTTCCCCAAGGACCGCGAGTTGCTGGCCAGAGTCTCGATCATTGAGGAGTCGCAGCCGAAAATGGTTCGCATGGCATACTTGGCCATTGTGGGATCTCACAAGGTCAATGGTGTGGCCGAGCTGCATTCCGATCTGATCAAGACCACGATCTTCAAGGACTTTGTCAAGATCTATGGTCCAGACAAGTTCACCAATGTGACCAACGGTATCACTCCCCGAAGATGGCTGCATCAAGCCAACCCCCGTCTCTCGGAGCTGATCGCGTCGAAGCTCGGCAGCTATGAGTTCTTGAAGGACCTGACTCTTCTGAACAAGCTTGAGCCGTTTGTCGACGACAAAGACTTCAAGAAAGAGTGGGCCGAGATCAAATATGCCAACAAGGTCCGACTTGCGCAACACATCCTCAAGACGACTGGCGTCAGCGTCAACCCCAAGTCTCTGTTTGATGTCCAGGTCAAGCGTATCCACGAATACAAACGACAGCAGCTCAACATCTTTGGTGTCATCCACCGCTACCTGGCCATCAAGGCCATGACAGCCGAGGAACGCAAGAAGTTGTTGCCGAGAGTTTCCATTTTCGGTGGCAAAGCCGCACCGGGCTACTGGATGGCCAAGACCATTATCCATCTGATCAACAAGGTCGGAGAAGTTGTCAACAACGATCCCGAGGTTGGGGATTTGCTCAAGGTCATTTTCATCGAGGACTACAATGTCAGCAAGGCCGAAATCATCATTCCGGCTTCGGATATCAGCGAACATATTTCCACTGCCGGCACTGAGGCCTCGGGTACGAGTAACATGAAGTTTGTGCTGAACGGTGGTTTGATCATCGGCACGCTTGATGGTGCCAATGTGAGTGGATTGTCTCAGCAGGGAATTGACATGTGTGCTAATGGAATACAGATTGAGATTACGCGTGAAATCGGCGAGCAGAACGTCTTCTTGTTCGGAAACCTGGCTGAAGACGTTGAAGATCTCCGACACAACCATGTAAGTTCGCCGGGATATGAAAGTGGGAGGATTGCTGCTGACTTTTATATCAGTTCTACGGTAACTACCAGGTCGACCCTGAGCTGGTCAAGGTGTTTGATTGCATCAAGGCCGGCACTTTTGGCGATGAAAGTGCTTTCGGCGCCTTGATTGGCGCCATTGCCGAACATGGCGATTATTATCTTGGTAAGACTGGGATCTAGTCGTCGTGGACCAGCTTACTAACTGTTTGATTTCCAGTCAGCGACGACTTCCACAGCTACTGCCAGACCCAACAACTTATCGACGAGGCTTACCGAAACCAAGATGAATGGTTGAGCAAGTCGATCCTGAGCGTGGCTAGAATGGGCTTCTTTACTTCTGGTATGTTTTCTTCCCAAACATGTAGGCTGACTTGATTGCTAATCTGATGTCTAGATCGATGCATCAACGAGTATGCCGACAGCATCTGGAACATTGAGCCTCTTCAGGTCAAGGATGAAGCCGAAGTCAGGGCACGAACTGGTCTGGACAACTAGACAGGAGCAGCATGACGGGCGCCGTAAGGGTACGGTATCCGGATTTACGTTAATGTGTGTCTATGACGACCAAGGCTCGCTTGGCTATGCTGCCCAAAGACCTTATCAAAGAGTTTTTTAACAACGAAGTGCGGTAAGAGGGCACGAAGGGTGTGTGAGCAAGAGGTGATGTCGAGCATCCCTAGACAACAACCAGACAGACAGACAGAGACGGCTGCCTCACGACAAAGCTTAGACGTATACAGTTATAACAGAAGATTGTATCAAAAATGGTCCTGTTCCTATGTAGCTCGGTATATCTTGGCATAGTAGACGCATGGGGGACTTGCCGAAGTACAGAGAAGGGATGATGGTCTATACGACTCGGCATGGTACGTGGTTGAAGTGGACGATAAACACAAACACGAAGTATGAGTAGAGAGTAGAGATGCTTGGAGGCAGCCAGCCAGCAAGTCAGCCAATAGGAACGCGCAAGGCCAGCCAATAATCATTCGAGTCCTGTCAACCCTTTTTGACCGCATCGCCTTGTCGGAACTTGAACTTGATGCTTGGATTGTCAGACCATCCGGCGATCCATTGTCCACGGCGGCGGGTTCTCTTCGATATATCTAATGGCAAAGAAATACTACTCCGGTTACTAAAGAACCCGATGCTCGCGCCGGCAGTCCACGCGAGTCCTCGATCCAATCAATAACACGATCTCCCGGGTTGTTACAGGATGCTAGAGAGGACAGTGAGCCCACTGGCGGCGAAATAGTACGGTAGTAGTCAGGTATCTATTGACAAGCCGAGTGGTTGTATTCCCCTTTGAGCCATACAAAATGACGACGACCATGACAACCATCGCCCCTCAAGTTGCCGTGGTCGATTTCCACCATGCCAGGTATGTGTACTGTTCATTCTGTTACAATTTTGTCCCGGAGAAGAAGGGGGATGATAGAATGGAGCCGCCCAATGCAGTGTCTCCCTGTCCATATATACCGAGCGCTAGACTCTTTGCTTCGTTCATGGCTAACTTGATATCACTTTGTTTTGGTGAGGAATAGAGGTCCCGAGGTCGAATTCTGGGTCGATCCAGCTGGTGCCGAACTGGCCCGGCGGAATGATTGGTCTTTGTTGCCGTTCATGGCTCTTTCGGACGGAGCGCATGCCATGGTGGAGGAGTTTTCGTATTTTACTTTGTTGGATGTGGACGGAGATAGCGAGGATCATTCAACTTCGACCTCGAACTCAAAAAAAACTACTCTATTCGGCATCGCGTGTACGCGACAGATCCGGGCTGAGAAACTCAAGAGGCGATCGACTGATGTCACGCGCTCGACGGTGCAAAAGGCCGTGGTGGTCATCGTGCCGACTGCGAGGGGGATGGGAGAGCTGAGAGAGAGGTTGGGGGCTGTTACGGCGGCTTGGTTTGCTCAGGAGTGAGTACCCATGAATGATGTTTGGTTTTTTGTTGTCTTTTGGTTTCGGGTTGATATGTTGGTGTTCTTACGAGTGGGTTGAGTTGGGTTGGTCGTGAACAGCACTGACATTACCTCCTTTGGCTCGTCTAGGGACTTTTCAGATACAACGATCCTAAAGGTCGGTTTAAATTCCCCGTGAATGTTGGTGTGGCTACTAGGATTACGGCGAGCTGACTGTGTAGTACAGGAGTTCCAAGAAAGCCTCGCTAGGTCGCCGGCGGTGCATGAGGAAGGCAAAGATCACTATTTTGGTACTGCACCTCCCGTCCTGTCCGTGCATGCAATCAGATTTGCATTACAATGTGATATGACGGTGTTTCTGCGACTAACGGACAACGTCTCCTCAGGCCTGTCTCTACGAGAATTGATCCACGAATTCCGACATCATACTTTATCTCTGGTGAAATGTCTCCTGCTGCAGCGAAAGGTAGGTGATTTCTGTCCATCCCATTAGGACCGTTGACCGTTGGTTGCTTGGTTTTTGTGAGTGTCTGACCAGTCTACAGATGTTATTCTACGGATCGAAATGCGAAAGACTCTGCATGATGCAATTCGCCTTGATCTCGTTGATCCCAGGGCTGGTGCGAAACCTGCAGGATGCGGCTGACCCGAGTCTTGATTCGTATGCCCAGACGGTGACGAGGGCGAGTGCTTTGAAGACGAGTGAGAGGAATTCATGTACGCCGGGTCTTATGCATTATTTGTTGTTTTGTCCTCTTGGTCCACCTCTACCCCTTGGTGTCTCCTCGTGCTTGCACCATCTTTGAAGCTCTGGTTCTGACGAAGTTGGTAATCTAGTACTGGCATACGTGGGCCTACCTCTACAGATTTTCGGTCGGGTAAGTAAAGGACACCTTAGTAGCACAAGGAAGAACATTCAGGCAACTCCAACTCCCCTCCCTTCTGTCAGTCAAGTATCAACCAAGAACATCAAATCTAACAGGTTTCCTTTTCGGCGAATAGGGCTCCTTCTTCGGCCCCTACACACCCCTTCAACAACTCGACATCCTCGCCGACTACGATACAAAATCCTACGTGGTCGGCTCAACCAACAGTTTACTCTTACAACACAAAGAGCGATACAGCGACATTCTAGTCAATCTCGACGAATCCAACAGCATCACAATTTCTTCGCCATCATTACGAAGCGCATTGGCCCTCACGGCCGCCGACCGCCGCTGGATCGACCATTTGACCCAAACTGTCCTCGACACCTGGGACCCGGAGAACCCTTCGCAACCGAAGAACTTGGGCTATGCGGGGTCCGAAGATGCGATCCGCCTGCAGTTTGAAGAATATATTTTGAGCTTGTTGTCTAGTGCCGCGTATCAGGTTTATCATGAAGAAACCACTGGTACTTCTAATACTGGTGGCACTCGTGGCACCGGCACCAGCACCAGCACCGTCACTGGTGGCACCGCGGCGACTACTAACGCAGCAGCAGCCGAACAAGACATCTACAATGATATTACAGCCGACTTCAACCCTGATTTCCTGGCAGCCTGGCGGACAACACACAATTTCGCCCTCTTCGACCGGCTCACGCGCAACAATCGCATTTTCGACATTGTCGAGCCCCGCCACCCCACGGCCGGGGGGTTGAGTGTCGAAGATGTCCAAAGACGACTTCAGCAGACTATAACAGAATTACATCTTGATGAACGTGTGCGTGAAGGTCGTGAACAGCTGGGAAAGACACTGGCTGTGGGTCGGGAGCGCGTCGGGGCTGGTGTGGCGAGGTTTTGGGCCGAGGTTGAACGGCAGAGACAGAATAGAACGGATCGGAGCAGTCGGAGTGGTAGTCGTGGAAAAACACACTCACAACAGGGGGATGAAGGAGCAGCGACAACGCCGAGATCATCTCTACAGCAAGGGCGAGAATCATTTGAACGAAAAGACTCGTCTGGTGAAGGAGAAGGTCCAGGTCCAACAACTCCAACAACTCCAACAACTCCAACCTTCTCAACTACCAGTGGAGGTGTCGGTGCCAGTGGAGGTCCAGGCGGATGGGCATCTTCTCTCCGCGACCGAGCCGCCCGAACAACATCGCAGTGGCAGATGCAGTGGCAGCGAGAAAGGGAGGAGAAACAGAGGCAGAGACCGTCGTCCGAAGGTCCTGGTGATCCTACTACGGCACCAGCAGCCGCAGGAAGTCCTGCTGCAACACTCACAGCCTCTCAGATCCAAGCGGCCGCGCGCGAAAATGCAGCTAAGGCCGGTGCGTGGGTGAGTAGTTGGGGTTCGTGGGCCAAGGAACGGGTTGCTGTTGCTCAACAGCAGCAGCAGCAGCAGAGGAAAAGTGGTCCTGGTGCTGGTGCTGGTGCTGCTGCCGCCGCCGAGGGAGTCGCTGTACCCAAAGGTGCGGCGCCCACAGTTGGCGCTGCTGCTCCTGCTGCTGCTGATGATGATGGTACTACCACTGGAAAGAATACTAGGTAGTAACCCGAGAGAAGAGAAGGAGAAGGAGAACCGATAGCTTAGTATAAGACAATACATATAACACCTGCCTTGCCTTGTCTTGCCTTGCCTTGCCTTGTCTTGCCTTGCCTTGCCTTGTCTATTGACCTGATTATATCATGACGGCTACTGTGTCAATATCAAGATGGACAAAGATGCCCTGAGGAAGTTAATGAGAAGATGAGGTGGACGCTCCACACCACCAAATATCAGTAGCAGAAACGACATCCATGATTGTAAAAGTTTATTGTAATTCCATCCTCACTTGTTGCTTTGTGTACACGGCTTGTTCGTTCCGCACTTCCTCCGCTTGACAAGGAGGAAGTCGTCGAAGGCACAGCAGCCCACCATGTGTCAGGCCCTTGTCTTGCCTTCCTGCCGGCCTATCTTCCAGAAATGCCAGTGGCCGTGTACAACTCTCCCCACCACCAACCCGAAAGGGCACTTTTCATGGAAATGCACTTGTAATGCTTTTACTTCTCATTTCGTAATACGACTGTCTCGCCCTCTAATCAGTACATTTGAATCATGGCCTTTGAGAGGCCTGGCTTCTCGTTTTGGTGGCTGTTTGAAACCAGCTTGTCTCAGTGCAGCATTTGTCCAGCTCTCGTGGATCTCGTCCTCCCGTTACACCCGGGTTCCTCTGCACCGTATCAAGCCCTTTAATGATAATGTGCACTAGCAACCACTTTTCTGGTGCATCACTTACGACTCACGGCCGTCAGCGAAATACGGTCTGTTGGCAAGCATGCCGTGTTTCGCGACCCGAACCCTCCCCCAGTGGTGTCTGGCGGGAGAAACATGCAAGACCGCTGCCTCCCAGCCACGATTGACACCTCTGTTCAAAGATAGTGTGAATATCAGCAATGCCAGCCTTCGGCACAACTCCACCGACTCCACGAACTCCATTCCCACCCCCATTTATGCCGATGATGAAAAAGCAAGGTGTACCGTACATCGAAATTACGCTAACAAAACGACTGGCTGCGCCGCAGAAACCATGCTGTCGTGAGCTGATATCGACGGACTGACAAAAACACCGTCTAAGCAATGTATGCCAGTTCGTCATTGTCAAGACGCTCAATGTAGTCCTTTTCCATGAGAGCGTCGATGTTTTTCTTGATATCGGAGATCTTGGGTGGGAATCGGTTGCGGACTTGGTTGATGACCTCTTCGACGAGATGGACATGCTTGAGCTTCTTTCGACCTTTCATGATACGCACAATAACGGCCTAGAAACAAACAATTAGTAAGACGCAACAAGATGAAAATCAGATCAGACTTACCTGCAGCAAAAGCTTTCGGTCCTCCTCAATCGTCTTGTGGGTATCCTCCGACTCGACCTTCTGCTCTGATTTGACCGTGATGTTCAGATTGACCTTGACTTTTTTGTTTTTGAAGTTGTAGTTCAGTGCGTAGCTGGTGCCGGGTGCTGGCTTTCCGTCTTCTGGCGTCGGCAACAACACACGCGCCTTGACCAAGATACCGAGAGCTCCTTCAAGCGTCTCGTCGGTCAGCTTGGTCAGTTCCTTAATCTCGGAATAATCCAGCTTGTCGGACTCGTTGAAAAGCAATAGAATAGCCATCTGCCACGTCGACACCTGGAAGGTGTACGGGACTTTCTGAGTCTTGATGTAGTTGGCACGGATTTCACCCTTGCATAGCTGCCATAGCCAAGTAAGCTTGCGGCCGTTGTGTTTCTGATCATAAAACCGAGTGAATGACTCGACTGCCCGACCAATTTCCGCCGGAGGTGCAAAAGGTGTGTTCGGAGCATTCAGCGGCCAGAAGCCAGTACCCAAGATCTGGAAAGTGCAGTCGACGGTACGCTTTTCGTCACTGTCTGCAAGAATCGTCTCATGCCATTCTTTGTAGGCAGTGTTGAGATCCTTCGAAATCTGAACATCCTGGAACATGCGCTGAAGTTTATTGGTGTATTCGTAGCCACAGGCTTCCTTCAATTTGCTGATCATGCTCGTCTCTGCGTCGTCTGAGACAGAACTGGAATGAACAAGTCGCTTGGCCAGCATGCGAGAATAGAACTTCTGGAACACATCCTTGTCCTCGATGTATTTGAAGACCACCATGATCTGCACGAGAAGCTCTTCGAGTTCGGACTCATCGGCAGCCTTGGCTCCCTTCTTGAGAAGCTGATCGGCGTATTTGGCAAGAAGTTCGGGTGACCGAGTCGAGTTCGATTTGCACACCTTGTTGTGGTTGACAAAATCCTGGCAAGCGTTGTCGAGCGATCGGACAAACTCGGATTCACCATTGAAGGCGACATTGACCAACTGTTGATACTTGCCATGAATCTCAAGCAAAGCATCCACATACACCTTGGGTTCCACATTGTCACCGTTGGAGGCCACCTTCTCGACAGCAGCAGTACCGGCTTTGCGCACGTGGACTTCGAAACGGTTGCGGAGCGGATCCAGACCGTCTTTGATTCTGGAAAGGAGTCGGTACATACGGGCAAGATCCTCGGTGCGTTCGTTGTCGAGAAGAACCTGGAACTCGTCGCGCAAGAGGGCAGAATGATCAGTGATGAGGGCTTCATTGCAAGTGTCCATGAGCTTCTTCATGATATCCGGATGGAGATAAAGTCCGACCCGTTCCTTTTCCTCCTCCAGTCGAGCTTCGGCCTTCTTCATGTATTCAACCACGCTGTTCTCGGCAACAAAGCGCTTGGATTCGGCGGTGTAATACTCTTTGGTCGCAGCGATGAACGGGCGCTCAAAGTGAAGACGGTAGACATCAAGGGTGGACTTGGTGCTGTCATGCTCGTCCAAGCCGAGCGACACGAATGAGTCGACGATTGCCTTAATCTGCATCTGATCGATGGTTTCGCCATTCCGTTGTTTCTCGACGAGCCGAAGCACGGCGTCCATAATCTTGGATTCGACCGCCCGAAAGAAAACGTCCTTCCATTTGACCAGATGCAGGGTGTAGACATCGTAGACATTCTTTTTTCCCTCGTCAATCTCTCGCTTGACCCAATGACGGTTGAGGTATCGAAAAAGGTGGTTGTTGTACTTGGCCGCATCTGTGTAGCGTTTCCATTCCCGGATGTAAAATGCGAGGAGGGCTTCATCCGTATGGCCTTCGGACTGGGCAAGGACACTCTCAAGGTGCTTCTTGAGGTAGTCACCAAGAAGGGTGTATAATTCTTCGCCCAGAAGATGTGCACCGCGATGGCTATGAGTAAGGTTGATTCCGCTGGAGGAGGCTGGAGTACTGGCTGCCTTCTGTGAGGTACAGAAGTTGTGAACTGCGGTGTAGACACCCCTATATCATGATCAGTGAGATTCTACCGCAGATCCCAAAAGGAAAAATACATGTAGGTCTTCATGTCCAAGCCCTCTTGTAGCTTTGTCATAACATTGTTAACGTTCTTCTCTAAGTATGTCCACCTATTGATTGTTAGTCCACAGCCTTTGCAACACGAAGATCGGCGCATTTACGTCGTATCAAGGTCGTCGCGGGCACGCAAAGCCGGCGTTGTGGCCGTGGTCGGAATAGGCGCCATGTTGGTAGAGGGCTCGGGGTTGTGGTCGCGAGATGTCAGATGAGAGAGCGTGAGGTTGATCAAGATTGATGCCTCAGCGACGGTATCAGACAGATCCTTGGCGCCTCATAAAGGAGGTCACCGCGGGAACAGAATGAAGTGAAGGATCTTTGACCGATCTGAGACAAACCCCAAGAGATGTGAAGTTGGTAGCCAAACTGCGGCCTTCTCAAGGACAATGAGGACGGGAATCAGGGTAAAGTCACGCAATCTCGCGCAAGACCACCCTCACCCAGGGTTTCTTGTTGAAGGTAGGAATGATGAAGACAAAGGAGGATGGCTGTAGGAGAGAGCTGGCTCTCTTGCTCTACCTGAACACCAACTTCGTAGAGTCACCGATACACAGGATGTTTCTGGTCTCTTTGGTATGAGTGAGCAGCCTCAGAGGCAGCATGACCGCCACCGCATGCCTCAACACGCTTGGCATGTTTGCCGGTTCGGATCAATCTGCCAATCATTCCGCTCCGTCCAATGAGCGGGCAGTATACGAAGGCGGTGAACGGAACGTGAATCCCTATGATCTGACGTCATGTTTATGCCTCTCCGGAGTGATTCAGATGGAGAATGGCAGTGTGAAGGCAACAGTCAAAGTTATTTGGTCAGGACGCATTCCCAAGTCAGAATTGCTAGAGGAGAAAGGATAACACCGATACAAGGAAGTCAACTACAGATGAATCGTTCTCGGCTGGTATTGCCACTGCACTGTAACAGAACGTGGACCACTGCTCAGATCCTATTCCGACTTTCAACTTGATATCCGGCACGAAAATGTCCATCACTCCTCTGAGCGCCCTCCGAGTGTCGACACATCAAATACCAGCCTATAAGGGCATCCCGAACACTTCCATACAAGGAAAACCTCTCATGATTTATCACTCTGTTTTCACCAAACCAAGCGCGTCGACTATCGAGTCCCACCTCAATTCGGTCGGCGTTGTATGTCCAGCATGGAGATACACCATGTACAGCGAAACGCATTTTCATTCCAATACGCATGAAGTCCTGAGCATTGCATCCGGGTCCGCCAAATGCTGTTTCGGTGGCGAACAAAATAACGGCCGCGTAGAGCCAGTCCTGCAAAAAGGGGACGTGGTCATTGTCCCGGCAGGGGTTGGACATCGCTTGCTCGAGGACTATGGAGGTTTCCAGATGGTTGGCTCTTACCCACCAGGTAAGAGTTGGGACATGTGCTATGGTCGTGCGGGAGAAGAATCAAAAGTCAAGGCAATTGCGGACTTGGGTTGGTTCAAGCGGGATCCCATATACGGGGATGATGGTCCAAGTTTGCACAAGTAGAGTTATAGAATGGGTGTGGGTAAGGATAGCGCTCCACCCGTCAAGGTCCTGTGAACTTGAACTGGTGCGATGGCCACGGCCGTAATGGCGACCATAGCGCGCTGTAGCTCATCAAGCTCACTGGAACATGCCTCATTTGGTGTCAATTCTTTCCACCAATCTGCAATAGTCAGTACATAGCCCCGTCTAGTCGAAAGGGCTAGCTTACCTCAAAACACTAACAGAGAAAGTCATCAGCCATGCTACCAGGGAGACAAGCAAAACACCACTGAGCGCCCGCGCCCGATCGCATACGTTGTCGAATCGATTGGATGTCCTCGGTTCGTCGCCGACTTTGCAGGCCCCCTCATCCACGGTCAACGACTCAAAGCTCAAGGCAAGGTTTGCCGATTGAAAAACAACAAAAAACAAGTCCAATAGAACGAGGCGCACTTTGGCTCGAGCCGGTCGCAGTCCTAATGGTTTGGAAAAGTACTCGTCGTATGTAATGTATAAGGTGTAAGCCAGCGCGATGGCGTCGACGATGACTGCCATCAGCCCAGAAGGATCCCGGTAATAGTCCTGTTCTTCAGTGCCGACAAGAGATACGCAAGAATCGCTGCGCGGATGCTGTTTGATGCATTTCACGATCTTGCCTGTCTCATGGTAGATGGTAGTTCCTAGAGCCAGGGCTATCAGGGCGAAGCAGAATACCGTCAATCGGAAAGCCAGTGGTATAAATGGATTGCGAAGGATGGTAAATTGAGCTCGTTTGTACCAGACCTGTCGCTTTTTGCGGAACGCTCGGTACCTGCTGTTGTTCTCGTCCGCCTCTTCTTCGTCACGCCCGTCGAGCCAGGGTCGTGAATAGTCGGTAAAGTGTTTATTCAAATATTCTGGATCCACCTTCTCACCGTTGGAGGTCTCGCGTGGGTAGGCACTTGCGCGGGCAAATGATATCCATCTTGACGTGCGCTCTGGACGAACGTGCCCGGAGGATGTGACAAACCCTCCGTCGTGGTGGTGCTCGCCTGAAAGAAGTGGCTTTCGGGCTATCGACGGGGCGAAATTATGATGCGCAACGAGCGCCGCATGAGGTGCATCCGGGAACTGAAATTGAGGATCTTCGAGGTCTTCTTCTTCCGCATCCTGGACCCAGGCTAAAGCTGTGTCAGTGGAATTGTAATGGCTCGTCTAGCCAGTGCACCTACGTGGTATAGTTCGAACGGGCAGCGGAGTTTTCTTCGGCTTGGATGTACTGCTATCGGACACAGATTTCACAACGGGCGAAACGAGACTTGGGGAGTCTTTTGTCGAACCATTAAGATGCTGTCCCTGCCCGGTACTTTGGCTCCTTTGCTGACTGTGATCGGTCGAGGACGTGCACTTATCTGACTTTTCCAGGTCGGTCTTTTTGGTTCCATCTACCACCGGCGCAACAACTTTTACCCCTTCTGGTAATACTGGATCTTTCTCAGGATCCCGCGATTGAGAATGCCACGGAAAGCCTGGTTGCGCCATGTGCACGGCCGCCTGAGCCGGCGAGGACAAGATCGTGCCTCAGGTGCTGTTTCGGGGAGAGATCATATCGGAGGCTTGTATCTGCTAGGGCTAACGATGGCTCCTATGGTTTTGCAGCTACATTCAATTGTAAAGGTCGGGGAGATCGAATATCGGCGGCATTGGAAGGAAGAAACCTGTACCAACTTGAACCGATGCAGTGGAGTGGTAAACAAGGCGAAAGGCAGCAAGAACAAACGGGTCCGCTAGAGCTGGCTTACATCCCGCCAGGCGCATGCACAACTACTACTTAGTAGTGGTCCTACACCCGCCAGTCGCTGCTGGTTGATCAGTGAACCATGCCGCGAGGCTCGTAGCCTAGGAGCTTCCCTCGCCCCTAAAGCCTCCCTAGCCCACTGGCACCTTTTGAATTTGTGTCAAGCTTCGAACCCACTTCTTCCGGCTGGCCATCTTAGAGATGAAGCCTGTAGCTAAGCGTCCCTAGAGCGTGCACCTCACTTAACGAACGGCTACTGGCCAACAGAACAACAGCCACTTTATGACGTTTCAATTCGCGACGCATCTTTGACAAAGTAACCTGCTGCCAGTGATACTGGTACCGCGTTCAACATTTATTGCCAGGTATCCTACCTCCGGACCCTTCTCGAGTGCGCCCACACTCCTGGAGCAGTCAATCATTTCTCCTGTGTCTTTACTGTCAGTCATGGTCCAAGGTCCGGCGTCCTGACCGCACACGAGTGCACTCTGTCGATTCATTCGGGCCTGCAGCCCAAGTCATTGCTATGCGGATCTTTCTCCTTCCTCTGACAACGCGGCAAGCCCTGATCTATTGCCAACGCGCGGAACAAAAGACCACCGGCAAAGCGAGCATAGCGGATCGAATCACCCGGAAAGCTGCTCAAATATGGTCGGACTGGGAGGCCGCAGATAAAGGATGGAAGAAACAGCTGGTGAAATATGGGAACCAGGGACTACAACGGATACCCTACCAGGAATGGGGCTTGAAAAGCTTCCCCCCTTCGAATCCGAAGTTGCAGGCCGAAGAGATTGCAGCGGGCAAGAAATACGATGTGCTCTACCCCGGGAATATTATGCGAAAGGATGATGTGCCCAAGGTCATGGGTCGACTCGCCCGGGAACGGAAGCAATTGCATTGGAATCGCTTCATCGGCAGTATGGTCGCCATGCCATTCACCATACCTTTCGCTCTTGTGCCTGTGTAAGTCACCGGACTTTTGGCGGTGTGAGCAAATCTCACTGAAACTGGACAGAATACCAAACATCCCCTTCTTCTACGCTGCATATAGGTGTTGGTCGCATTGGAGAGGTATGTGGTTGTTGGCGCCATATCAGCAGTTGCTCACGGTAGAACAGCATTGAAAGGTTCAGACCATTTGGATTTTATCCTAGACAATCGGCTTTATAAGCTCACCTCGTCTCCTGAGATTGAGGAACTCTACGAACAGGTTGCACCGGATGCTCCTGACTTCACCTTTGTGACGCGGCTTCAGGTCCTTGACGGAAGTGCTCCGCCAGAACAGATCCTCCTTCCTTCAGGCAGCCATGGTCTCGTTGCCAAGGTGACGGGTGTCCCCGAGTTAAGTAACGAGGTCGAGCGCGCTTTGTGGCAGATCCATCGAGAATTTGAGCGGGAGAAGGCGAAGCTTGCTCAAGCTGAACCTGGAAAGGACTCCAATTCCTTGAACGAAAAGGCGGCAGACGCCAAAATACTGGAGACCAGAATATCGGAGAAAGACAATACGAAGCCGAAAGAGTCGGACAGAGGTGGTGCGGCATGAAAAGCTCTTGCCTCCTGGCCATCGAGACGAATTTTATGGGCGACGAGCGGTCTTCAGATGACCTTAGATGTCCAAAACCAGTTGTTTCCCTCGGATTTTTGACGATCCCGATGAATGTAGAAAGGCGGATGACAAACGTTGTGTACGTTTCGTTTCATGGCGAAAGTGATACACCGCGACAATGATCACTGATATGCCGCCGCAAGATGCGAGGCAATGAGATTCTTTCTCCTCTCAGTGTGTTTATGCACGAGGGCTACGAAGGTCTAGTTCAAGAGTAAAACAAGAACATCCTGTGATAACCTGCACCCAAGAGCACAGGATTCAACCGTGATTTGATATATAAATGTAATCATCTCAGGCTCATCCTGGGCCAGCGGAAACAGGGGTCTCACTGATCAATGGAGAGGCCAGTCGTGCCGCTTTTATGTTGTAGCAAGGAGGCAATGTTTTCAGTGGTCGAGTAGCCGCGGGCGATTCCAGCTCCGGCCACGGTGGGAGCGGCCGCACTACCTATACTAAGTACTAGCACTGGCAGATGACAGCCTCAGGCTTCTCTGCCTGACTGCAGCCTGATGGGAAGCTCAAGACAATATTATTATTTATTATCATTGCCCCCTTGGCAGTCGAGACGAATCGACAACTTGAACCTACAAACACAGACAACCAACTACACAGCAATACAAGCAGGAGGCACCACACTTTCTGTCCCTAAGTACCTACTAGGTAGGTAGCCTTCCCTCCAAATCCTCCGTTACTATGGCGAGGCGGCGCTAAAGCTCCTCTTCTGTATGCCTACAGTTCGGTCAGTGGTGTTACACCGATGTAGAAGGAGTCGGCTTTATATCTTCCAGCTTCATTCGGTGCCGAGTGTCACATTTGCTGCTGCACCACTGTCTCAGCAAATCGTCCTGCATTCAAAGATGACCTGAGCGTTGTCGCTGTGTGGAGGTGGAGTGGTCGAAACACCCGCTGTCCTTTCCGTTCAGAGCACACATTTCCATTATATCTCTTTCCTCCCAGCGGAGCTCCACCGAACGGAGGGCTGGATCATTGTGCTGCTACCGGTCCTTGCCGATAAGGACCTCGACTGCTTGTATCCGGAATCTGATTCAAACCACCGCATCAGAACACTTTTACAATCACAGCTAATGCCATGACTGGGACCTCAAACCACGTCGACGAGCGAATGACTGGGTACATGCAATCTTTCCCTTACAGTGACAAACGGCTGTTCGAATCTCCACGAGTTCAAATACCCCCTCCTGCCCTCGACTACAGCCATGGCAAGCCGAGAATTCGTGTTTCGAGTGCTCCATTCGAGCACGCGTCAGGCCAATATGGTGACCCTACGTTCTTACGAGCCTTGACCAACTTTTACGATCTCAACATGCGTCACACGATGCTTTCGTGGCGTTACGAGATGCGAAGGACAGCCCAGGTCATTCTTCCTTTTCTATATATCGGTCCAAGCAGCGCTGCAAGGGACTCCGAGTTCATCAAGACCACTGGAATCACTCTACTTGTGGCCGTAAGAAATGCCGCCTCAGTCAAGACGAGACCAAGCTTTCTAGATCCTGCGCGATTCTCCTCGGGTGCGGGGATATCGACTCTCACGTTCGACTTCGAATCCCCTTACGATTTCATTCGCAACGTCCGCGGCACAATAAAGGCCATGAACGACCACCTGACGAAGACATGTATCAAGACACCTCCAGAAGATGTACACGATGTCGCGGGGAAGGTCTTGATCTTCTGCGAGTCTGGAAATGACAGATCACCGGTGATGGTAGCAGCATATCTGATGGTGGTGTTTGGTGTCAGTGCTGTTTCCGCCATCCACATGATCCAGTCACAACGATTCTCCATCACCATGTCGGATGAGATGAAGAATGTCCTCATGGACTTCCAAGAGATCATCGAGGCAGAAAGGCAGGTTTCGTCCTTCAACTCCAGCCTTGTTTCATCAAGAGATCCACCTAATCACCAGCAAGCTTCCTCTTTGCTGTTACCTTACAGACCCAGTAAACGAAACCTTGATGATGTCTATGAGTCGGAAGAAGATTTCGGGCCTCAGTACCAACAAAGTCCACAACTCGGACTTAGAGAAGGCATCGCTCCCTTCACAGATCTTGCTGACCGGATTTGAGCAAGAGCAAAACCACAAAGTCAAACAAATTCATTCCGCATCGGGTCTGGTTCCTGTCCCGGAGAAGCCCTGCTCTGCTGCCCATCTCCAGTCAAGCGATAGCCGCATCAGATCTCATGGCTTGCGGTCACTGTCAGTCATGCTTCTGGCCAACTATGTCCCCCAACATGAGGTGACTGGAGTACAATATGCTCTCCTCGCACGGTCAGTGTCCGAGAGGCAGCGTCTCCTTCATCTTGATTTGGTCCAACAATCAGAATTCTAGGGTGACCACCCCTTTGGACTCGCAGCCTGGCTCTTCACATCAATCCATACCTCCTGGACCATCACTCAAAGCAGTGAAACCTTTAACGCTTTCACTCGTTTCATTTCTTTGTCGCGTAAGTCAATATATCCTGCCTTGAAGCTTGTCAAGGAGCACCTTAGTTCACAACAGTCCGCGCTGGCATAAATGGTCATTGTCTGATAGTTACCACAATCTTTTCTCATCGCGTGCTTTTATCACGATCTTTTCATCGCGCTGGTGAAGGTTCCGGAACAATGGACGCTGATGGCAACGACCTAACGCTGCGTCCTCTGAACGTTTTGTATCCTAAACAGACCACTTCATCAAATCTTCTCCCCGTGTCTCTCCGTTGTTGTTCCCAGCTTTCCATCACTGTTTCCTCCTACCATCGTCGCATTTTCATCTCGTATCGAGTACAGCATATGTGACCATGCCTCGGCAGCTCCGAAGCATCATCAAGACGCCCGCCCGCTATGCTGACCGCGACGACGCGCAGTCGAAGCCACGAAATGGCACCCGACCAGAGTACCCTGCTTTACTCCAGGCGACAATTGTTCCCTTCAATCCAAACCATCCGCCAGCGGCATTCCCTTCATTGCCATTAACAGGGCAGAAGTCACATCAAGAAATGGTGACAAACCCAACGGATCTTCCAGAGGCACCTCCCGGACCAACTTCACTGTCACTGATTTCTCCTGGCCCTACTAGGGACCTTGTAAACAGATATGAGGCGGAATACTATCGTAATGGTCGACCGCTGTTGGGATCCTTGGGACTGCCTCCCGCTGTTGGCGACTCCGACGAGATGGCCGCTTCAGATGCCGAGAGTGTCATCTTGCACCCACGCGAGGCCTTCAGCCTCGATCCAGAAGTGAGTAACCTTGTGATTGCCTCTTGCATGGATTGAAGTGGATGAATGTGACTGATCTGCTTCAGGCACCCACATGGGCTTCACTTCCTCTGTCTTTGCAATACCATATCTACATGACCCTCTCGGAACAATATGACCGCGACAAACTGTGCCGGGTCCTGGGATTGACAAACCAGGAAAAGGACGACATCGAGACGGCGGTACAGGACCGTCATGATCACCCGTACTCGCTGGCTGAGCTATGGAGTTATGGCTGTCATCACAGTGCCCCAGTGCCTGGGATTGACGGGCCAAACACTTCAATTGACCCGGACTTGCTCGATAAGCTCATGCCCGATATGTTGCTCGTCAGCAGGTATGAACTTGCCTATGAATCCGAAGTCGTGTCAGCCGCGGGTTTCTTGTCGTCGCGCTCACTCCCTCCGGAATTGCTTGGACATTGGGTACCCGACACCGATGGACTGGAGAGCATTTGTCCTGCTGGAATGCTGCGACAGCAAGACAATCAAACTGGTGAAACTGAGGTCGAGCCCGGCGAGTCTTCGACTGCTGAGCGTGACTGTACCGTCGGCGAAGCACATGAAACTGAAGTCGCCAAAAGTAAGCCTAAGGCGCAAAATAAGAAACGTCAATTGCAATCCCCGGCCGCTCGTGCTGTCAAAAAGGCGCAGGGAACAAAGAAAAAGGTACCCAAGAAGCGTGGACCGAAACCTGCAGCCCCCAAGGTGCAGAAGAAACGCGGTCCGCACCCTCTTGCTACTGTTACCACCCCCGATTCATCTGGAAGCCCAAAGTCTCGCAGCAGAAAAAAGACACAAAAGAAAGCTACTACTGGCGGTCCACGAAGACTATCTTTGATATTCAAGCCTGCAGTCGGCGGCGGAAAGCCTACCATCCAGCAGCAACAAAAACAACCACCACGTCCCTGCACTCCGGAACGACCGTCATCCTCACACATCACCGCACCAGGATCCTCTGCAGGCAGAGCAGACCAGACCCCAACTACTCGGCTGCTCAGTTTTGATACCAAAATGTCTTCATTCAGCAGAGAACTGATCCTCAACGAAGAGGGTTCTTCCCCTGGAAACAATGCCGTAGAGAGTTCTCCGATCTCGGTTGCTTCTGCTTCAGAGGGAGGTTTTGGCCGTGCCGCAACTCCAACTCCAGCTGCTACCGTTCTGTCTAAACGAAAAGCTTCACCGTCCGATCTTCGCCTCAGTCCTCCTCAAATTCCTCGAGTGTCCTCTTCCGCAGGTGTCAAGTCATACTGGCGTAAGAGTACCATCAACAGTGGTGGTAACATCGACAATTGTTGCTACCACGGCAGACCGCAAACTGCTTTTGGAACTGGTCCTGCTTCTACAGGGATGGACACGAACGCACATGCACAGATGGACAAGGCAATCCCGAGCATTGAAGCTCCTGCTTCCGTTGCAACAGCTACGAACCAAGACGCGGTTAGACCTCCGGGAACTCCACGCCGTCCTTCTTATTCTCCAATTTCGGAGAACGCAGACGACGAAGAATGGCAAGCACTGCTTAAGGGCAAAACTAGGTTTCATGCTCCAGGAAGCCCGCGCCGTCCTTCCTATTCCCCAATTACGGAGAACGAAGACGACGAAGAATGGCAAGCAAAGCTTCGAGGTCCTGTCGCAGGAAATACCAAGCCTAACTACCGTACCGGCGTGCGTTTCTCTGCTCCGTCGGCTCTTCTACCAGTCACCCGAGAATCAAAGCGCAGCTCCCTCGCTTCTGCCTGGTTAGCAGCCGATAACAGACCCAGCATCGATCGAAATCCTTCGTCAGGAAACCACCACACCTTGTCATCGTCAGCAAACGACCGTGGCCTGTCCGGATCTGTTGCCTCTACAAAGACAACTGGGTCAGGTAGTCTGCCTCTCCGTGGTGCCTCGAATTCGAACAAGAGCGCAACATCCTCATTTACATCCACACCTCGACTCAAACTTGTCCTCAAGCGACGATCCGAACCCAAGACTCTAGGAGTGGGAGAAACAGAGGCCAGACCCAGCATTGTGGAAGAGGTCCTTGCAGAAATGAAGGAGGAGCAGGAACAGGGCATAGCATCACGCACTAGATCGTCTCTAAGCAGGATGGGAACTGCTACGCCTGCGCCTGCGCCTGCGCCTGCGGTTGCGGAGCCAACTACAAAGAAGACGAAGGGAACAACAGCAGCAAAGAAGAAACCCGCGAAAAAGACTGTCACTGCCACTGCCGCTGCCAACGCGAAGTCTGGCAATAAGGTACAAAAGTCGACTGCTGCCAAGAAAGGTCCGAACAAGAAGACAAAGACACTTGAGAAACGCCAGGCGAGAGTTGCTGGAGAAAAGGCCCGGAGAAGATTGTCTCTGTGAGGTGGTCTTCAGACCTCCGCTCGAGATCGAGATGGCGTCCAGCTTGACCTTGACATGGCATATGTTGTCGGCCGGGCGCGCAGTTGTCTGACTCTTGGTTTTGTTTTTGTTGCCCCCTCCTTTCTTTCTTGCGATTCGATCATGATGCAGTGGACGCCAATGGCGTGCGAATGCGTCTGTGTCTACTGCGGCTTGCGGAATTCGAATCTGGATCGGAATTCGAATGAGAGAGCCTACATGTCAGAGTTATTTCAAGTTACCAGAAAACACGAAAAAAACAACAACAACGTCAACAGCGCTTGACAAAAGGCGTTCTAGTGTGATACGATGGAAACACACAACCACCACGTTATGACGGCTTTGGTCAAAAGGGGTTGGGGCTGCAGCAGTTGGCTGAGATAGGGGAGATCGTTTGGGCTGAGATTGAATTGTTGGTGGTCAGGACGGCGAGGTCATCATTGAGAACTGGAAGCAGATGATCTCCAACCCTGGGCACAAGTTCGGTCCAATTGTCTTGGGCATTCATTTCAATCGTCCGAGTTCGGCCGTGGTCCATGTTGTTTATGTCAGAGTTTGGTATGAGGAAAAGCGAACAGTGAACCTATTGGCAATACTGGCATATCCAGATTATTGGCTGGCGACCAGGGAGATAGCAATTATTCCAATGGTTAGCTAAGTACCCAAGCTTGCTTTGTTGAGAGTATGTTTTCTTTCTTTCTCTTGATCTTTCTCGTCCTACTCTGCCTTCTACATTGTAAGTTTAGAATACTTTGCATCAAGGACCTTTGGTGGAGATAATCGTTCGGTGAATTGGACCCTGGGTTGACATACAACACGGGTACTGTATACTAGTATGCTAATATATTCTTGACAATACTATCTATGCTCACTGGCATCGACTGTCAAACCACCTTAGGAGAGGGAAGATAGGTCCCTAGGTACTGGTACAGGCGGTAAGCAGGGACAACAGTGCAGATGGTCCGTGGCAGTCAGAAGGAACGAAAGAAAGTGAAAGTGGTCGGGGAAATATTGAATTCCGCGGAGTACTATCTACCAGCAGCGGCCAGTACTACTGCTTGCTGTACTAGAACATCAAGCAGTACCTAAAGGCACCTCAGGTCCATTCAATGCTACCAAGGTAGGTAGTCTAGCTAGTACCTAGTACCCAGATTGATCCCTCCGATTATCTCCTGGGCCACCACCATCCCCATCCCCATCACCAGGCTTTGCACTCGCCTCCCTGATCCCGCTTTCATCACCGCGCAATTTCTCAAAGTACGCCTTGATATCCTCCGCTGAGACTGCCCTACCGGTCTCGGCATAGGGTTTCAAGAATTCCTTAACTTTGTCCCGTAAATGGTTGTACACCATGACGCCTTCGATGGCTTTGACTCGGTCCATGGTGGATAGAGCCGCTTCGCCGCGGTCGAGGAGGCTGGCGGAACGAGCTGATCCTCCTGTCGCGGCACCAGCTACGGCATCAGACTCGGATGCTGAGGACAGAGATGGTTCGTATGTTTCTTCTTCCTCGACGAGTTGGGGGTGCGGGATCATGTTGGGGTAGCAGGTTGGACAGTGGCATAGGTGTTCCCGGAAATCGGATTTGAGAAATAGGGAAAATCTGCCGGATGGAGGGGTGGGAGGGAGGGAGTCGTGTTTGTGAACCACGTTCACTGGTTCAGGTTTTGGCGCTGGATTGGATTCTGCTTTTTGGTCGTGATTGGAAGAAGAAGTGTCGGTGATGCTGGGTGCGGGTCCTGGTGCTGGTTCGGTGGAATTGGATTGAGGGGTGAGTTCATGTTCAGGTTCGTCCTTGACTCGTTTTGAAGGATTTGTTGGACCTGTCACGGTGTCCATGTCACTCTCGGATGCTTTGCGCTTAAGGCTGACAGGGATGGTTGTTGAAAGAGCGGATTCTTCCGGTTTTGGTTTTGGTTCTGGTTCTGAGTTTGACTCCTTCCTGAACACCGGTGGGAGAAAGCCTGGAGTGCCCGCATACCGCTTGATCCAGGGATTAGACTCGACGCATTTGTAGCAAATCATGGCGTCGAATTCGTCTTCGTGCGGGAAACCTGGAGGGATGGGATGTGAGTCTTCTTCCTCCCCGTCCTGTTGTTGTTGCTGCTCCTGCTCTTTATTCGAGTCCACGTTCTTGTACCAGTCTCTTCGCAATCCCATCAGACATTCAGGGTGATACCAATCTTCGCCGCAACCGCCTGTTTCAACCGTGCCTAGTCCTAAACATTGGAACATGGTGCCCTTCTCGTTTTCGGCATCATATTCCTCTCCGCATGCGCAGAACCGGTTCTGGAAATTGTGGTTGTAATGATTGCCAGGATGCGCTTCCTGCGAGTGAACCCCTCGAGCACCAGTTTTGGGATCAGCTCGGAGCATACACGGTGAGGTTTCAGGAAGTCTTGTTGTCCCGCAGTCGCAGACGAAGTTCCTTCGACTGAATAGTTCGACGAGAGTGTGTTCTCCATGGCATGATATCGAGCAGGCGTAGCATACCCCGGCAGGAGTGTAGACTTGTGCTGCCGAGGCGGGTGGTGGACTGCAGGTTAGACATGCGAAGACGTTCTGACGGAGAGGACCGAGGACGTGGGTACATTTGTCGAATTTCTGTGATACAGTTAGTTCATATGCTCGTAGTCAGGAGATCGGCTACAACTATAGTACATACGTATGGCAAGACTTCGCGCGCATCAGCCTCCAGGGCCAACTGCTGGTTGATGAAACTGGAACAGACGAATATTGTCAGTATTTGGGAGAAAAAACAAAGGCGACTGCATGGAATGAATTGTCGTACTCTGAAGCCGTTTGCGAATCTTGCGTTCCATGACTGTCTCGGTGAATGTCCTGCTGAGCGTCTTCTCTCCGGGACACAGCGTCCATGGTGAAGGCCAGAGTGAAAGTGTTGGACCCGACACACACAGTGGTTCGTAGATCACAACGAAACGAAACAATGTCGCGCAGGATCTATTGTCTTGAGAAGGGTGGCGGCTGAACAAAACACCCACTTCACAACCTGCGCAGATGGACTCGAGGCTGCATTGTGATGATTACGGGGTTGGAATGCGCCGTGTCGAAGGAATCGAGTACGGCCAAACTTCTCCACACAGACTGCGAGTGATGGACCCACCACTCCAAAGAGCTTGCATTAGCGCGTCACGACCGCGACACCGCGTTGCACTTCACGCGTAAAGTGCAATTCTAATTCTGGTGTCACTTTTGCAATCTTGATGTTTGTTGCAACCTCCTTCCTCAGCTCTATCACCACCACACCCGAACATTGTCGCCGTTGCCAACAAAAAAGAGTCTGATAATGAGGTACTTGCATCCAGTACTGCGACTTTCGGTGTCTTTATCAATACTGACATTGTCCAGCTCACCCCTGCGACCAAGCATGTCGGCGGCCAACAGAGGCCCTAGCAACGCCGGCAGGCGGAAGCGGGCTCGGGATGATGAGGACGAGGTTATGTCGTCTTCGCCTGCAGGTTCGTATAACTATTATCGATTGTCCAGGACGAGCAAACGCTAATTCTGCAGCCCTTCCCTCCTCCCCCCCTTTATTGCCGACCAATGAAAACGACGACCTAGAAGACGACGACCTGGGCCCCGAAGACGATCTGATTGGAGATATCGATGATGCAGACGAGCTGGCTGAAGAAGAAGACGGTATCGACCTGTTCGGCGATACTTTTATGGACGACGAGCGCGAAGGCCGCGATCAAGAGACGTACCAAGGACGAATGATTGATGATGAAGGCGATTACGATGATCTCGATCTAGCCGAGCGTCGTCAGTTGGAAGCTCGACTGAACAAGCGTGATCGCGAGCTGGCTCGCCGACGACGTATGCCTGCGGCGTTCATGCCAGATGATGACGACGATGCCGGCATTGACCTCACCAGACAGCCTCGGCGACGTCGCCACCATTACGACGAGGACCAAGAAGATATGGATCTCGATGAGAATATCATGGAAGAAGAACTCTCATTGGAGACCTTGCAGGATGTCAAGGCATCAAACATTACTGAATGGGTCACTTTACCCTCAGTCATGAAGACAATTGCCCGAGAATTCAAGTCCTTCTTGACCGAGTACATTGACGCCAACGGCACGTCAGTCTACGGTACTCGAATACGGACCCTCGGAGAGGTCAACTCTGAATCTCTTGAGGTGTCGTATGACCATCTATCTTCGACGAAAGCCATTCTGGCATACTTCTTGGCCAATGCCCCGGCAGAAATGCTGAAGATCTTTGACAAAGCGGCCTTTGAAGTTGTACGGCTGCATTATCCCAACTATGAACTCATCCACCCAGAGGTCCATGTGCGCATTTCTGATTTACCAGTCAAGTACACCCTTCGGCAACTTCGCCAGTCGCACCTAAATTGCCTCGTTCGCGTTTCCGGCGTGGTTACCAGACGCACAGGTGTCTTTCCACAACTCCAAATGGTCAAGTTCACCTGCAACAAATGTGGTGTCACTCTCGGGCCGTTTGCTCAGGAGTCGACCTCATCAGAGGTCAAATTGACATTTTGTCCCGAGTGCCAGTCACGAGGGCCTTTTACCCTGAACAGCGAAAAGACCGTCTACCGAAACTACCAGAAGCTGACCCTACAAGAGTCCCCTGGAACTGTGCCCGCTGGTCGGTTACCACGGCACCGTGAAGTCATTCTTTTGGCTGATCTGATCGACAAAGCCAAGCCAGGAGAAGAAATAGAAGTGACGGGCATCTACCGCAACAACTATAGCGGTCAACTCAACAACAAGAATGGCTTCCCGGTGTTTGCAACCATGCTCGAGGCCAACCACATCATCAAGACACACGATCAACTTGCAGGTTTCAGGTTGACTGAAGAGGATGAGAGACAGATCCGAGCACTCTCAAAAGACCCGAACATTGTGGACAAGATCGTGGACTCGATCGCTCCCTCGATCTATGGCCATCGGGATATCAAGACTGCAGTTGCTTTGTCTCTTTTTGGAGGCGTTGGCAAGGAAGCACAGGGCAAGCACAAGATCCGAGGTGATATCAACGTGCTGCTACTTGGCGATCCTGGTACTGCTAAATCACAGGTCTTGAAGTACGTCGAAAAGACGGCCCATCGAGCGGTCTTTGCCACTGGCCAGGGCGCGTCTGCCGTCGGTTTGACCGCTTCGGTGCGCCGTGATCCTCTGACACAGGAATGGACACTTGAGGGCGGAGCGCTCGTCCTCGCAGATCGAGGTACTTGTCTTATCGATGAGTTTGACAAGATGAACGATCAAGATCGGACTTCAATCCATGAAGCCATGGAACAACAAACAATCTCGATCAGTAAAGCCGGTATTGTCACCACACTGCAGGCCCGGTGTGCGATTATTGCCGCGGCAAATCCCAAGGGAGGGCGATACAATGGTATGATCCCGTTCAGCGAGAATGTGGAACTCACAGAACCCATTTTGTCGCGATTTGACATCCTCTGCGTGGTTCGAGATACTGTCGACCCTGATGAAGATGAGCGGCTAGCCAATTTCGTGGTCAAAAGCCACGGACGAGCGCACCCGACCAAGCTTAGTGTTGATGGAGGAGATGTCGCTGCCATGGAAACGGAGGAGACAGATGCCATCAACAATGGTGAACCACAGCAAGAAGGCGCCATCCCACAAGAGTTGTTGCGAAAGTACATTCTCTATGCAAGAGAGAAGTGCAGGCCGAAGCTCTATCAAATCGACCAAGACAAGGTTGCCAGACTGTTTGCAGACATGCGAAGAGAGTCTCTGGCAACCGGAGCTTACCCCATTACTGTACGTGTATCTATGCCCGTTTCGTCTGAGACTATGCTAACTGCCCACAGGTCCGTCATCTTGAGGCAATTATGAGAATTGCCGAGGCATTCTGCAAGATGCGCTTGTCCGACTACTGTTCATCACAGGATATTGATCGGGCCATTGCTGTGACTGTTGACTCTTTTGTGGGAAGCCAGAAGATCAGTTGCAAGAAAGCACTGGCCAGAGCATTTGCCAAGTATGTTGATCCTAATACACTCGCCCGATTTGTATAACTAACACAATGTTCAGATACACGTTGAAGCGACCAGAACGTCAACGAACTCGAGTGGCTGCTAGGAGCGCCACCGCAGTGTCAGCGTCAGCATGAGCTTTATCCATCCAACGGGTGTTGATGGGATTTCAGGATACGAGGTGGCCTTGATGAGTGGATGAATGCTTTTTCAGTGATATACCGCAGTGCCAGTCCATAATAACGAACGAATTGTAACAACATCACACGATCATCAATTGACGCTGTAGAGGCAAGCCATCATTCAGGGGGGCAGACATAGCCCTCTCCCAGGATTATGATGTGTTCCACACTAATTAATGTAAATGGGCCCGAGGCTCGTGCGCCAATTGACGCGCTCACGAAAAACGCGTCCGATCGGAGTCAGGGCGCGTCCGCCACTGGCGTCACGACTTTTTGTCAAGGGCTGGAATGTGAGATTGCAGGGCGTAGAACAACGTCCGGTTTGCAGCGATAATTTACCTAGGCACATTCTAGGCTGGTCTCGATGAGGTGCGATGACCCTTGTTGAAGTCGCCCTTCGGTAGTACCTCCGTTGAGGAGTGTTTGTGGGTTGTCAACCCGCGTTTGCAGCAGGCTGGTGGAACTTAATTGACGGCCAGCATTCCGAAGGTTCAGTCCTTAGAGAAGGAAGGCCATGGCCATTGAGGCAATAGTCTCAGACGACTCCGCGACGCCCACCATGTCTTCAGCTAGAAGCACTCCGCCCTCGTCTCCTCCAGACGCCAGTGTCGCAGAAGTCAAGCAGGAACAGAACGAGCAAGATGGCGCAAAGAACGGCAACGACAACAATGTTGATGACAATGATGAGGAGGATATGGACCACAAATCACGAGCACTTACCAATCTCCTAAAGACAAGCTCGGTATTCGTCGCGATCATGGCAGACAAGATGAAGGAACAGCAGAAGAGAAATCAAGAGCAGGCCAGACGGGCTGCGGCCAAACAGCGAACCGAGACGGACAAGGCTGCAGACTCGAAAGAACCTGTACGGAAGTCGACCAGAACACACGCTGCCGAGGAGAACTCAACAAAAGAGCCGGAGAAGAAGACCACTCGCGGCCGGGGCCGACCACCAAAGAAAACAAACGCAAAGAAGAGCATCACCGATTACTTTGACACTGGAGCTGTGGAAATTGCCCAAGATGGGCCAACAGTTCAGGAAGCCCTAGCGGAGGCCGCCGAAGAGTACGAAGGTGAAGGACTTGGTGCTCAGGACCTAGTTGCGACCGATCAGCCCGCCCCCGTCACCGGAGGTCAGATGAAGCAGTACCAACTCGAAGGGCTGGAATGGTTGAAATCCCTGTGGATGAACGGCCTCTGCGGTATCCTGGCAGATGAGATGGGACTAGGCAAGACGCTACAGGCCATTTCCCTGATAGCGTTTTTTAAGGAACACAACATCCAGGGTCCGTTCCTGATAGTCGCTCCACTAAGCACAGTCCGCAACTGGATCGAAGAGTTCAAGCACTGGACTCCATCTATCAATACCATCCTCTACCATGGCGGTAAAGACGAACGAGAGGCCATGAGGCGCAAGCACATGAGGCTGCAGAACCAGAGCACACCTGAATTTCCCGTGGTGGTGACAAGCTACGAGATTTGCATGAATGACCGAAAGTTCCTGGCCAACTACCAATGGAAATATATCATTGTGGACGAAGGGCATCGGCTAAAGAACATGAATTGCAAATTGATCAAGGAACTGATGACCTACAACTCGGCCAACAGACTGCTCATCACGGGAACACCGCTGCAAAACAATATTGCCGAGCTCTGGTCTCTGCTCCATTTCTTGCTTCCAGAAGTTTTCAACGATCTCGACAGTTTTGAAAGATGGTTCGACTTCTCCAGTGTGCTGGAGGATAAGACCGAGTCTGATGGCAAAATGCAAAAGCGCAAGAACAACTTGGTGTCCACCATGCACGCCATCCTCAAGCCATTCCTGCTGCGTCGGGTCAAGTCAGATGTCGAGGCTTCGCTGCCCAAGAAGCGCGAATATATTCTGTACGCACCGTTGACCGCGGAACAAAAGGAACTGTATCGAGAGATTCTCGCAGGGACCAGCAGATCTTACCTTGAAGACAAAGCAGTTGAGCGTATTGAAGCGAAGAGCCGGGCCGCCTCGCTGAAACGCAAGGCGAATGACAGTGGACGTTCCACGCCAGCCAAGAGTGTGAAGCATAGCAGAGCTTCCACGCCGGCGTCAATTGCATCCACGACCTCTGTCCGAAGGGGAAGAAGGACAGCACCCACAAATTACCGTGACGTGACTGATCGTGAGTTTAATGCGCGCCTCCGTCGGCTGGAGAATGGTGAAGACAATGTCAGTCTTGACCGCTCTTCTCCTCCCGATGGCACATCTGAATTGGAATCCGAAGAAGAGGAGGAACTGGAGCGTGCGAAGACGCTGAAGCTGGCCAAGAAAGAGATCTCAGCAAAGAAATTGCAGAATCCAATCATGCAAGCCCGCCTCGCATGCAACAGTCCACACAACTTCTACTGGCCCTGGAAACCCTCTACTGCCGCGGAGGAAGAGTCCGGCGACTATCCTCAAGTGGACGAGACTCTCGTGACGGCTTCTGGCAAGATTCTGCTTCTCGACACACTCCTTCCCAGATTGTTTGAGCTGGGCCATAAGGTTCTGATATTCAGTCAATTTAAAACCACTTTGGATATTCTGGAGACTTATGCCGTCGACCTTCGTGGCTGGAAAGCCTGTCGAATTGATGGTTCTGTCCCTCAAGAGGAGCGGTACAAATCGATCACCGCCTTCAACACCGACAAATCTTACAATCTATTTCTACTATCTACCCGCGCAGGAGGCCAAGGAATTAATCTGGCTGCGGCAGACACGGTCATTCTGTTTGATTCAGATTGGAATCCGCAGCAGGATCTGCAAGCCATGGACCGCGCCCATCGTATCGGACAGACCAAGCCGGTAATTGTTTATCGCCTGGCCACTCGGGGCACCGTGGAAGAGACACTGCTGCTCAAAGCGGACGCAAAGAGGAAACTCGAGAAACTCGTCATTCAGAAAGGAAAGTTCAAGTCTTTGCTTTCTTCTGCTGCGGATGCCGATGACGTGCGAGGAGTACTTGCGAATGACGATTTCGAGAAATATGACATTGCTGATTCAGGAGGCAAGGGGGCTATCCTGAGGGAAGAGGAGTTGCAGATCCTGACGGATCGGAGTGATAAAGCATACGAAAGAGCAGAGAAGGGCTTGGATATTGGTGGTGAAGGCAAAGCATTTAAGGTCGCTGAAACAAAGAGGGGTGATGGGGGCACAGCCGATGTGCTTGATGACTTGACCGTCAGAAGCAAGCCTAAATGAGCAACGTGATAGCACGCTGGGAATTGTGTGCAGCGTGTAAGTTTGAGTGCTCGATGCATGCGAAAGCTGGGAGTGGTTGGTTGGACACATCAGACATGTCCATGTGGTACTCGACAGGTTAGGGGTCACTTTTAGCGCAGGTGTTTGGATATATGTCTGAAAACAGGTCAAGAGCCCACAGAACCGCGTTGCGCCTTAACCATCATCTTGTGTACCTCTGCCAGACTCCAGACTCCATAACCCCTGCGCAACAGCGGCAAGGCTGCAGTAGTCGGGGGTAGGAGAACCTTGAGACCACGTACCGGTAACGGTCATGTCACTCACTGATCCGGGCTTCGGGCCACAAACCTCCGAGGGAATATGTCGTCCGGCCCAACGACTTGCCTGAATAGCGACAACAGCATAATATAGGGTCCGCAGCCAGATGACAGCAGGTCTATATCGCCTAAATCCTGGATCGGCTGATACCGGTGGAACGGTTATCAAAAGATGAGGACGTCGACTATCTAGATGAGACTGGCTATGATCTGGTAACAACCGACTTGGCATGAAGTTCCCTTTTATCCTGGTCCCTGAGCGGAAAACCGCCCAAGGCACGAGCACTGATTGGTGGAAAACCACATCTGTCAAGACTGGACAACCGGCTATCCGAGGTGTGCCCCAAGCAATTTGTGGCATGCTCCGGCGAGGCTCAGCCATGACCACCGGGGTCGTGGGGGATACTCACCATTTTATGGAGTATAGGAATCGCGGTTCCACAACATGGAATTGTGCCTGATTTCGCGACCCAGTCATTCTATTCATCCGGGCGGGTCGTTTGATGTATACGACTAGCTATGCTCGGGGACAGCTTCACAAGGTGGCTCTCGGTTCATATATAGGCAGCCGTGGAATTCAGGCCAGGATCCAAAGCAAGCAACGGGCCCCTGTGACACCTGTTCATTCCCAAGCCTGTAATTCAACCCCGTCACCATGTTACTCTCCAAGGACAATCAACTTCACTACACCTTCGACTCGGAGCATGTCCAGATCGAGGCGTGGGGTCCCAATGCTCTGCGTGTTCGCTCAACCAAATTCCATACTCTGCCGGCGGAGAACTGGGCATTGAGTGTTGAGCCTGCCGCCACCACTCCATCAATCTCAGTCAAAGACAACCAAGCCACCATCACCAACGGAAACATCACCGCCACGATTTCATCAGGCGGTAAGATCATCATCAAGAACGGCAAAGGCGAGCGAATCCTCGAGGAGTTCAGCCGCAACCGCAACGATGTCACAGATCCAAAATGCAGTGCCTTGATGATCGAGGCAAGGGAATTCAAACCCATCCTCGGAGGCGATTACCATTTGACCTACCGACTTGAATCGATCAATCCCAAAGAGAAGATCTACGGCATGGGTCAGTACCAACAGCCATACCTAGACCTCAAGGGGCTGGATCTGGAAATGGCCCACCGGAACTCCCAAGCCAGCATCCCCTTCATGCTCTCGAGTTTAGGGTATGGTCTGCTCTGGAACAATCCGGCCGTCGGACGCGCCGTGCTAGGCAAGAACACCATGAGCTTCGAGGCTCTTTCGACCAAAGTTTTGGATTACTGGATTGTCGCATCGGACTCGCCCTCAGACATTGTCGAGGCATATGCGAACGTCACCGGCAAAGTCCCCATGATGCCTGAATACGGTTTGGGGTTTTGGCAATGTAAGCTGCGCTACCAGACTCAGGAGGAACTCTTGGGAGTGGCGCGAGAATACCGCAAGAGGAATCTGCCTATTGATGTCATTGTGGTGGATTTCTTCCACTGTAAGTTGAAATTGCTTTCTGCAATGGGAAATCCCAACTGACTGTCCAATCCAGGGCCGAAGCAAGGAGAATGGAAATTCGACCCTACGTACTGGAAAGACCCTGGTGAGTCTGCCATGATGAGATTGCTCTTGACATGGAAGGAGACGGCGTCGTCCACCACGGCGTCAGTGTTGGCGTCGGAGTCCGAGGATCATGACTTTCAACTACCGCCCCCCTCGGGCATGAAACTTGACCTCGACCTTTCTGCCACTCTTCCATCTCCATAGCGCTCGTGTTCCCCTCGTTACAATGCAAAAAGACGTATAGTTCTGACGAAATTGGTATCAGACGCCATGATCAGGGAACTTCAATCCCTAGGGATCGAACTGCTCGTCTCCATCTGGCCCACCGTCGACAAAGTATCCGAAAACTACAACTACATGCTTGAACATGGCCTATTGATCCGGCAGGACCGCGGGTTAAGAGTGTCAATGGACTACATGGGCGACACCGTACATGCCGATTTCACCAATCCTGCAACCCGAGAATTCGTCTGGCAGACCGCCAAGAAGAACTACTACGACAAAGGTGTCAAGCTGTTCTGGCTAGACGAGGCTGAACCAGAATACAGCGTTTACGACTTTGATATTTACCGTTACCACAATGGAAGTTGTCTTAGTGCTGGAAACGCCTATCCGGTGGACTACGCCAAGGCCTTTTACGAGGGAATGGTCCGTGATGGAAAACAAAAGGATGTGTGTAATTTGATAAGGTGTGCGTGGGCCGGAAGTCAGAAATTTGGTACTCTCTTGTGGAGCGGTGATATTGCGAGTAGTTGGGAGAGTTTTCGGGATCAGTTTGCTGCCGGGTTGAATGTGGGCATTGCTGGCATTCCGTGGTGGACGACGGATATTGGTAAGAACAGATCTACCCTGTTCATGGTCTTGTTCAGAAAGACACCGAACACATTTTGGCTAATCTAACCGTTCTTGGTGTATAGGTGGTTTCCACGGAGGGAACCCAGACCACGAGGATTTCCGTGAGCTTTGTACCCGATGGTTCCAATATGGTAAGTCCAGCACCACCGCCGACACCAACATCAAAACACCACCAAAATCTCCCAGTCACATCCCGCACACGCGGCATTAAACAGCAGGAGTGATGACACTGTTGTCAAACGACATGTTGTGACACACGCATCAATCGACCCGTGTACCCCATGCCAGTGGCTGTTAAGAGTCTGTCGAAACTAATCTCCTGGTATTATGTTTAGGCTGCTTCTGCCCCGTCTTCCGTCTCCACGGCCACCGCGAACCAATGCAGCCGCAACACGGCACGACCGGCGGCGCAGCATGCATTTCCGGTGCCCCCAACGAGATCTGGTCGTACGGCGAAAAGTGCTACGAAATCATGAAAAAGTACCTGTTGCTTCGAGAGAAGTTGAGACCCTACGTGCGCGAATTGATGGTCCAGGCGCACGAGAAGGGTACGCCGGTCATCCGCACTTTGTTCTTCGAGTTTCCCAACGACGAAAAGTGTTGGGAGGTCGAAGATCAGTACTTTTTCGGAAGTAAGTATCTGGTTGCGCCGGTGTTGTATAAAGGACAGACGAAAAGGAAGGTTTATTTGCCACGTGGGGCGAAGTGGAGACGGTTCGATGATGGGGAGGTGAAGGAGGGAGATACGGAGGTTGTGGAGGGGGGACAGGTTGTTGAAGTTGAGTGTCCGTTGAGTGTTATGCCGGTTTTTGAGAGGGTGTGATATTGTTGTCCTACGGAGAGGGGTGAAGGAGGTTTCTGGTATTGTACTAGGTGTATACATGTGTGGGTTTTGGGTTTGGTCGAGGTAGGTGAGATGATGATAGGTTGTTGGGTATATATGGAATGGAAAAGAAGTGTTTACAGAATGTACTTATACATGGGATATGGCAGGGTTGGAAGTTTGTAGGGGACACAGTCCCATTGGATTCCTGAGAGTGAGCTGGTGGCCTGGGTATAACGTACGAAAGGCATGTGCGCCGCCTACCTTGATAGGCCTTATATATGTATGCTTGGGAAGGTATAAGATACTGTAAGTGCCATCTAAAGTATGGATATGTGGATGGGTGGCATGTAGTCGTTCATACCTACAGTACCTCAGTTGTTCCTAGGGGCTACGGGCTAGGAGCCACGGGAGTCAGGGTGTACGGCAAGCAAGGCTGTCGAAAATAGGGGAGGCGAAGGGTCCAGATCCCTGCGAATCCTGAAGGGACCTACCCACCAGGTAGGTAGGTACCTAGGTATGGAGAGGCACTATTTCAAGTTCAAGTATTCCTATCTGCAGTACCAGTGGGATTCATGGCTCCCGTCCAATCAAGCTTTTCTTTGTGTACCGTAGATCGAACAACAAACTTGAAAGCTTTGGGTTTCCAGGCGAGGCTGACGTTTTGGCCTGCACCAGCCTGCACCAGCCTGCACCCGCCGTATTGTCTCTAATTCCGAATACTACAACAACGAGGATAGGATAAATGATTCGACAAAGGAACACATTCCGCCCTATTAGTACGAAGGCGGGGGTTCCGAGCCTGACCATACTGTAACCTCAAAATGAGCGCGATACGTATCGGTAGGCGCGATACATCCCCCAAAGCACGCCATCCCACACCAGGCCGCGTCTCGACTGCACCAAGTGCCGCGTTTCTCACCTTATCTGAACTGTACTCTGATTTCGTGATTTGATCGAAAATAAGACGTGATTATACTAGCGACAAGTAACAAACCACCCGACGCTGCCATTGCGTGCGTGCGATGCCGTTGCTTGCCGACTTCGATACCCGAAACAGGGCGGAACTCCAACACACTTAGTACTACTAACCCAGGTATTACCTGGTGTCTGATAAGAAGTCATAATTAAATATCTTCTTGCCCATCTGTAAATATATATCCCAATTGCCTTTTCCCTCGTTCTCGGGACCATCTGGTACATTTCTTCCATCATGGCTTTCTCCGAGAAAAACATAACAGACAACCCCAACTCTAAACTTCGCATAGCAATCGTCGGCGGCGGCCCAGCTGGCCTCGGAGCCGCAATCGCACTCTCAAAACTTCTCGACGTCGAAATCGCCATCTACGAACAGGCGAGGGAATTGAGAGAAATTGGCGCGGGCATTCGGATCGGGTATAATGCCTGGAGAGTGCTGGAGTTGTTGGGCGCCGCGGAGGGTGTAAGGGGGCATCATAAGACGTCGATTGTGCATCGGTAAGTTTTGGCCTTGGGATTGGGATTTGGAACTGCATTCTGAATGGGATTGGGATTCTGGTGCTTTGCTTCGCTTCGTTGGGAAAAAGGAGGAGTTGTTCTATGGTTTGTCCATTGTGGTGCTGGCTGGGGTCGTTGATGTTCTCGGTCACTGGTTGTCATTTTTCAACTGTTCGCCGTTGCTGGAACGTTTTTTACCTCGCGTGTAATGGTCCTGGAGATTGAATGGTGGCTTTTGTTTGGGGAGGTTTGTACCTCGTGTGTCATGGACTCTTGGGGACTGGATGCCACGGTTTCGCATGGGGCGGTTTTACCTTTCGCGGTTGTTCTTCGGGTCAGGACCTCGACGAAGGGTCAGTGGGTGGGTGGCTGGCTGGCTTGGCCCGGATCTTTGTGTTTGGCTTCCATCTCGTTCTTCTCGTCCTTTTTTGGCCATGAATCGCTGTGCTTGCTGCTTGACCCCTTTTCTGTTTTTTCCAAATCTGATACAATATAGGAACGGCATTACCGGAGAAGTCGTCGGGACCAGTGGCCCATCTCCGGTTCCATATCGATACCAACCGCGTCGAGTGCGGAGGACTCGGTTGCAAAACGCCCTCCTTGCCAAAGTGCCTTCGGAGGTTCCGATCTATCTCAACAAGCACGTCGTCGGCATCGAAAACCTGGAGCATGGTGAGGTGCGTGTGTTCTTCCGAGACGGCACGCAGGCGACTGCCGATTTGGTGGTGGGGGGAGACGGAATTCGATCGGTGAGTGTGTTTGAATAAATCAGGATGGGGACGCTTTTGTGGCGGTTCTAGTCGTTGTGGTCGGTTGCTGACTGGCTTCAAAGTCTGTTCGTGACAGTATATTTCCAGATCACAAGATCAGATTCACAGGTCAGTGTATCCTGCTCTCATGTTGTTTGGTTGTCCTGTCATGTTCTATGCTTTCGTCTTCCGTTAGCTTGTTATCGTGTTCGTGATGAAATCTAACAGGCCTGGGACAGGCACGACTATTTGGCGAACTCTGATACCAGTGCACACGATCGCTCATATTCCCGAACTGACATCTTCGACATCATGGTGGCATGGCCCCGAAGGACACGTATATCACTCGTTAGTCGATGATCCTGCAGAAGTGCCGGAGCAAGAGAGAATGTTCGAAATTTCCGCCCGAAACGTCATCGACCCTGCGACAGCCACGGGGAAAAGGTTCAGTTGGGGAATTTCTGCAACCAACGAGAGGGTACAGTCGCACTTCAAGGTCAGTTCTTTTGTGAAATCTTGACACACCTACAACCCTGACACAAGCGACTAGGACTATGAGCCGAGGATCAGAGAATTGCTGGCCAAAGTCCCGGAGGGCAATTGGAAGGAGTTCTCGGCCTTTGCCGGCCCAAGACTGGAGAAGCTCATTGCATGGGATAAAGTGGTGCTGTTGGGCGATGCCAGTCACCCTCTATCAGGTTCGTGTTTGACAACCCGGTTCAAAGTCTTGGTTTCGTTCCTTCTCTGACCTACATGGCCAGGCGCCTTTGGATCCGGTGCGGCATTTGCACTTGAGGACGGCTGGATCCTCGCTCGGGCCATTGAACATGCTCGGTCCACTGGACAGCCGTTGGCTGCAGCCCTCGAGATATTCGATGCCATCAGGTCGCCGTATTATTTGCGGATGTGAGTCTTGTCAACATTGCTTGCCTGTCGCTTGATCTAGCTGACGAAAGAACAGGTATCAGCATCTAGACGAACAAAAGCGAAAACTGCAGGAACTGAAAGCCGCCAATCCCAATGCTTCCTTCGAAATAACTTTGGGACAAAGAGTGAATGCGTTCGGAGGAGAGTCGGCTCTGCCGTGGATCTACTACAATGATATTGAGGATGTCTGGGAGCAGTTCCTCAAAGGTCAAACAGGCTCTTCTTCGAAGGAAGTGCCTATCCAGCAACTTGCTGCTCAGTTATAGAATGCAGAGATTGGGTCCAGAGAAGAGGGCCGGGGCGATAGATCAGAAAATGGTGTCTAGACACAGAGTTAGCGTACAGTATACGGCAATTGAAAATTGAAGACAGCATTCTCGCTCCTATACTCACCCAGCAATTTTGCGGAAGGACATCCCTTGGACTGTCACTGCGGTGAATAGGACCAATAGGCAGTCAGCGGGCCTCCCAGCTTCACATGACCTTTGCGCAAAGTGAATGTCACCTACCACAGATTGGCACTGCAGTGAATACATAGCCCACCGCAATAGCTAGTATATTGCAGCCGCATAATTCTCTCCGACAATCCGGATGTCCCGCTGGCTCAGTGGCACAGACGGCGGGCTTCCGGTGCGTTACATGACCCCTTCTGTCCGATTCATCACACGATCCTCCGAGTGTCACAGTGGGAGAAGCTGGGGATCGAGTGTAAATCAGTACTGTGAATCAGGCGGATTTGTGGGATTTGACTTAATGACTGGTCTTACAGATTGACTTCCACCAATCGCCTAGACCTTGACCGAGCTTTCATTAGCGTGTGGGTAATTAGCATGTGGGTAAAAAACCATCCGCGGATAGTTTCTCTTGTAGCGACTTCGAGCCTGATCCGCTCGAGGTTACGGGAACGGAGTAACTTACCGCGGAGGTTTCTCTTGTGGTGACTTTGGGCCTGATCAGCTCCAAATCACCGGAAAAGAGAGGCCTTCAGAGATGGTTTCTCTTCCTGTGTCCTCGAGTTGATAGCGACCCCGAGTCTGATCACTCGAGGACACAGGAAGAGTTTTTGCTCACTGATTCTTTGCGCCTTTAACGGTGATCCCCAGCTGTAACTTTTCTGAGTCTGAACTCGAGAATACTCCATCTAACGGTTGGGAGCTGAGCGCTACCTTTTTGATTTACATCTTGGATGGACAACTTGAGTCACGAAGTATACTTACCGAGCATACTACTTCCTTTCATCTAACCCACAGGTACCAGGTATCTTATGTCTCGTCGGCTTGAACACGGTTTAATGATTTGGCGCTAAAGAATGCTTAAGCCATTTAAAGTACCAGGCCGAGGCGGGCTAGTCTTTACTAAGCTAGTCTGCCGTACTAGTTATAGCTAGACTCACGACCGCACTGCAGGCATTCCTCTCCGTAGTCACGGCTCCAACTGACCTTGACTCAGGTTACACAGCTGAGAATCCAAGCGATCAATGTCCAGGCACTTGGTTTTGAGATCAATCACCTTGCGGCGGTCACCTGTACTGTTTGCAACTGCTCATCTCTGCACTAGAAATTATGTGTTTCATTCGCCTGACGGAAAAAAATCGTTTTGTCCTAAATGTTGCATCTGCGCCTTCCATGACACTTCTTGCAGGGCTGTTGCAGGGCTGACGAGAGAGGGTGAAGGAATATGACACAGTGGAATTGTTTTAACCCATCATGCGGCGCATGGAACAGTCAAGGCCAGTGGTCTTCGAATGAGTGATCACGAAGACGTCGAAGGGAAGCGCTCTCCAACGCCCCTTGCCACCGCAACGACTGGCCCAAGTTTCCGCCGCCGACTTGTTCGTCCATAGGGTGATTGTACTCCCTAGCCTACTAGTCAAACGCCCCCGGACGCCCAATGTCCACGCGGACTGACTCTACTGAGAGCGGCCTCGATCCTGCAGACATCTTTGGCATGACCGGCTGGATTGAGTATGAAACATGAGCTATATGTCAAGACCGTCTCCCTGCACTCCGGGACCTTGAATTGCGGCCAGACCTTGACAACTGTCGCTGGAAAGGTGGCTAGTTGATGCCTCGGGTCAACTTGGGTTTTGTGCAACACCGTGACACACCGCATCTCGGCTTATTGAACTTCGAACCATGACAGCTCAGCTTCTGGGAAAAGCTGCTGGTGAGGTTATGCTGCAAAGAAGACCTGACCCAAAAGGACGTGTCTATGAAACTGTGCCGATTCCATCTCGGTCTCGGTCCAGGCTTCGGTTCGCCCCAGGACCACAGAACTCCGCCCCCCCCCC